GTACTGTTAGGAAGTAAAAATAAATCAGATAATGAAGAAAATAGGTAATAAATATATCAAAACATGTTTGTAATGCTTTTTAATATGAAAAAAATGTTGCACTTTCAGTGTCCTTATTACAATATCTCTTGTTTATTTATTTATTAATCTACATAAGATTATATTGCTGCCTAAAAATAAAGGAAGACTGTCAGATCTGTTTCAAATGTCTTTTTCCATTTTCGTGTCCAACTTAATTTTGTAGTTAAAGTCTGAAAGTGTACAGTCTTTCAGTCCACAACTAGAAATGATCAACCTGTGTGATGAAATATGACAAAACCTTTACAGGATATTGATGTTCTGTGTGTTGTGCCTTGGTGGCAGGTTGTTTATACCTCAGCTGCATTACTCAGCAATCATGAATAAGTTTGGTGATTTGCCACTATTTTCTGTGTGAGCAACTGGATGTCTCAGTTTAGGTTAGAGTCACTTTTGACGTAGGTTCCTTCTTATTCAAATGTAACCTCTTGAGGAATGATTAAACCTCACAGAGCCATAAAAGCAAGAAGTTGCTCTTTGGTTTTGATAAACTGCCAGGAGTGGTACATACAGTCTGTGCAACAAAAGGCTGTCATTATAACCTTGGTTACATAAATCATTTTATAAATTATTATATAAACTTAAATTATAGTCTATGAAAGAATAAACAGCCAAAATAAGAGAAGACATATTCAGATTTTCTAAACAGCAAAGGCTTTTACAACAGTATTGACCTTTTAAGAAAAACATAGGTCTTTCAAAAGTACTGACTTATCTGTGAGTGAGGGACACATCTTTGACCTGAAGCAAAACTGAAAAGGAACATTTTCTAGTAGTCATGCAACTCAATGAGAATGAGGTAGGAATTTCTAAAATTCTTTGATAAAATAGCTCAAATTATAATTAATTATTTCATTTTGTATGTATTGAATTGCTTTCTTACTTTAAGAAGAATATTACTTTACATTCAGCTTTATACAAGTCTGCAGTCTAGGCCCAAAGTCTGTATCGTTACATGGATTGTTTTGACAGCTGCAGATACTGATTCAGTAGTGGTTTGCTGTAGATCAGTTTACTTGTTTCCTGTGTGACTCAACACTACCTCTTGTGGGAGTCAAACAAAATTGCGTCAATGTACTAGCTTTAATCACTAGGAGGATCTCTAAGCTTTTAAAAAGTGATTCTGCAACTGTACTAGAGTAGTCCTGTGTTTTCTGGTTTTCATTCCAAATGAGCTTTCAATCAGTTAAGCTAATTGAACCAATTAACTGATTTTGAACTGATTGTACACTCAGATTCACAGTCTCTTTTCTGTGTGTGATTTTCAAGATAAATAGTAGAACTCTGTTTCAGCTTGTTTTTAAAGTGTTGCGCCTGTATGGCTTTCTAAACAGAAATTATTATTTATTAATTGATAACTGCACAATACAAGTTCTTAGTACTTATTGAGCCCCTTTATTACATTAAATTCAACCAATTTGATACATTTGAGTGACAGGAGAGCTGAAACCCTGTATCTGGGCTTGTGCTAATTTCTATCTTCTTTCTACTATTAAAAGTTTTAAAAATAAAAATTAGCAGAGTTTAAGAGCTTGATGATAATCTACCAATATCTATCAAAGTCTATCAATATATCAATCAAAGTCTATCAAAGTCAACAGGAACAAAAGCAAGAAGTGACAGGGACAGTCCATGACTAGCATAGAAAAACACTATTCTAAAAGAAACACTCTCTTACTTTTTATCAGTTATAATAATAATAATTGCTTACACTTATATAGCGCTTTTCTGGACACTCCACTCAAAGCACTTTACAGGTAATGGGGACTCCCCTCCACCACCACCAATGTGCAGCATCCACCTGGATGATGCGACGGCAGCCATAGTGCGCCAGAACACTCACCACACATCAGCTGTCAGCGGGGAGAACAGCAGAGTAATGAAGCCAATTGTTAGGAGGCCATGATTGGTAAGGGCCAATGGGAAATTTGGCCAGGAGTTATACCCCTATATATTTGGCCGGGGTTATACCCCTACTCTTTTCGAGAAACACCCTGGGATTTTTAATGACCACAGAGAGTCAGGACCTCGGTTTTACATCTCATCCGAAGGACGGCGCCTGTTTACAGTATAGTGTCCCCGTCACTACACTGGGGCATTAAGACCCACATGATTAAGACCCCTGCTGGCCCTACTAACACCTCTTCCAGCAGCAACCTTAGTTATTCCCAGGAGGTCTCCCATCCAGGTACTGACCAGGCTCACACCTGCTTAGCTTCAGTGGGATGCCAGTTGTAAATTGCGGGGTGATATGGCTGCTGGCATGAATATTCTCATTTCCTTTTAAATTTCACCTGCACCTGTCCTTTTTTTCATTTTGGGTTTATCTTTTCCAATTTCTCTCAACCAAAACTGAAGTTATGACTACCAATCAAAAGGTGCTCAGTTTCAAGTATGTTCTATACTGTAATTCATTGTAGGCTTACATGAATCCATGATGCCAACATTGCTTAGTGGTTTGACACCTGCCAAAATTCTACTAAAAGGCAGAATGTAGTTTATTCTCTGTAAGTTTAATGTGACATTTTAACCTTTTAATTCACAGCCCTAGCTGATCAAGACAACAGATTTGTATTAACTGTATTCATCAATGGCCAACTAATAAACAGGCCAACAAAACTGTAAAAAGGTTTTACAGGCCAATAAATAGTTAAGAACAGTCAGAGTTCTTTAAATAAGCAACAGTCATAATGGCTACAAACATTGCACATTATATAGTGTACTTAGGTTTGCAGAAGGTTTATATATGGTTGCTTATGAAAAAGTCATTTTTAAATTCGAAACAGCGGGAATTTAGAATATGTATATCTTCAAATTCTGAACTGCTAATGGATAGAAAAGATAGTATATAAAGACAATAAATGTTCAAACTGGGGTGATGTCATTGGTGGAGTACCATAGGAATCTGATTTACGGTAATTTATTTTCATGTATAACAATTATCTAGAGTTGGATGTACTTCCTGAAGTTAGCATTTGATACACTTGATGTAGTAAAGTGTTGCAGGCAGATGGCAGAAGCATAATACTAACAACAATTGCATGAAATTGCATAATTATTGGTCCATTTCCATTTCCACCAATTACTAGTTTTGATGGAGCATGTACAGTACTCTCCAAAAAATCAGCATCTCATGAGCAGACTTTTATCATGGACATGGCTTAACATTGCCCACCAAGTTTCAGGCTGTATGATGTTCTGCTTTGACTCATCTTTACAAGGCAAGCAAAGGCAAAACCAATCTCAATATGTATAAACAAAATCATCTATCCTTGTCTTAACAGTTTCATATAATTCAGGGTCGCAGGGGAAGCGGAGCCTATCCCGGCATGCAACATGTGCAAGGCGGGGAATGACCTGGATGGGATACCAGTCCATTGCAGCACAAACACAGACACAAACAGATACACTCTTACCAGGACCAAGTTTCCCAGAAGCCAATTCACCTACTGTACCAGCATGTCTTTGGACTGTGGGAGGAAACCAGGATATCTGGAGGAAACCCAAGCGAACATGGGAAGACTGATGTTTTAATAAATTAATGCAGTAAATGAACAGAATGAAAGGCCTTTGTACTGTGTAAAAGTGTGATAGTAGACAAAAAAGTGCTGACTATATGAAAGATTTAATTTAAGCTAGGAGATCATTCCACAGTCTTGGAGTAACAGAACAGGAAACATACACTCCCCCTCATCATTAGGTTTAAAATCATTACATGCAGGACCTTGACTCCTGAGTCATCGCTTGCCTCACCTTCATTAAATGCCTTCTCCTTCCTAGGAGTTAAGTGGTTAATGACCAACTAACTCAGTGTCATTTTTTAAATTCTAGAAAATGTGATGAGATGATCACGTCCTCAATTTGTGTACTGCTCTTTAAATAAGCTCTTGAAATATTCTGTATATAATGTACAAGCAGCCTCAAACATCTCAAACAAAATATCTCTGAGGCTGGGGGTAAAACTCCATCAACATCAGTTTCACTAGGACCTGGAGTTTGCATCTCTTCCAAAGTACACAATATAACGAGATTAAGTAACCTACTCAGTGAATATAATGTCACTGAGTGAGGTACTTCTTTTTTCCTTAAAACACTGAACCTCCTGCTCTCCCTAATCCACAAATATAGTTGGCGTATGTACACACAGTGGGGCACATGGCTATTTAGAGAATTCTGTAGATTTTTTTAAACTGAATTAATTTGCAAGTTCTGTGAATTTCAGAATGTTTAGTGGTGATAGACTTTCAGTCATCGGGATTGTTGAAATGTACAGTCTGGTACTGAATGTTAGAAAAAAACAAACTACTATTCCACAGCTAAAGTCCATTGTCAAATACATTTTTTTTCATATCCTTAATCTCCATTCCTCAGCAGCTGAACAATTCTGCGAAGATTACTGGGATGCTGTAATTATTGCTTTCAAATAATGTCTTTTCATATCCTCTAATTAAATATTTACAGTGAGTGGTGCATTTAACTTAACACTAGTCTATTCTTTTTGCAGACATCAAATTTAAGACATCAAAAGTTTTTTGTTTCACAATTTATCAAAATAAAGATATTCTTACTCATATACATTAGCAACCAACATATACCAAGATGTTAACACAATCACTGACATATAGATAAAAGTCATTCAAAAATCAACTTATACTTTCAGGTGTACAGCACAATTATAAATCATTATTTATTAAGGTTATTTAATTTAGGAGAATTTTAATTGTACTTACAGTTCTGTAACAATTTCATACCAAATCCAACCAAAACAAAAGACAGAAGAAAATCCACCTCAAAAATATACACACACTCTTTAGATTAATGACGTTGATCATTATGGCACATTGCTCACATCTCCGCAGGTTTAACATTCACCATCCCCAGTGCAGAGCAGCAGGTGTCTTTCAGAGTGAGAAGCCAAAGGCTATTGGTCAGCATCTGGTGATGCTGATGGACAAACCCCTCCCAGCTGAATGCAAACCAGTCTAGGACATATTAACCTCAGAAAGTTGTAGAGGGAAAGCAATAACACCTCACAGTTTCAGCTTCCCCAGTTTGGTTTCTACCTGATATCTTCAAAAAAAGGAGAGAGGAGTCCATTTGCTGTCACCAGAAGAACACAGAAGATCCACCTACTGGCAAAAAAACAAAACACTGACTTCCATAGTCTGAAGAATTCATCTATAAAGGACTCAAATTCTGAGAGTTTGATTTTTTTCTTGTTTTAAAAATGAGTCACATGGGCACAGAGATCCTTGCGTTCATCCTCACAGTTTCGGGATGGATTCTTATTTCTTCCACATTGCCTACTGACTACTGGAAAGTGTCTTCAATTGATGGCACAGTCATCACCACAGCCACATTCTGGTCCAACCTCTGGAAGACTTGTGTCACCGATTCCACTGGAGTCTCCAACTGCAAGGATTTCCCCTCTATGCTGGCACTGGATGGTCAGCAATGTTTAGTTTAATTCCTTCACATTGTTTTTTTTCTTAATTGTGGTATATGTGTGGTAGTAGAGTATGTTGATAAAGGAGCCTCACTTTCTGTTTTAGTATTTTTCCTAACTTAGAATGAATAGTTTCAGAGATTGAAAAATTTAACTGCAATTAGATTCCAGCAACGTTGCTTTGGCAGAGGCTCAAGAGCAATCACAGCTCAATCTATCAAATTCTGAATATGCCAGACATACTGTAGGACACTGAATTAACATCAGAATTTTAAAAGCTCTCTTTTCCTTTATCTTAATGTAACACATATTATCACATCACAGTACATTTTTCTAAATAGCTTGAATGACCAGAACACAAAGTAAGAAGTATTTCATACTATAAATAAAGATGCTATAAGAGTTGGAAGAGACAAAAAAGTCCTAGAAAATGTAAGAGAGAAAAAACACACCTGTCAAATTTTTAAATCAAAGGCTTTTTCATGTCAGTTTTTGAAAAGTTGTTTGTGTATTTTATAATAACTGTAAAGCGTGTGCAAAACTGTTTGTCTGGTAGTACTGCTCTGTTACAAGGGTCGCTGTCTTAATCAGCTCTCTCAGACTCACAGCCATGCTTCACTTTCAAGTTTCATACTCAAGAAAGCTTCCGGTGAAAGGAAATAATGCAGCCTGAAATTCAGAGCAAATGTTAGTTCTAGGAGAAGTCATTTATTTTTCTAACTGTCAATGTTTAGCATTTTTTTCTTGGAGATTGGGCTATAAATTATGCTGTTATGGGCAAGTAAAGCTATTTTATTCATGCTCCAGTTGCTTCAGGGGTTAACTACCATGCTAATATGTTGTAATAAATCAAGTGCTGAAGGCAATTCTTATTCCCAAAGAAAACCGGGACTTTCTTATTATGTGCCCACAAATTATATTTCATTGTTGTTATGCTTGCGTGCACATATTATTAGATGGAAACATTAATTTTTGCCCTTAAGTTGCATGGAAATGAAGGTCTCATGAGTATGATAGCATATGCTGATCTATTGCTAAATCATACTGAAGCAGATTCTATTTATATTCAGCCCCGTTAGTAAAGAGTAATTAATTAACTGAGGAAAAAGCCTGAGAACATGCATTTGAAGGTGTTTTTGTTTTCTTCCATACGAAAGAATCTTATCTTAAAAAGAATGTGAATTAATCATACTAATCTGGATCTGTGTTAGATTAGTTATCTTCCAAGACATCTTAGTTACCTTAACAGTCTAAATGAAAATTCTGCATATTTTCTTTGTTTAGAACACCACTTTAAATTGTACTGCTTGTGCTGCTACAGCGTCTGCCTTGCATGTAATTTATGTATAATGATATCAAATAGGAATAACAAGGACATAAAAAAAGAACAAAGTTACTGTCTAAGGATCTGGTGTTGCTTTAGATTGAAGGTACCATTCTAAATAATCTAAATATTATATCATATCCAATTAAAGTTATGGTTCACCACTTCTGGGTCATGACAGACTTTTTAGTGATTCACTTTATGATAGAAATGGTGTATAGAAACCTGCCTTTTAGAATACTTGTAGTGAACTTAAAGATCAAAATAAAGCTCAGTTGCAAAACAATAATTGTAAAACCTCAGAGTTTAATTACTGTATATTCATTTTGTAGGGCATACTGTACACAGTTCCTGTAAGCATGTCCTTACAATATACTGTATGCTGTAGCTGGCAACAGAATCAGAAATTAATGTTTTAATTTGGAAAGATATACTTTAAATGTTGTTCTTTACTTGTTTTAATGTTTCAAACAGGAAAGATATACTGAAAACGTTTTTCTTCAGTTGTTAAATTTTGTCAGAAACCAGTAATCTGTCACGTGACACCAGGTTTATGTTAATATACCTAATTAACTAATGGAAAGGTTTGTTTCAAATCATTCCTCATTACCATTTATTTTCAAATGGTCACTAATACTTCAGTGAATTTCTCATTAAAAACTTGTAGATTTTTAAATGCTTCAGAAACTTTGCTTTGGTTTTATCCAGAAAATTAGTTTTTTCCAGGTAGGCCAATTAGGAAAGGATAACCCTTTTGATAGGACAGAGTAGAGGCAGATATTGAATATACTGCAAATAAATCCTGGAATGACAGATATTCCAATGAAAAGACATTTTCAGACTTACACAGTTAGATTTAGAGGAGTGTGAGCGGAAGAGAGAGATTTAGTTTTTGCATTTAGAAATTCACACAGTGTCGGAATGCGGTGAATGAAATACCTCCATCACAGTTTGGGTTGAGTAATCTACAACAATATCTACTTTGTGCACTTTGGAAACCACATGTCCTCCTTCTAGCCTGTTGTGAGTTCTGAGTTTGTACTGTATGTGTTATTTCAAATTTCCTATTACAACAGCTTTTTCTAATTCAAATGCGTTGATAAAAAAAAGATTAAATACAATATAACGAATTTAAAATGTGACAGTTTGGAAATACATCATAATTATAAGGGTATTCGTGTCTTCCAAATAAGCTTGTGTTCTTAAATCAGATTTGTGCTTCTTGTTGTCAAAAACTGGATTCCAATATCATTAATAATTACACAACTGGAATATTTAAGAGTACAATGTGGATTTCTAGTTGCATTTTCCAAAACAGCATTGTTGCTCAAAACTTGTATCTTTGCTTTCAGAGCGCTTTCAGCAGAATGGCTTTACTATTTATGTTTTCATATGTTTGTACTGATATATCATTTTTTTCCAGATGTACGTATGTATACACATGTAAAATGTAACATATACTTGTGTTGAAAAAACCTTCAGTGTTACAAATCACTGCTTTCCCAATTATGTCAGATTACAGCTTTTACCTGAAGTAGGGAAAAATAATGCTCTTACAATTATAGCACTGCTGTAGTTTAGGGACTGCAAATAAGCATGTTAACAACTGATTATACATTTGCAAAGCATTCATACTGTAATGCTCCGGGGTTCACGTGGGTATGCGCCCTCGCTGCTGCCACCTCAGGTCGGCCTCCCACCGTCGGGGACTCAAACCCAGGCCTCCGGCATCACTCAACAGGGACCCAGCCACTTGAGCTAAAGGAAAATCTCCTGTCAGCCAGGCAGCTGCGGTCCCTGCCATTCACAGGGAAGGGCGGTGACGTCACCGCCCTGGTAAACTGGCTCTCATAACCAATGCTGGCTGTATGTGTTACAATACTTTCCATAAGAAATTATGTTAATGATATCTAATTAAGTCTCCCTTTTCACTAGCTTAATGATGCCCAATTAATCCTTGTTCAATGTATTTTAAGTGAAAAAAGACTATTAATGTACTGTAATACGCAGCCCCTAATTCAAAATTTTGTTTGCATGATAGGATAAATATTTTACAATTACATATTGTAATTCCTTAGATTGTTTTATTATTGAGCCATCTGCAAGTAACAGCAAATCATCTGTGATCCAGAGGTATACTACAGCTGACAGTAGATGTTTTGTTGTCTTGGCAAACAGGTTACATCCAGGTCTGCAGAGGTCTCATGATTGCATCGGTCTGCCTGGGGTTTTTCGGAGCCATTCTTGCCTTGGTTGGCATGAAGTGTACCAAGATTGGAGGCTCAGATAAGACCAAAGCGAGAATCGCTTGCTTGGCAGGCCTGAATTTCATTATTGGTGGTAAAAATTGCCTTATATTATTCCGCAGAATTTGCTTTTACTGCCATTATCATGCATATTTGTACAGATGTACATGCATATAGGTCTGTATTTTATTGAATATAACTTTTGTGAATTCGCTTGTTCATAAATCAGTGTGGCTGTTGGAGTCTTGTTTAGAAGAAAAGCAGAGTGGGATTAAATTGAGGCAAAGATTGGTTGTTAAGCAAAACTTTTAAAGTAACTGTGCCGTAAGCTAGGACTGTCATCATCTAGCTAGTTAATAAGCCTTTCCCCACCCCCTGCCCAAGTACCCACTACCCAGCATCCTTATATCAATGTGATCTTATTTAATACTGTAACAAACACTTTCGGCATTGCCAATGAAAGGCTGGAGATGACTTTACAGGCTCACTGTTTTATTATGCTATACATTACATGGAGGTGTGCTAATTACACACAGACAAGAAAGTGCAGACATCCACTGTACACAGAGGAGGGACTCATGTTGTTTATTTTACCTGCTTTCTATAAGTTTGTGATTACTGTTGTTCATAATAGTTGATCAATGTTATTTTATTTAACTTAAAACCAATGCATTAGTACTATAATTATCATATAAAGGAGGGTTACGTGTGTCTTTTAACCATACATAATATACTGTATATTGTAGTACATTATGCAACAGTATAGGAATGGACTTGTTTATATGCAAATTTGGCTATTCGTGACAGTTCCCTCACCAAACCCTCAGGAATGTTGAGACCCTACAGTGTCGCATATCATATAGGGCATATTGTATCCAGACATATATTTTATGTCAAATTCATATTTAGTCTCTGGATAAGTATGAGAAACTACAATGAAATGAAGAATTATACAGCATATAACTATATAATGTGTTGAATGTTGTATTGTAAATGTCCTTAAGAAATATTTTTAATGCCATAAATTGTGTTTCAACAGGCCTTTCATCTTTAACTGCCTGTTCTCTGTATGCGCACAGAATCACATCAGAGTTTTTTGACCCAGCATTTATTGCACAAAAGTAAGTGCCACTTTTGGTATACTATTACTACTACAGCTTCTAATAATAATGCATGACTGCATAAACAGCTTCTCTGGGATGAAAAATATTTTTGAAATCCTTTGATTGGTTACTTTGTAATACATAAATAAATACCCATTCATTCATTTATTTATCTATTTATTTACTCTTTACACTATTTTATTCTTATTTATATACCTATACTATCTCAACAGCTGCTAATTGACTGCCACTGCCCCCTTGTGTGTTCTTCTGTGTTGTTCTGGGACATTATTCTGATTGTTCTAGTGTATTGTGAACTGCAGCCCAGGAGGAACTATATTTTGTTCTCTCTTGTACATTGTGTAAGTGTAGAATTACAATAAAGTGAACCTTGAACCTTGACCTTGTCAGAACATGAATTTTAATAATTGATGCTAAAACAAATTGCTGATGATAATTTATCTCTGTATTTGAGAATGCTATATGGAGTATCCACATTATAAAACTTGCCAAAAATAAGAAGCCAACTAATGTTTTGTGAAGTATATACCTGAATTGTGAGCATTAACTTTTATGGTGTTTGCCTTTATGTTTTTCCAGATATGAATTAGGAGCAGCGTTGTTCATTGGCTGGGCAGGTTCTGTATTGTCCATTCTGGGAGGAGTAGTTTTCTGTTTCTCCTTGGCAGAAGAAGGAACACATGCAAGGTTGTACAAGTCAAACATTTTTCTGAAATATAGTTAATGATAAATACCTTTTGCAATTTCAATGTCAAGTTAATTTGGTCAAGTTAATGTCTCTACATTTTTCCTTAATATCTCTTTTTTTCTGAGCTGCGACAGTGCTGGCAAATGTTATAGCCATTTATCAGCTGAGACCCATCTTTCTTAATATATTTCTAAATATAATGCAAAAACATATGCATGTGTTATTAATGTTGGCAGGGAAGCTCCATATTAAATATGATCTTTTTCATACACACTAATACAAACATTACCCTTCATAATCATTCATACCCTCAGAAAATGAGAAACAAACTGTTGTATAAAAGAAAAATGATAGATTTCATCATTAAAGATCTTGTAATGCCTTCACTGAAAAAAATCTATAAAAGTTATACTATAATTTTAATAGCATTCAACAGAGTAATTTTTCATAATTTATTTTAGTCCTGAAAACATAAGGGTTAGTATTTTTTAAATCCTCTCCTGTAGGATGCCTCCTGTAGTGTGTTATGAGGTTTTTGCACTTATTAAACAGTATTTTACCATTCCTCCGGGCAGAGATTCTCTGCATCCTTGAGAATCTTTGGTTTCTATCTTTGAACTACCTTCTTGAGTTTGGACTGCCGATTGGGCTGGTCATCTGACAATAATTAACCATTTGTTGATCTGGATGTATGCTTTGAATCATAGTTATACTGGAATGTCTAATGTTTTTGCCAAATTTGAGCTTCTTTGCAGAAAGATCCAGGTTTTTATCCAAAATGTCCTGGTACAAGTTGGAGGTCATGATTCTTCTTATCTTCCTAGGGCTACAGGACCTGTATATTTTTACCCCCCCAAAAAAACACAATAGACCTCCCCACCCATATCTTCCTGAGTTAGGGTGCCATCTACATGGATTATTTATGTTGTGGGTTTCATGGATTTCCTTCAGGTGCTCCAGTTTCCACCAACAGTCCCTGAATATTTTTTTTTATAAGATCACTTTATTAGCCATATACAATTTCTTGCTTTAGGAATTCATCTTTTCACATACCCCAGCTTGCTCTCCATGAGACACAGACACACAGACAGGGAGAGAAGCTTTGGGTCAGAGTGCAGGGTCACCCATTGTATAGCTCCCCTGGAGCAGTTGGGGTTAGGGACTTGCGCAGGGGCCCAACAGAGTAGGATTCCTCTGCCAGCCACAGGTGCAGATCCTTAGCCACAGTGCCACCAGAATATACTGGTACTGTAGGGTACTTGGCTCCTGGAAAAATTAGCCCAAGCTGTTTGTGTACTGTATGTGTTTGCCCTGCGATAGACTAGCTGCCCATCCAGTGTGTATCCTGCTTTGCATCCATTGCTTGCAGGGATAAGCTCTTCCTTCGATGTAAACCTGAATTGATAGAGGGGATTTGAAAATTGATGGATGGATATATAATGCTAATCTGCATGCCCCAAAAGATCATTGCCATTTAATTTGACTATAATACATAGTTCCAATTGTCATTCAAAAACAGCTGAATTGGGTGGTTGGGTGCTGCACTGATTAGCATTGCTTCCTTGGAGCACAGCTTTGCTGCCTCACAGCGTTGGGGCAGGGGGTTTAATTCCTGGGGTGCTATCTGTGTGGAATTTGTATGTTCTCCCACCTGGCATGTTTGTATGTTCTTCCCATGTTTTTATAGATTTCCTCCACGCACTCCAGTCTCCACCCATAGTCCAAAGACATAGGTACTGCAGGTTAATCGGCTGCTGGGAAAATTGGTCCCGGTGTGAGTGTGTATCTGTGTCTATATCTGCCCTGTGATGGACTGGGTCGTGTATACTGCCTTGCACATGATACTTGCTGGAAAAGGGTGTTGCTCCCTCGTGGCCCTGTATTGGATAAAGCACTTAGGAAATTGATGGATATAGCAGAATTCACAAAATGGAGTTGTCGCTTTTTCTGGTTTGCCATCGAAAGACGCTTCTTCCCTGCAACCTGGCTATGAAAAGGACATTCATAAACATAATGCTCAATAGCCATTTTCATCACTTAGAACCCTTTAGATGCCCAATTGTGTTACATTGTGTTACATTTTTGGATTAACAGTTTCCTCAAAAACAATATACCTCACAGCATGTGAATATACTTGTGTCCTCTTCCTGGCAGGATTACTACTTTGCAAACAACTTTAAATTTTCTAAAAACAGACTCTACAGTGTAAATTGGCTTTTATAGATTCTTCCATAGTCATCCACCCACTTTTTAGAGGTCAATGACCTTTAGCTTTTAGAGCTCTCCTTAACAATGATAATGCATGATACTGTTGAATGGATTGTGTGTTCCCTTCTTTTACACTCCAAGAGAAACAGAAAATCTTCACAGGCTTCTAGATAGTTCCAGATGCTTCCATTGCACTTGAAAAAGGGCAGAATAGCATTGCGACTTGTTTTTGTTGGACTTTATTTACATGAAAACATAGAGAAGTGAAGAAATGTGACTTATGTGTTTTCTGGAATTCAATTAATTGTTAATGACAAATGTGACTTTGCAATGCCACAGTTACAATTACAGTATAACATGTTTAGTACTCTTTTAAGTAAGATTTCATTAACTCAATCTGTTATGGTGTTTTTTGTTCCTATTACACTGGGGGTATGAATGAAATCTAGAGGCCACTGTATGTACTGTAGCAAACATGACATGTTAATATCAATGTATTTTTACGTTCATAAACGTTTTAACAAAATGTAATCCTTTCATTTTCTGCTAATGTTGACACCTTTTTATAGGTCTTTGGGCACATTTGCCCTGTGCAAAAACTGAAGATAAACTGTCCATTTAATCATTACTGTGGCGTGTTCTTAGTTTTCCCATTGGACATATATACTGTACGTGGACTTTGTTTCTTTTAGTGCTTTATATTTTAATAAGTTACAAGTAGGAGATAATCAGAAACAAAGCAGTTATGTACAGAGGTCCATGAGCCAATCAAGTTGTAATAACACAAAAAAGCCCCTGTGCCTCTGTTTAAAAATGACAGACGTTTCTAAAGGAGGTGAAAGTAGATTTCCTCTCTTCTTGCTTTGACTGATATTCAGGATTCCATTCAGCTAGAATCTGCCATCATTTTTAATTATTAAGACATAGAGTGCTCATTCTTCCATTTTGACATTAATTTTAATAACAAAATAACTCTACAGATCATTTTCAGTACTGCTTCCAGGGTTATACCAATGATGACACAAGACACATAAATCCTTCATTAAATGAAAGGTTTTCTTTGTTAATTTATGTCAGATCTTATCCACCTGTATACTGAGTGCATTACAAGGTCACCTTGTTTTGTCGTGGGCACAAGGAAAAAGTGACTTTTCAAAAACGAAAAAAGAAAACCATTATCGATGTAACTAAGTGTTCTGCGATACCTTAGATTACAGGCTTTTTCTCAAGAATTTCCAGAAAGATATGTATCAGCACTAGAATTGCTATTGATTAACTACTAAGGAGTGTAGCTCAAAGAAGGGAGAGTTTACCAATAGATTGAAAGAAAAGAAAAGAAAAAAATTTAAGAAAAGGCTCAAGATTAGAAGCTACTGTTCTAAGCAAACCACTCATGTGTGGGACGCATTTGAAATAAAAAAAAATACATGAACCAAAGGTTATTTGTTAATGAAACACTTTCTAATGTTCCAGTATTTTACCAAATTACAACATGACATTCCAGAATGTCATAATTCGAAAAAGTATATGTAAAGCTTCTCTGGAAAATAAATATGCAGTAGACATTGATTCTAATAAAAAATGGCTGAGTTTGAGTGTCATGATGAAATTGTGTTCATTAATCATGAATGGAAATTGAAGAAACTTCTCTAAACTTGCTCAGACTCCATTTACAATTGTTTTTTGTCTGAATTCTTCTGAATATATTAGATTTGGGGCATTGAAGCATCCAGATTATTTGCATGAAAAGGCTTGGCACAAGAGTATGTTATTTATGCAAACACCATGAACATGATATACTGCATTCATGATATGCAGCAGCCATATCACCCTGCCATTCACAAATAGCAACCCACTGAAGCCAACCAGGTGGGAGCCTGGCTAGTACCTGGATGGGAGACCTCCTGAGAAAAACTAAGGTAGCTGCTAGAAGAGGTGTTAGTGGGGCCAGCAGGGGGCTCTCACTCTGTGGTCTATATGGGTCCTAATGCCCCAATATAGTGATGGTAGATGGTGGATGAAGGTGCTGTCCTTTGGATGAATCCTAAAACAAAGGTCCTGAGTCTCTGTGGTCATTAAAATCCAGGGTGTTTCTTGAAAAGAGTAGGGGTGTAACCCTTTACCAATCATGGTGTCCCAATAATCCCCATCTATGAATTGGCTTCATTACTCTGTTCTCCTCCCCACTAATAGCTGATGTGGGGTGAGTGTTCTGGTGCACTATGGCTGCTGTTGCATCATCCAGGTGGATGCTGCACATTGGTAGTAGGGGAGTCCCCATTACCTGTAAAGCACTTTGAGTGGAGTGTCCAGAAAAGCACTGTAAAAGTGTAAGCAATTATTATTATTATGATCATTATACTATAGGTAAAATGAAAGTAGTAGATCTTATAATGCTATACCCCATTGTTTTTCCTTACAGGACAGGGTACACTTACAGTGGAGCATCTTTCATCTCCTCTCGTACTAAAGCTCAGAACAGAGCTGGAGATCTCAAGTCCTCAAGAGAAAATGGCTTTTCTGCAAAACAGTTTGGAAAAAACGCCTATGTCTAACCATCAGTACAGGAGAGGCTACATCAAGGTTCCCAAATCTTTCCTCCCAGTCTCCAGCCCAGACACACACCTTTTTCAAATCTCATGTACAGACCTGGACCTTAACTGCGTAAACCACATTGTTTGTGAAATCACTGTTTTGATTTTACAGCACATAATAGCTTCTGCACTGAATAAGTGGCATTTACAGAGAACTAATAAAGGGAAATCCTATTTAAGTAATGTGAAACACCAATCAAATTTTCTTTTGCAATGATCATTTCCTATTAACTTTTACTCCAAACTTTGTCAGGTCTTATGAAACTCAGGGTAGTTCAGTATTACATCATCACATTTTCTTGGATTTTTAGCATGACAAGCTTGCTTCACAGTATGTAAAATATTGAAAACATTTTTCGTAATGTTTAAGCACTACTTTAATATATTTATCTCAATTAACACTACTTTTCTTGTATTTTGTTTCATTCCAGCTACACTTCCCTTACATCTGCATTCATTACTCGTCGTGTTTCTCTTCTCTTTCGTACTCTGCTGTTTTAAAAATATATAAAAAAATCTTTCTTGGATAAAGGTGAGAAATAAACATGGGGTTAAGCAACACCTTAAGATACAGTACAAGACAGTTGCTTCAGCAAATATTTTGGTATTTGGAAATATAGACCTTATACAAGTATAAATCAAGAATTCTGTCCCTTTCTCTTCCTGAAATATTGCAGCTTAATTAGTTTTTGTATTCATGGTACCACTGTAAAGGAAACATCTACTGCTTTACAAAAACTACATTGCAACATGTCTTCTTCCATACACAAAATAAAGAACAAGATAAAACATATATGCCTTAATGAGTTTTCCTTACACATCGTGATACACCTCTGAGAAAAGTTGTCCTTCACTGCATGTTCTCTTCATAAACATTGCTATTAATACTAGACAGTATGTTACTTAATTGTTTTAGATGTTCTTTACTCAGTATGTGTGAAGTTAATCAATCTTTAAAAATGAGAAAAGAAAGTGAAACAAATAAATATTTGTACTTTTGTGCTTACTCTTGTCCAGTCTTGTGTTTCTGTTTTGTGGGTCTTTAAAGTACTATATAAAGTCTCCAGTAAACACAACTGAAATATGGCTTGATTTCAAGAAACTCTAATCTTAATTATTTGTACTGTAGGGTATAACCTTTATGTCACCTTGAAGCTACAAATTAATACACTTACCGCACCATTAATCACTAGGCTATTTTAGAAGCTATTTTAATGGCCAGTTGTCAGTGAGGTTTTCTGTGCTAAAGGTTCTGGTGGCACTGGGATTCAGTGGCAAGAGGGTTTAACAAGTACTGTAAGCAAGCAAAGCTGGACAGACCTCTTGTTGAAGTACTGCAAGTGTATTTTTTTTCCTGCTGTATCTGTGGTTACAGTACCACATCTTCTTTCCAGTTCTCTAATTCTAATCCTGACTAACTAGTCAAAGTGTGGTTTGTGTACATGCAGAAAAAGGTTATTTCAGTATTGACCTTTATAATACTTAGGACAATTTAATAAATTTAAAACAGGGGTCTCAACTTCACCTCCTGGTGATCCTTATCTCTTTCTGGTTTCAATTGTAGTCAATTAACCTAATAAGTTTCACAATTTGACTATTTTTTAACTAGTTACATCAAATATAGAATTTGACTGCATTTCATTTAAGATATAGTTACATTTATCTACCTCAAAACTGGTAAGAAATATTACGATTGTGCAGATAATTAAATTACTAGACCAGCTCTGCAACTGAGACCATACAGTAAGGTGAACTAAAAAATCAGAAGACATTCTGCTCTCCAGGAACTGAGTTTGAGATCCCTGCTAGAAATGATTATGAAAGACCAGTCTTAGGAGGAACTGTAATAGTAAGCACTTGCCACTAAAGGCAACTGAAAGGTCTCTATCACTCTATGAAGTCTAAAGGCTTGTTTTGTGTAGGTTTGTTAATTAATTATATTATTCATGAGGTGGGTTTAGATTCCACATTCTCACATGGTGATAATTAGTGGTTTTTCAATACAGTTCTTTACACACTTAGGTGGTTGGGTATAGGAAGCAATCAGTGCAGTTTGTGTTTTGTACTGTTCGTACAAAAAAGAGGGGTTCTCTAAAGTTCTCTAAAACCTACTGCATCTTGAAGTCATTGCCCATTGTGTGTGAAATGGCCTGGAGCCAGCTTATCTAAGTGCTGCCTTTAACACTGTTGATTATACCATTATTGCTTAGTAGACTTAAGAAGGTTTTAGCACCAAAATACATTAACACAAAACCTGTCATTAATCATATAGTAGGCATCTTGGAACCCTGCTTAGATATTTAAAAAAATGGATGAAACAAACCTGCTTACATTTGAACTCAGTTGATTGGTTTTCCTTATTTGCAAATGTGCCAGCCTTACTGTAGTTGGGTTATTGGTGATATAATGAGACATATTCAATTTAATATGTCTCATTATATAAATCTATATAATCCATGTTGACACTCATCCTAACCCAAAATATACCAAGGCTTCTATAAATTTACAGTTCTTAATTACCCAGCTTTTGCTTTGAATCCTTCCCTAATTGCGAGTCTAATCCTAAATCGTACATTTAATACTTTCTTCACCTTTACCCTGTCATTAATCATATTAAACACTCCCCAATTCTAACTAATACAACAATGTAAATGTTTGTTCATTTTATACCTCAAAACACTGTAATAGACACTATTGAAGTGGTTCTCTTCATAATGTCTCATCATTCAATCTTTTCAGAAGGTTTGAAGTTACAATGTAAAATGGCACAAAATAAGCAACATCAACAAGAGTATCAAGCACAGTAATGTTCCAAGTTAATTTAATTAAATCTGATCTCATTTAAACTACCTGAAATAATAAATAGCCAAGTCCTACTCAGACATTAGTGGAAATTTAAAAAAGAAATCACAGTCACCAGCTTGGAAACCTGACACTTGTTTACTGAAGCAGCATGGCAAAAATGGTCTATGCCACTGCCAGCAGCCCCAGGACACCTGCTGAGAGCTGAAAGTATTTGAGAATTCAGATTCAGGTTTCCATTGATCATTAGGTGGGGAAAGACATTGAGTCGCAATGAAAAAAACAACTAAGTTTCCAAATAAGAAAGGGTCCTGGTCACTTTATTTTTGCCATTGCAACTTCAAACCATACAAAAAGACCAGACTAAGACCCTTTCCTTTGTTCTCCAGCCATTCATCCATTTTTTAGCAACTTCATCCCATTCAGGGTCATAGGGGAGCTGGAGCTTATCTTGGTAAGCAACAGGTACAAGGCTGAGTACACACTGAATGGGATACCAGTCCATCACAGGGGCATACGTAGATGCACACACTCACACCAGAGCCAGTTTTCCCAGAAGCCAATTAACCCACCTGTAAGTCTATGGATTGTGGGAGGAAACCCACACAAACATGGGAAGAGCATACAAACTCCATGCAGGTAGCATACCAGGTTCAGAAGTGAACCCAGTGACCTAGCACTGCAAGGCAGAAATGTTAGAATGCAGAAATGCTAATCACTGTGCTACCATGCCACTCTCGTTTGTACTCGTCTTTCAGTATAAGGTATATTACGAAATGTTAATACACGGCTGTTGCAAAGTTCCCACAAAGCTTCCCATTGATATTTTTGTTCTTTTTCCCTTCCTTGGGGCTGGAGCAGTGAATGAAAACATATCAGTTTCACTCTTGAGGAAGGGTCTTACAGTAGTTGCCTAATAGGGGCAGAGCAATGGATGTCAATATTAAACAGGAAAACAAGCAGCTTCAAAAACTCTGCATTCCTCCTGCCCTAATTTTTCAATATATAATTACACAGATTCACTTATTATTAGGGTGTATAGATATACTGTAGATGTAGATACACAGTAGATATAGATATAGATGTTTCTACGAATATGACCTAAAGAACTGGGTGGATAATTGTTCCTAGTAACAAACTCATAGGGGACTCATAATATTTTTTCTGTGATTCTCAATTTCTTGGTTTTCCATTATTTTATACTATTAAATCATTATGTTTGAATGCAAGAGTTGCAAGAATTGATCACATATAAGAAAAACACTACAAGTTATGATAAAAAAATGAAACATCTGGCAAAGTAATTCTAGTTTCATTCTAGACTCTCTAGCTTTTCTTTTGTACGGGAGAAGCTTTATTTGATGCCTATACAGTATATAATATGTGTTACAGAGGCTCATAGAAGGGAGTTTTATTTTTTGTAGTTTAATGAGAGTACTGAATTATGAGAGGTCAAGGTTTCTAAAAAGAAATGCAGTCATTAACCATGATGAGAGTTCTTTACAGAGTGCAGATGCTTGTTTTCCAAACACTACCTGACCAATTCTACAGCCATGTACGGGAATTCGCTGCGCCACGGAACGTGATGCGTCTTGTCGTTAACAATTTTTTTCCTGGAAAAAATCATTTAGCATATCAAGAAACGATCTAAACAGAAATAGTACGAGAAAATCATGCATAACATATTGTATGTTTAATAAGTAAACAATTACATTGCGAAATGCCGGCGATATGAAGGATCTTTCATTAGTTTTTTTCTTAAAGCAACATAGGTAAGGAAAAAGTCTCGTAAAAAGTAAAACAATATGAGGCGTCTAAACTGCAGAAAAACAAATTGCATATCGGTAAGTCGTATTAAAGAAAAAATAACAAAACACCAAAAAAATCTATGTGGAAATAAAAGCAGAAAGTGGGAAAAAAAACTTCTTTCTTCAGTAGGTAATTTCTTTTCTACTCCTGTACACTTAAATTTGAGTGATATAATAAAACCAAACGTGAAAGACATACCAGAGATACAACCATAATTGTAAGTAAAAAATCTTTATTGAACTCTAATTTGGGATACTTTTAAATAAAGTATTTACATTTATGTCTTTACAAATGTAACATATCAAGGAAAAGTTGCTACTTAGTTAATGCTGTTTCCATTATTTTTTTCTAACTGAACAAGAACTATTATTACTATTATTAAAGCCAGCAGCCATATCACCCTGCAACTCACAACTGGCAACCCACTGAAGCTACACAGGTGTGAGCCTGGTCAGTACCTGGATGGGAGACCTCCTGGGAAAAACTAAGGTTGCTGCTGGAAGAGGTGTTAGTGGGGCCAGCAGGGGGCGCTCACCCTGTGGGTCCTAATGCCCCAGTATAGTGACGGGGACACTATACTGTAAACTATAATGTAAAACCGAGGTCCTGACTCTCTGTGGGTATTAAAAATCCCAGGGTGTTTCTTGAAAAGAGTAGGGGTGTAACCCTGGCATCCTGATCAAATTTCCCATTGGCCCTTACCAATCATAATAATGATCCTCCTAATATGGCCTCCTAATAATCCCCATCTATGAATTGGCTTCATTACTCTGCTCTCCTCCCCAATGATAGCTGATGTGTGGTGAGCATTCTGGTGCACTATGGCTGTTGTCACATCATCCAGGTGGATGCTGCACATTGGTAGTGGTGGAGGGGAGTCCCCACTACATGTAAAGTGCTTGAGTGGAGTGTCCAGAAAAGTGCTTTATACGTATAAGCAATTATTATTATTATGTACAATGTTTCAAATGGTTTCACTAGTGAAACTATATTTTCCAGCAAGTTAACTCCAGAGGGCAGTGGCATTTGTAAGGCGTAATCAGCCTTCTTTAATAAATATTGGCCTGCCAAAATATGGCACAATATAGCTAATAAAGGATATCTCTGAAAATCTGGAAATGCATTAGAACCTAATGCTGCAGTAATACAGTATTGCAAATTAATCAAAAGAAACTGACATTTTATTAAAAGAAATGTTTTGATAATTAGCTTTACTGATCAAAACATATTTAAGGTACCCAATACACTCCATTTCTGTGAACCCTGTATTATTATTTAAAACGTGTGTTAGGAATATCAAAGAAGTATATTTCTTTCACCTGCAAAACATAGTTAAACTCTCTGTTCTGTGCATCTAAACAGAAACATTGATAAATTACTTTATTTAACCAACATTAGTTTACTGTAACACCTTACTGGATTATCTCCTAAAGTATTAAATCGGCTTCAGTATGTCCTGAATTTAGTAGCTTGTGTGCTTATTACATGTACTCTGCTTCAACACATCACCCCCATCCTACAGTATGTAGATTGCATGTGAAATTTAGAGTAGACATCAGAGGTCTCCTGCTCATCTATAAGACACTGAATTATATCCCTCGATAGTACTTTAAGGAATTATTGCATGAAGATAGTCCAGCTCTCATCTTTTCTCTTAAAATGTATTGTTCTGGCACTACAGTGGGTGAGGTTTATAGAGGAGGTACATTTTAGGCTGGAGGTCTGAGGAGGCTTTGTGCACACTGTACTGCTGCAGTGAAATTTGCATTCCACCTTAACTCATAATGTCCTAATTGAGCTAATCATTAACTTAAATGAACCAATTTTCAAAGGCATTCAGCTTCAACTTTGAAACACTTTTCAAAGGTCTTCAGCTGATGATTTTTTAAGAGACTTAGAATACCTTCTGGTTTCTTGCCCTGAGCAACTGGAGTTAGGAAACTCTCCTCTATAACTTTCCCACGGAAATTCGTAGTTCCTGAAGGTGCAGAAACACCTGCACAATCTACACTTCCCACATGCCCTGGGAGTTTAAAGGTTGTTCATAAGGTCAGCTGAATTTAACAAGCAAGCATGGAATATATTCAGAGTGTGCTTCAATGTATTTAAAATTGGTGCTGACACAGCATCTGTGTTATTCTAGTGGTGAAAGACTAAACTTTTGTAGAGTATGACTTTTCCACTCTTTTAGAAGAGGTTTATAGAGACATTGAAAGATTGATTTCAGAGTAAGTATTGTGCTTAGTGTGGGGGTTTTATTCTTGGAGGGTGCAGTGTCTTCTGGTTTTTGAACATTGAGTCTAATAATTTAATTAATAATTATAACCAGGCTCTGAGATTGGTAACTACACCTTTAAGTGAGTGTTTTGAGTACTTATCTATAATACACCTTTAAGAAGCATCTAGTAATCCTGTGCAAGTCTAAGTAAAAGAAAATCTTGCTATTATTTGACATTTCAGGTTAAAGTCAAATCCAGAAGATGCTCGGTTTTCCCTGCCTTAGAGAGAAACCCATGAATTGCATTTTGAGTTGCTTGTCTGTGTTAATCATTTCTAACTGTTTTGTTCAATTCAGGATTACGGGGGAACCAAAGCCTATCCCAGCAAGCAATGGGCACAAGGCAGTGTACACCCCGGAAGGGAAGCCAGACCATCAGAGGACTTACAGACACAGCCACTCTTACACCAGGACCGGTTTTCTCAAAAGCTAACCTACTAGCATGCCTTTGGACTGTGGGAGTTAACTAGAGCACCCAGACGAAACCCAAGTGAACACAGGGAGAGCTTGCAAACTCCACACAGATAAAACCCCAGCAATTGAAGTACTACACTACTGTGCTGCCCTTTTAAGAATTCAAAACTCACTTATTTAGTGACCTTCATAATTACAATATATTAATATTTCAGCTGCTTCCAGTGTTCTAGCCATAGAACAACCTACCTACTGCTGACTGCATAAATGTAAGATTGTACATTGAAACCACAGAGTACTGAAGATACCCGGGCATCATCCGGTGTTGGCTGGGCACACAGATATAGCTACGGTGCTCTGTGTCTGTAAATTGCTCCTGGTTGACAACAGGACACTTTACATACTTTTAGGGTGAAAAGGATATTGTTGGTAGATGTGCTTTTTTGTAAGTTATTGTAACTGTCTTTGATGTTGTATTTTAATTGTTTTTATTTTGGCAAAGGTGCTCTGGCGTGCATAGGCATACATTTGTATTGAATGTAGTTTAGTAAATACTATACTAAGCATAGAAAAGCATCCTCTCATCTATATTGCCTGTAGCTAAGTGTGTACCTTTAAACCTCCACTGCTACTTAAAAATAACCCAAACAATTATTTGGGGAAAAACAAATGTTCTGTAAGTGACTGAAAATCAGAAGGTTGAGGCTTCTGTTGAGTCCTTAAATTAGATAGGGTAATAGCATTGTAGTTAATGTTTTATTATCAGCCACCTGGGTTTCTTTTTTAGTCTCTTTGCCATTTTATTTAATAATTAACATAAATTGCCACTTCTCATACAGCATCAAGCCTCTTTCTTTCACATACTAAGGTCAACATCATTATTCTTCTCCCTCATAAATACTGTTTGTATGGTCTTGGGAAGGAGCACAGACATCCTACTCAGCAAAAATGACCCTGGGAAACCTTCAGGTTTTGGTAGTACACAAGGGACAGCCGGCCACTCCCAGTTAAAGGAGGAAAGCATCTCTCGGATACCCCAGCTAGGGAAAGTTGAAAAGGTTAAGAGAATGACACTGGTAGTCTCAGCTCTTATGAGGCTGGAGTCCGAGATTAAGGCTCGAATTAGTTAGTAACTCTTCAGATAAAACGTTTTGGTTAATTTGGCCACTGTGTGAACGGGAGTAATCTCCTAATTTAAAAAATCTACCGTATTTTTGAGATTTGTATGAAAATGAAGATCAGGATAGTTCAGATTTTTGGCTTTCTCTTCACAGTTCTGGGCTGGATCTTTGTGTCCTGTACCATGGCCATGGAGTACTGGAAGATCTGTGGGCTGGGAGGCCTGGGCGGCAACAACATCATCTCTATCATCTGGTATTGGTCCAGTCTCTGGAGGGCCTGTTACACTGACTCAACTGCTGTGACCGACTGCATTGATTTCCCTGTGCTGTGGGCAGTGGATAGTATGTATCCTTCTGCTGTTTTTGACATTTTGTTTGACTATTTTTAGTGATCGCAACTGGCAGCTTGTACAGAAGGTTGCTCAAGTTCATTTTCTCTTGGATTTCCTTTGTGTAAACCAGGCAGTTACTTTGCTGTTTGTTTCAATACCTCTACTTAACCATGTTTTTAACCACATTTTTACCATCCTGATCTTTCCTTTATACAACACAGTGTAGAAAGTGTTGACGTATTTTTCTTTTTGCTGTGACATTCTTTTCACAAGTGATCTGTTTAAATATCTACAGAGCTGTACTGATGGACATACAAAGTAGGTTTTACTCAGATTGTCATTTTATATTTCACTTTTAGCTCATCAAGTCTTCTTGAGGGTTTACCACCGACTGTCAAATATATACACATTACTGTCAAATGTGTATAGGTTTATATTTGTACATATTTACTAATGCATAGAGAAAAGGTTTCAAAGGTTGAGCTACTTTGTGTAAAATAAAAGACTTTCTTAAAAAATGTTTTGTACGCGAAGTTTTAAGTATTATAAAAATATAAAATAATAATAGATTTGTTTCAGGACTTTTCATAAAAGAGATAGCCTTCATCTTTGTAAAAAGAGATTTTCACACAGAAAAAATGTATAGCAGGCAGCAAGGTGGCATAGTAGCTATGCAGATGGTTAATTAATGCTGGTAGGTTAATTGGCTTTTATTTAAAAAATTGAGACTGACTTGATTTTGAGTGTGTCTGTGTCTGTGTGTACCCTGTGATGTACTGGCATCCTGTCCAGGGTGTACCCCACCTTGTGCCTGTTGCTTGCCAGGATAGGCAACCTGGCAACTCTGAATTGGATGAAGTCTTTTTTTAAGAAAGTATTTTATTTTATAGAAAATTAATAAATGGATGAAAAAGCAGAGCAAATTATTTTTTTTTCATTTAGTTCAAAATGATTTTAGAGGTTTCACGAATAAAGAATATCACCATTTTAATTTTAAACAGATCACATCCAGATTGTCAGAGGCCTCCTCATTAGTGCTCTCGTCAGTGGCCTTTTAGCCATTGTTCTAGCTTTGATTGGAATGGAATGTACCTACATTGGAGGCAAAGAGAAGATCAAGCATAAATTTACTTTTGCTGGAGGAGTGTTCCATATTCTTAGTGGTAAAGAGTTTTTCATTTTTTTAAATATTTAATATATAGGCACATCTTAAATATAACCATTACAGTGTTGACTTTCCTTTTTCTCTCACAGGATTGTCATCTTTCTCTGGATATGTTGTATATGCAAACAATGTTTCAGGAGAATATTTTAATCCCGCTTTTCAAGGGCTAAAGTAAGTACCAAGACAAGGGACTTGTAATGACAATAAAGCATGTTTAATGAACAGTATGTAGCAGTAAGCTATGATTGTGTTGTTCTTGATGATGACAGCATTATCACCTCTAGACAGAACTTGTCAGGTCTCTGAAGTAAAGTTATTCTGGATCTGGTCATAACTATACCCTAATGGGAGACCTTGAAGGAAAATCAGGTCACTGCTGTAATTGGTGAACCAATAGGTGGCATTCTTCCCTCTGGATCAGAATTTCCAAACCAATATGTCAATATTGTAACAGGCGACTGTGTAGGACATACTTTGAATGAGATATTATATCAAGATTATTATTTGCTCATTAAAGATCCAAAGATTCTACAACACTATACAAAAGAACAGGAGTATTAGCCCCATTATCGTAACTAAACCCCATGCAGGCTTAAACAGTCTGCTCTAACTAAAATTCCCCTTTAATTACTTGGTAAAGTGATTTCTGTTTTCTCCACTTAATCTGCTGTGCAGAGAGGCTGAACTACGGCTTCTGCACATCACAGAACTGGGTTCATGGTGCTAGACTTCAGTAGTGGGTGATGTGGATCCCTTCCTTTGAGATCATTTGAGATTAAAACAAGCGTATCAGTGATAGTACATACTTAATATTAATAAGAATAGTGATGAAGAATGAGTGAGTAATAAAAAAAACAGAATATTTAAGGAGACATTGGTCTTAACAGGTGTGTAATTTTGAAAACAAAAATAAATTAAGTATGCAAAAAAATCAACAGTATTTTATCCAGAAAGAAGGCCTGACTGACTGGAAACCAAAGAGGAAGCAGTGTGCTTTGCTATGTCATTGCTATAGCACTAATGAAGGCAATCATTAGAACAGAATTATCAAATGGGATGCAGAGAAATCTATTCCACTATTTCTCAAAATGTTGTTCTGTCCATTCCATTCATTAAGTACTGTATGTGGAAAGCAAGAAACAAAAGAATGTTCTGGCAGATCCAGTTTCTGAATTAGTGTTGATGTGAACACATTCAGTTGACAGAATAATTGCTCATTTCAGATCTAAAATATGGAATCTAGATCTTTTCCAAAAAGTTCTAGATTACTCTTAGACAGGTGTAGTGCTTAAGTATTGTTATACCGAATGTGTTTGATTTGTTTTCAGGCAGCTGTAATTTTTCAGTACCTGTTTCTACTAATCATTTTCATTATACTCTTTAATATTTATACTTTGCATTTGTTTCTTGGATAGTTTTTTAACTTATATATATAACTTTATATATATATAAAATATATATTCTAAAGCTCACCATCAAGAAAGGCAGATGGAAAATTATATATGCTCTTCTATGTATTTAAATGTTGTGTTTTTTCCAGGTTTAATTTAGGAACTCCTCTTTTTCTTGGCTGGGTGGGCTCTATGCTTTGCATCACAGGAGGTATATTTTATAGCATCTCAGTGGGAAAGCTAGTTTTTGAGCCAAGGTGGGTACAAAAGCATGTTTGTTAAACAATGTTATTTATAATAATAATATTTCAGTAAAATCTGTGGTTATTATAAATGTGTATAACACAAGTGTTCCCCAGGGCAGTGGCTGTACATGTAGCTGTATGCAATTGTTTAACAGTTCTTACCAGGTTTCAAAGGTGTTGCTGCATCTGTGAAAATGAAGCTTGCCTAGAATTGTGACAGCGCTGAAGTGATTTAAAAATGGGATTAAATTTATAGTCATTTATCATGCTTTGGCAAGTGACAAAGATGGGGGGAGACTAGAGCTGTTGTGCAAGAAATATAATATATATGAAAGAACGCCTGAGGTGCTATAAACCTGTGTGCGTGATACTGTTTTATTGTTTTGCTATTTCATTTTTTGAGTTTACGCTGCAAGTCCAGATTTACCCTGCCAGCCTTATTGTCATTTTATTTTGTTAGTTCTTTTCATTTAATTTATTATGTTATCCTATCTACTATCACTTCTTGTAACCTTCTATAGTTTGTAAGTCATCCTTGCAAATGGTTAATAACTGTCTGCTAAGCAAATAAATAATCGTGATATTAAATATGGTTAAATGGTCAATTTTATGAAATCAATTTTGGGGGACTATGTTAAAACTCAAAAATGAAATGTAATGGGAATGTCTCGTCTGCTTCCAAGCTAACATCTGTTGTCGTCTTTAGCAGTATTGTATTATTACTGTACATCTAACTGTAAGATTTTGAATATTTGTAAAACTATGAATAAGCTGCTATATAACCATTGCAAGTATTTTACCATTATTTTACTTGACATTCCTGCCAGACAGTCAGGGCTGTCCTTTGGACAGCTTCTTGACATTTTAACGTTCAAACAATATCTAAAAAGCAAAATCAAACAAAACGGGTAGTAGTGTAGTGTGATCTGGTGTACTGTATTTTTATGGCCACATAGTATGTACTAGCAGATTTATCATCCTAATAACCGTAGCTGATTTACCTGAGTAAGGAATCTGTCCCAAAAGTAATCCACTCTGTCTGACACCCTTGCAGAGTGATCTACTCGGACTCTGAAGGATCCGTTCGCTCCTCGAATTCAGGCCTGCTAAGCACATCCGGGGACCCAAGAGAAGCTTATAGAAGCCAGAGGACTCAGTTTGACAAAAATTCTTATGTATGAATATGGTTGACGGGAAGATAATGACAGCAGGATGGTGGTGGAAGAAGATCCTGCGCCTGGACCTGTTAGGCGTACAAAATTAAGCAAGCAGATGATGTTTACTTCTCCTACCTTTGGAACTTGTGTTATGTGTAATACATGCAAATATGATAGGACTCTGATGCAGCTGGCTGTTGTTATCCTCCCACTCACAACTAATAATTGTTTTCATGTTTGTTTAATCAGAATCATTCTTTTTCTTTCTGCAGAGTCTTGACAAGCAGTTAAACACCTGGTGCTGTGTGCATTTCTAGCTTATTACGTCTTAAAGGTAGTAACAAATAAGGACAAATAAGAAAAACAGATGGTAAAAGCTAATTATTTGCATTTAACTTCTTTGTTTTATTTGGTGAGACACATAACAGCAAGATCCTAGCTGTACAGTATATTACACTATACTTTACTATGTGTTTATGTAAAGAAAAAAAGGCAAAATTGAAGAAAGATGTGGTACAAGCAGTGGTACGACAGTGCAGTGGTTAGTATTGCTGTCTTGCAGCTCTGAGGCCCTGGGTTCAATTCTGAATCTGGGGTTCTATCTGTGTGGAGCTTGTATGTTCTCCCCACGTTCAGGTAGGTTTCCCCCAGGTTCCCTGGTTTCCTCCCACAGTCCAAAGGTTACCTGGCTTCTGGGAAAATTAGCCTTAGGTGTGAGTGTGCATGTCAATGTTTGTGTCCGTGTGTGCTCTGTGATGGACTGGTGTCCTGTTCAGTGTGTACCCTGCATTGTGCCTGTTATTTGTTAGGATAGGTTTTGGCTCGCCTGAGATCCTGAATTGGAAGAAGCATTTAGAAAATGAATGGATATGGTACAGGTCCTATTTTGTAGATATCTAACTCTAATCCTGTGATTCTCATTGCTAGACCTGGCAAACCACAGAGGCTTCTGGTTTTCCTTCAGATCTATTTCTCCATGACATAATTTAAACATTACTGACATAACTGAGTGAGGACTGCTCCTGTAATGTGATAAAAAAATATCCAAAAATAATGGCCTTGTTAACATTTATCTCTGTGGCTTTAAGTGTTGTGTCTTGTGAAGTCTGGTTCCTGATCATGTTCAAAATATTTCTAATTGCTTACATTTTTTCAGGTGAAAAAATGTTTGACGGAAAGTATGAATATCATTAAAGATGTGCTCTTTCCACTACCTCAAAAGATTTTAATAACCAATATGATTTTTTATTTTACTTTTTCTTGCAGTCAAGGTTTAGTTTTCCTCCCAGACAGTGAGATAAAAAAATATCTGCAAACAAAAATCTTTGAACAAACCCATTAACTTGCCACAAGAGGGAGCCAGAGGTCTTTAGCAGCATATGAGGTACAAAACAAAATTGTAGGTGACATCTGCAAAGTGCTGACATTTCCACTGCACCGTGGTCAAGGTTCAAAAAGTATTTCTGCAACTCTGTTGGTACAGGACACAAACCTATCAGGTCACTTTGAAAGGACATCATCATGCATATAATGTAATGTTATGCTGTGTTGTTATTTTACACATTTACTCAAATAATTGATTTACATGTGCAAAACCTAATTTAAGGTGGCAGTTATTCCCAGTTTATATTATTTGATTATCCTTCCATCTAACACTTCATCCAATTCAGGGTTGCAGGAGAACTTGGGCCTCAGCAAGCAATGGGAGGAAAATGGAGAGCCCGGAGGAACCCCATGTGAACACAGGAAAAACATACAAAATACGCGCAGATAGCACCCAGGTCCAAAATTGCCCCAGCCATGCTGACTAGTGTACCACCATGCCATTACTATTTTTTTAAACATAAAAAATTGCTGAACACTGTCCTGCTCCTCTCAATATTTATCATACCTGTATTTTCAGTATTTGTTTTTGATTCTTTTGTTTTATCTAGAACATTTTGAGCATTTAAGGTGTTATCTGTTTACTGTTTACTGTTCATACTCATTGACTTCAGGAGGCAAACACACTATTAAAACAATGTTTTTTGCCTTATTATTTTGATTGAGCTCAGGCGAACAGACAACACAAACAGCGAATTACAAAAAACATTTAAATACTAAAACATGTTGTGGTCCTACAGACTTTATGTTTCAACAAATGGAACATTAATTTATTTTGCCCTGCTTATGCAAGTAAATAAATTTCATGTTTCCCATAAGAAAATGAACAATTGACAGTAAATATCACCATAAGATTGCATAAACTCCTCATCCACACTATAGTAAAATGTGATCCAACCACAAACATAAGAGCAAGGGAAAGTTCTTGTCAGCAAATGCAGCCCTGGAAAACCATTTGTAAAGATGTACAAGGACAGTTTAACCCCACCCCTTTTAAACAGTGGCTATTATAAGCTATGAACATTAAAAAAAAAACAATAGTGATTACACCTAACAGATCCAGCCTCAGCCAGTCAGAACTCATCTTATACTTTACCTTAGAGTTCTCTCCACTCCCCTCCTTGGTGCCCTCAGAACTAGAGTGTATGCCATTTCTTGCTCGGAGAAGGGAAGGTGCCTTCTATTCTTTGTGAAAAACTATGAGGAAAAGGCTGGCACAGATATTTGGCTTTCTTGTGTCGACCACAGGCTGGATCTTTGTAGCTTGTACTATGGCCATGGATCACTGGAAAGTGGCTGAGATTGGGGGCAAGGGTGGCAGCAACATCATCTCTATAGCTTGGTACTGGTCTAACCTCTGGAAGGACTGCTTCATTGATTCAACCGCGGTGGTTAACTGCAGAGACTTCGCAGTGTTGTGGGGAGTGGAGAGTATGTATTTTTTTCTTTTTCTCATTTGCTGCCTTTCCTATTGCATCCTTTAACAAAGCTTGTTAATGTGTAGTAACAATTTTCCACTTGTTCATCTTTGATACTTCCCTTGTCATATTCTATACTTCTGAATCAGGAATATACGTCATACGAATTATTTTTATTGCATTCTTCTCAATGGCCTTTTAAATAATGTCTTTCAACATTCACTGACATTGTATTGCCTTCTCAAATAAAACAAGATGTGAGCCTTGCTGTGTAGACTTCACAGTGTGGGGGCCCACATATCTGTAACATCTCTGAGGGGCAAATATCGAGGTGCAGTTAAAAAGTTTAGAAAGAAACTGTGCCACAAGTAACTGTGGAAGTCAAAGTTCTGTAGAGTTCGGGATGCAAAGCTAGTCTTGAAGCAGACCACTGAATACATTCAGGCAAGAAAAGTTCTGCTACACATTGCAGAGCCTCAGATGTAAGTGAGGGCAACACATACCCTTTCCCCGGAGCTATTTGGAGCCGGACAGCTCTTGGGAAAATAGGAGCGATGTGTGTCAATATTCTGACAGAATACTTCCAGTGTGTCTATACAGTTACTAGAACACCCTAGAATAAACCAATGGGTTGCACCAAGGATTTTGAAGGGGTGTTAGAATGATAAACACTAATATTTACTATGTTTTAATAACACATTTATTTATATTTTAATGTATGTTAATCATCCTCACAAATAAAGACAACCATGAAGCTTGACTTTTGAGTTCCAGTATTGTGTTTTCACATCAAATTACATCAAATGTGCAGTAGTTTTAAACCTTTTTAGCTATTAGCAGCCTTAGTTCAAAACAGAGTGGCAAACATTAAATGTATATCTTTATTGGAACACTGTTTTTATTTATAATTTTCCTTTTCTTTTCTCAAGCAGTATTGCTTTCAATCAAACAAAATAACTATTTTTTAGAAATGCTAGAACATACACAATTGCATCTGTGTTAATAAAGTATATTTATCAGTTCAGTGTACGATTAATAAAATCCAATATATTTTTATCAGACTTTTGATGCCTTGTCATGATCTCATCCTCCATCAAAAAATAAATTCTAGCTCTGGAGACCCACACAAAAACTCTCACAGGAATGTACTGGAATACAACAGAGTGACTGTGGTTCAGTTGTTCACATTAACACTCAATGAAAACCAACTGTTCCCCAGAATATGCATACTTAAAATGTTTAGCATCCAAGCAGAAATACTTCTCCCAGTACATATGGCAACAAAAGATTTTGTTTTGCAAAATCTTCCTGTTGTTGATCAAATTTGAACTGCATTGGTTTAATTTAGAAACTGTCCTTTATGAATTTCAGTAGGCCTAAAACTAAATCCAAAATTTGGCAAATCAAAAACAAAACCCAAAAGCTTCCTGAACACTGCAAAATCAAGACCTAAAATTATCCCCACTTTATAAAGATCTAGGAAATGTCACTATTTCAACCATATACTGTATTATTACATTTCCATATGAATACACATGAAATTCAACTGGCACTGACATTGATTTGTTTTGAACAGAATATATCCAAGGTGTCCGGGGTCTCGTGATGATCGGTCTTTCCCTGGGATTTTTTGGAGCCATCCTGGCTTTCCTGGGGATGGAGTGTACTTTCATTGGGGGAAATGACAAAACCAAGGATAAAGTGTTATTCATAGCAACAGTATTTCATTTTGTTGGTGGTAAGTATTAACAAATTTCTTGTATTACATTTTAAAACATTAAGTGTTGAATACCATAGTTAAAATGTGGTTTCTCTACTCTATAATGGGAGACATTCTTCAAGCTGCTCAATACTGAAAACTGTGGAAGGGAGATAAGAAATATTGCAGTGCATTGTAAGTGTAGGCAAAGTGAAATTCAAGGAAGTCTGCCTATAATTTTCGTTGTCCCCTGTGTGCAGTCACTGGTTTCGAAGGTGCGAGCTAAGGTGTGAAAGATACCCAAATCAGCGAGTTTTTGCTAAGAGTGCTTTAATCCAATACAGTGAAATCACGTTTCAAACAAAAATTAGAACTGGAAGAAAAGCACATATTGTAAAATCGTATGAAATTTGAAAATTCTGCGCACCTTTATTAAGGGCGCATTTTTTTGTTTCCACCTTATAACGATATCGCTGAAATATCTTTTTCAGGTTTGTCAAACTGTGCTGGATATTGCTTGTACATAAACCAAATTGCTACAGATACCTTCAACCCAACTGTCACTGGACTACAGTAAGTGATAAACTGTAGAATTCTGGGGGTTTTGTTCAGGGGTTGTATTTTTTGTTTTTAATAATGACATGCCTTTAATTGTATCTTGTGTAATGCGCTGCTTGACCATGTTCAAAATACTTCTAATTGCTTACATTTTTTCAGGTGGGAAAAGTTTTGACTGAAATTGTGAATAGTATTTAAAAAACAAATTCCACAACCTCCAAAGGTTTTAATAACCATATATGGTACAAAGGAATTTTAGTTATTTTACTATTTATTGCTGTCAGGGTTTGGTTTTCCACCCAGAGAAGTAAGGCACTGTAAGCTGTTACAGCTGTGAGAAACAAAAATGTGGTACATAATTATATTTCAAAAGTTTACTATGCATGAACTTAATTTGTAGTCTTCTTTAATACTATGTACTTATCAAAATAGTGTGCTTAGCATGATTTGCAAGGGGGTTTGCTTTTATTTTTAATATTTGGTTGCATCTCTCATTCTCCACATGCCATTTAGAATATTGATATCCATAATCTGTAAAACAAATGGTAGGTACACCTGGTGGACTTAATAAAACAGATTTTATTTTAAAGTTCAAAATCTCACACAATGGCAGTGGTATTTTAAACATCTTAATATTCATGTTTATTATCTCCAAATATTTACAGTTTCTATTTTCAGCATCTAATAAGACAGTATTGTGAGAAATGCAAGGCAATAATTCAGATTTTGTGTTCTTATCAAGACAATTAAATATATACTGAAAGTGCAATAAATTATTGGGCGAATATTGGAACCATTAGTCTTTATTTATTTAGCATATTTTAAAATAGTTTTTAATGCCTGAATGTGTATTTGCAAATATACATTGGAATTTTCTTAAGCACTGCACTTCCTTCACAATTAATAAATTGTGTTTATGATCTAGTATAATAGTATAATCAGAGAAACACATTTTGAATTGCTTCGGGACAGAATAGATTGGCCAAAACAATAAAAACTATAAAAGAAAATGTTTCTGTCACATAAGTGCAATATATGTAGTCTGTTCTTTAATTTCTGACTGCATATCAAATCACTGGTCTTCATATACTGTACTATATGTTTTTTTTCTTCTATGTACAGTAATTGTTTTCATAAGATAAATATTGAATGTTTGAATGTTTCAGTAATATCAATTTTTGCTGAATCTTGTAAACTGCAATTACGTCACTACTGTACTATTGTGAAAATCCACCGAGAAATGAATTAGAAAGGTGTTACAAAAGTATTTCAGTATTCTAATTTAAGAGGTACTAAAACAAGTTCAAATGTTTATTTTCAAATTTTTAACATTAGGTGTTTGCTTCTACTTTTTCAGAAAAGGGTATATCAATTTACTTCACCATAAACATTTAATGAATCCAGAGAAACGTCTTAATGTCGTAAATAAGAAATTAACTATGCACTTTTTTACAGATTTATTCCAGGAACCCCCATATTCCTTGGATTAGTTGGTGCTTTTTTGATAATGGGAGGAGCCATTCTTTATGCTGTCTCTATCCTGAAAGATATCTTCCCCAAAAGGTGAGATGCAATGTTAGAAACATTACCTTAAATGTCAAATTAAAAAAATCAAATATAACTATGATTAAAATTACTCTTAAGCTTAGCACTAAATCCTCACCCAAGGAACCATTCAAAACACAGATTATACTTTGGATCGATCCTCTTTTTGAAAATTGGTTTTCATTAGCTTAAAAATGTTCATAGGAAAATTGTTTAGTGTCCTAATTTTATAAGTTTCAATAAGGCTAACAGTGGAGTGTTAGCATAAGTGGAGAGAGAAAACATCTAGCTGTACATCATTTCCATAAATCTTGGAAATTTCCATAAATCTGTTTGTTAAAAATGTATTAACATGAATACTAATGCTAGAACATTCTTAGCATTGTGTTAGTTCTTGGTTGGGGGAGCAAATATTTTCACAAAGCCTGCAGTGTTAAAATCTTGTAGCTTGAGAATATACTGTAAGTAAGACCGAGTCTGTCCTGGGATACAATCTTCCAGAATGGTGTTCAGGGATACTGTAATGTGGAAGGTGATGTCCTTTGGATCAGACCTTAACACAGTTAACCCCAGGGGTCTGGCTAAATTCCACCTTGGGCTTGCATAATGTGGTTATTTGAGGTTAATTGGTGAAACAGCTTTTCGCTTTTTCACATGATTTGCTGTGTAGTGGGTCTGCTGGTGTCTAATGCAGCCTCATGTCACCCAAGTAGGTTCTACACTCAGTTTGATGTGGGCTCCCTCCTACATGTACATATAAAAATACAAGGCACATTTACATGCAATGTCGATGATGATGATGATGATGATGATTATTATTATTATTATAGTTCTTTATCAGATGAATACAGTATGGAAAAAGTGAAAAAAACTTCAACCACTGTACTCGGCATGCAACCAACTTTAACAACATTTATTACCCCTTAACATGAATGACTTGTTTTGTTGTACTGTATATGTTATGACTGTAAGCCAAGAGATGGTTGTTCAGTAAGAGTCTAACAATAATTCAGCTGTACTTGTTTTTCTTGCAGTTCAACCTACGTTTATAGTGCAATGTCTTATGTCCACCCCAAATCCAGAAACACGACCATACATGGAAAATATTCCAATGGATCAAGAAGATCTAGAGAGTCAGAGGGTTCCAAGATTTCTACAATTTCCAAAGGATCCGTCTCCAGGACAAACATAGGAGTGACCTCAGACAGAGATGCCTTTGTGTAACTTGGTGTCAGAACATATTTAATTGGACTGAATGACTTTTCAGCATCTTTGGGGTTGAATGCCACATAAATATGGTTATTTGTATTCTATGTTTTTAGTTGGTTTTGTAGGTGTTAGTTTTATGAATGTATTAAAGAATATATTTGTTAACATATATATATATACTATAGATTTTTTAATATATATTTTTTTCTTCTACTTTTTAAAGAAGCCAGTGTATCATCTTTGATAGTTGGCTGAGTAGCTCATAACCCATTATGTAGGAAGTCCTCTGCAGTGCTCAGTTTTAAATGCACTTCTCTGATTTGCATTTCACTTTTGATTAAGTTCATTTGGTTGACTTTCTCAATATTCTCAGGTTTCTCTTAAAAGACATTAGAGATTATAACAATTGAGTTTTCTTAGCCTATCAGAAAATTATTTTCCTTTAAGCCCAGTAATGTATATGCTCACTCCTCTGTCTACTAATTTCAGAGCAGCAATTTCTATTTTGTAACTTGGTGACCAACGTTGTACATATTATTCTAAGTGAAACATTGTTCAAGTTTAACAAAAAACCTATTGAATTCTGCTTGTCGTTTTATCTATTTACCACATTCTCTACACAAAAAATAAACATCTAATTCTTGTTCATATATAGTTCCTTAAATATCAGTTCCCTAATGTATATCTATATATAGCCTATGTTTATGTCTATAGTTTATGTTTTTTCAACTGCATAATACTCTAGTACTACACAAATAATGTAATAAATCTGTTAGCGAGCAGTTTCTACTGAGCGCTTACCTTCCAGTCTTGAATTTTGTTTTGGTGTTCCTCTGCATCTTCCTGCTCCTCCTGTTGTATCAAATTTGAATGTGACTGGTTTACTGGCTAAACCAGAGCCTAGATCGCTGATGTAAAGAGCAGTGGTCATCATACAAACCCATCAATGCAATTTGAGCATTTGCAATCTATCCATATTCTCTTTCTTACTTATTAACCCATTCTTAATTCAAAGACATTACCATTAATGCTTTTCAGTGCCTTCTAAGTAGAACTGAATTAATCTTTTATCAAAGACCTTATCAAATGTCTTCTGAAAATCTAAAAATACAATCTTGTATGCCCTGTTTTTATCCATAACAGTTTCTTGCTAAAAAATGTAATCAAAACCTCTAATCCAATATCATTTAATCTAGAATTATATTTTTGTTTAGCTTGGTACACGATGCCAGTGTCTTCCTCTGTAAACACCTGAGGGTGGCATGGTGGTGCAGTAATGGTGTCCTGCAGTGCTGGGGTCCTGGGCTCAATTCCTGGGCTGCTATGTGTGTGGAGTTTGTGTGGGTTTCCTCAGATGCTCTGGTTTCCTCCCACAGTTCAAACACATGATGATGATGTTATCTGGTCAGTCGGATCCGACTCTCAGCGATTCTATAGGCCATCTCTCGCCACGCTTTCCGGTCTTGGACTTTCCCTTTCAGCTGTTCTATACCTAAGCCAGTGTCAGGTTTGATGGGTCGAGCCACAGCGTTTTTTGGCGGCCTCGTCTTCTTGTTCCACTGACCATTCCAAGCATCAGTGCTTTCTCCAATGAATCTGATCGGATCACATGACAAAAATAAGTGAGCCTCCATATGTTTATGTGTGTATATTTATGTATATGTATATATGTATGTATATGTTTTCTCCATCTCTGTATCCTCACTCTTTGTGAATGATAGTTAAAAAGACAATATAAACACAGGCCTTTTTTCTTTTGGATGCTCTGAAACACAATAAACCTGTTGTGAGACATGGTTACCATTTCATTTTCAGTTGCTGATATCCCTAGTGATTTATTTCCCAATCAATGTGAGAAAAGTTTAAATTGCCTCAGGTAACTCCTTCTTTCTTTACACGTTAATTCCTGATTTTATTATAAAACACTATAGCACTATATAACACTAACCCAACACTATGCACTATGAATGTTTTTGTAAAGTTTATGTATCTAGATGGTAGTTCCTTAATTCCTCTATTTTAGGTTTCTGTGCCTGAATGTTCCTTATTATGTAAAGAGCTACAATTTTTCTATCTTTTCCATCTGTCTCTCTAGACAGTTATGTACTAACTGATGTTGTATTTTTCACCATCACGCTCTGTTAGCTTCCTGTGATTATAGGTCCATTATGTTTCTGCTAGTGCTCCTGCAGTAGTTTCAATTTATTGCATTTTGTTCTAAATATTCCAAATAGCTAATTAAGTAATTACTAGGTATAAGTACTTAAGTGCCTGGTCCACTGGACCTGGTCCATTGGAAGCTGCTGATGGTTTGGAGTTTGCAGTTCACCTTTGCATGATGCCGGCAGGATCCTGAAGAAGATCACTGACCTGCCCCTGCTCTACAGTTTGATTCCAGAGTTTTAGAATTGTTTTATATAAAGGGGGCAATTTATACAAGAGTCGTCTGTCACAACGTGAGCAAAAACCTGCTGTGTTTGTCACCTCGGCCCCATAGAGACAACATGGTGTTAATGACTCAGGATCAGTGATGCACATCTTAGTTGTAGAGGATGTTCAGAAGAAGACAAAGAAATCAATCAAGTCATTTGACTCCTTTGAGAACAATTTAACCAAAGCACACCTGTCCCATGGCATTCCTCTTGCAGATCCAGCATAAAACAACCAACTCTAGTTTTCCTACATAGGTCTCTGAAATATGGAAAAAACATGGGATGTACTGTACATTTGTTGTACATCATGCAGAAATGTTTTTTCCACCTCTAGGCTATATGTGTCTGAATGTATTGGGACTGCAAACACATTCACATAGACAGACGGTCATGTATCTACAGTAGTATGTAAAGGAGTGTAGGGTCAGATGTAGTGCACATTTAAGACATACTGTATTTCTGTCAGTGTAGAATTGCTCTGCCAGAACAATTTAACATTAAGCAAGGGATCCTGATCTGGTGGCTTAAGCATTCAGTCAGTGTTAAGAATTGGTCACAATCTGTGCCTTTGCAGTAGAACCTACTTCAAAGAAGAGAGTACAGCTTTGTTGAACACCTTGTCCTGACCAGATAATACATCCCTAAACTATTATTTAACCACAAACAAACCTAAAAATAGTAGGTTATTCAAAACAAAAGGTCAAAGGAAGATATTTCCATGATGCTTACCTGAGATTTTGTGTAGTTTCCTTGAGCATAAAACCTCACCCTCATATTCAGTATTTTTAAGTTTTAAAAGAAACTAGCAAATGTTTCTCTCAAAAATTGTAGCTGTTGTAGAAGTTTGTTTAAACAATCAGAAGTCTAATTCTTTCATATATAATATATTTTATATATCAATATAATCTTATATATGTGTGTGCAAAGAATATTATATAATAATAAAAGTGAATTTTAAAATTTTAAGCATGAAGGATTATTCTGTAAACTACGCTGCTGAGGTGGACAGAAAAGAAGTCATGAGTTTTTTTCCAGTAATACAAAATAAGTGTATTATAATTACCATTATCATTCATAGTCAATAGACAAGGCTCCTGTTATACAGTACAAGTACGCAAGTTTAAAAATCTGCCTACCCTGCTTAATAGGTTTTAGTTGTGGGTATTCATCAGATAAAAATGTGTTTTCTGGAATGGTAGAGACTGATAAAATCTTTTGCAGTGATAGCCTTGAATTCACACAGAAAAAGAACTAGTAATCATGCCAGTATCAGCAGAAAAATAAAGATGTTGATCTTTCCCAGCTAAAGAAAAAGCCCTGGGAACCACTAACTTATTTACTGATTTAAAGATATAAGTGTCTTGGCAGATTTAAACAAAATTAAAGTATAGGTTGTGCTACAGGATTCCCTTCTTTCTGTCCAATCCAATGAATTCCACCACCCGCTGGACATTTTTCTGTGTCTCCTGTTTTCTTCACCCCACTATAGCCTGAGGAGCCATGACCTCTCTTGAAGGTGGATTTGTCACTGTTTAGAAATCACAGGTTTGTTGTCAGTGTTTTGGAAACACATTCTTTGGCAATTCGGGACTCAGTCTGGTAAATTAACGACTCATCTTCAAGTTCAAGGAAAACAATATACAGTATACTAGTATAACAAAATTGTGTCAATTAGATATGAATATCCAGGCCAGATCGTTTCCTTTAAAAGCATCTTTATTTTGATAGACAAAGATGAACAAAATGACCTTTACTTTTTTATTATATCAGAAAATATCACATCACATGCTTGAATTGGCTTAACTGTTACAGACCAACTTATTTTATAGATTTACTTACTCTATAGCCTCCCAATAACATGCATGTTGTGGTGAGACAATGCTTTATGTATTTTTAAAATTTCATAAATTCTATATTATCTATCTATCGAGACCAGTAATTTTTAGAAAATGAATTGACATATCATAACTGCATAGAACATTTCTTTAATTTTAAATGATGAATCGTTCAGTATATTTGTAGATAAGTAACCCTGATACTGAACAGTAGACAGTGGTTTCTAGAACTTTTGCCAAAAATGGAAATTTAGATTTTATACCATAATTACTGAGCACACTGGAGTCTAAGATATTTTTTATCGGAGCAATGAAGATAATTTTACACTTCAAATTTAAGCCCCAGGGGAACAGTTCCAGATTTTAGTGACGGATTGATGAAACATACAAAATAAAACCTACAAACAAGAGGAGGCCATTTAGCACATCTAGTTCATTTGCTAGTTTACTAACTAAATATGTCTTAAAATACATTTCCTTGAACTAATTCTTGAAAAGCCTGGAATGGACATCTATGGACACAGTGGGCTTCCAAAACAAGCATGTTCCACATACCCACAACTGTTTGTGCAAAGAAGTGTTTTCTATTCACTATTGTTATGATTTTCTCTGTGTTTCTACTTTTACTAAAAGTGAAATACGGTAGCTCCCTGGGGTGACACTTTCTATAGCTCCTAGAAATGTATTAACAGTACTTAGATCAAAGCTCTTCTCAATCACCTTTCTTCTAGACAGAAGAGATTTAGCTGCTTAATACTATTTGACTATGACAATTACTCTTTGTTGAATCATTTCTACATCTTTTTTTTTGGTATAGCAACATCTGCAGTATAGAACATGTCCTTCCTGTGGGAATTATTTTACACCTTAGAATTTAATTTGCTAAGTGTGTTTGCCACGATGGCTATTTTTATATTGGCAGACTTAAATGATTAGCTGACTATAACAGTATTGAAATCATCTATATAAATCAGGAAGAACAATGGGACTAAAACAGAGCCTTGGGTCACATCAGCCGAGATAGTGGTTATTCCCCTTAAGATGAAAAACTGTTTACTGCTAGTTAATGAATTCTTGATACATTTTCATATATTTCCCTGGATTCCTTTTTTTTTTATTCGAGAATTCACTTTTTATGTAGTCTTTTATCAAATGTTTGCTAGAAATATGAATATAACATAGTGTGTGTTTTAGTGTTATCAACTGTCATTGTTACAGTACTAGATAAGACCTTCCAATAAGATCTTTTTAATCTATGTATTCTTCCTGATCTCATCACCCAATATAATAGCTGCCCCTGTGTCAACACTGTGTGGTTTAACTTACATATTTAGGTTATCAGAACTTCTAATTTATCCAATATTGGTTCTGAACTGCCTGTACCCTGTGCTTCTGAGACTTCAGTCCAAGCAATTTATAATTATCACTGCATCAGCAATTAAGCTTTGTTTGTTTATCATGTCCTAATAGTTAAGCCAGTGTGGACAAAAACAATATTTAAGGAAAATAAAAATCTCGTTCACAATACCAAAAATAATATCATTAGAAAATGTGGTATTTTCATTTGAGAAAGTGACTTTACATTCTTAATAACATTAATAAGAAGGTTTATATGAATATTTATAGATCATTAATGTATTCATGCGTATACAAATATTCTCATTTCAGTTCTGAATTGAGGGTAGAAATTTATCTGGAAAAGGATCACTGAGAGAGAACAACCTTTCTTGTGGCCACCTGATTTAAAAGATAGATAACACAGCACTATTCCCCCATGACCTCCATGGGGCATTCTCCTGAGAAAGCAGTCACTGAACCTGACAAACACTCATCCTTAAAGATAAAGTAGTATAGGGGCATACTGAATGAGGTGAAAGTCAAAGCCTTAATACGCAGTATGAGCCAGTTTGGCAAGTGTGAATGTATAGTCTCTGATTTCCCTCAATATCAACAGTACGTTCTGAGATCCCTGCAGTTAAAGGTGGAGTTGGGGTAGGTGTGGGGTTGTCACACTCACCTGCAGTTCACCGAGAAAAGCACTCACTTCTTTCTCTGCCTGATTTAAGCTTCTTCAATTCAGGAAATAAAAAAAATGAATTACAGAGAGCTGATCATGTACACAGAAATTGGTTGCTTTGTCTTGTGTGTTTCAGGCTGGATATTAGTTTGTTCCACCATGCCAACAGAATACTGGAATTATTCCAGTATTGATGGCATTGTCCTCACCACTGCCAACTACTTCTCCAACCTTTGGAAAAGCTGCATCTCTGATTCAACCGGAGTGTCTGACTGCAAAGAATTTCCCTCCTTGCTGGCACTACCAGGTAAATCATTTAATCTTTTTTTTTTACAGAGCAACATTTGGGATTTGTAATGAAATTGTGATAACATTGGTTTCTCACAGCAGGTTTTATCCAATCCTTGCTTTAAAGTTTACGTTAGAGAAGATCCTGTTCTGTGAATAATACACTGTCTCATTACAGGGAAGATGGTTCTTGATCGAATAAGGTAGATTTTCAGATTGTTACATTTTTGGAATATTTTGCATAAAATTAATATGGAAACCAATGTCATAAGAATTCCAGCAGAACAGCGTTTTTTGTATAATTTTAATAATACATTTTAAGTAAGTTAGAAATTGCTGTCACAAATATCTTATTGCTCTTCCATCTCTTCTATTACAATTATATATAAGTGGAGAATTTTACAATTTGTTTTATTAGTGATATATTCTATCTGTGGTATCATTCTTGTTTTTTATGCTTGTACCCTTAAGTTATGCATTCTTTACATAGCCTTCTGCCTTCTGAATGAGGGTGGCCATCAGACGTTAATGTTTGTTTTAGGTTGACGGCAACTGATTCTGATAGATCTGATAGATCTGTGTTCAACTGATTGCTAATTAACTCAGAGAAATCTGACAGTAATTAGAATAGTGGTAGAGTAGAAATCAGCATCACTAAAAATACATTGTAACTTTCTATTCAGGTAATATTAGACCCAGAGGGACAGTGTTAATTAGGACCATATGCTACTATTCAGTATAAGTAAAATACCCTTTCTAAATAAATGTGATTGAAATTAAATGGAAGTTCATAAATGGAAACTGGAAGAGATGACAACAACCAAACCACTGTCAACATGGCTGTTATAAATCATAATCATTCCCAACATCATTTCCCCACAGCTACGTAAGGTGAACCCAACTGGGTTAACTCTTCACTAAATCTTAGCCTCCTCATCCTACAGCCAGGTCATAACCAAGTGAGATCACAATAGCTAAATAATCTATAAACCTCTGCAAAGGTCTCTAATTATTGGGTGCTGTTCCTTGTTTAATCATTTAAAGATGGAGTTTAATTTCCAAATGTTGTAAACCAATGATTACCTGAAAATGTATTATTTTTGTTATTTATTTTAGTTCTACTACAATCACTTTGAATACTACAGATCACGATTTACTTTTAAAAATACTACACCAGAAAAACAGACTTGGTTATGTAGATTCCTGCAGTTTTGTATTAAATAAATACAGTACATTGCTTGCTAATATTTAGCAGTTTCTGACAAAGTAAAATACATTTTGGTGTGATAATATGGTACTGGGTAATGCTTGTTAAGAATAGCTCTGGGATTATCATCCTGAGGTGCCGCACATGTAAGTGGGAACCCACTTCATTCATTCACTTGGCACAGCAGACCAGAATTCTAATCCTTACAAATAACCTTCCCTCTTTCGGATGAGATATTAAACCAAGGTACTGACTCTCAGTGGTCATTAAAGATCCCCAGGCATTTTGTGATAAGAGTAGGGAGTTATTCTGGTGTCTGGGCCATATTTCCCCCCTCAGCCTTTACCGTGGCCTCCAAATTGTCCCCATGTATGATTGGCTCGCACTTGCCCTGCGATGGACTGGCGCTCCGTCCAGGGTGTACCCTGCCATGCGCTCATTGCTTGCCAGGTAGGCAAAACAACAGTTCAAACCCTTCAGTGCAGTTTTGCCTTTTTAACATGTTTTTCCTCTGAGATGGCACTAGTGTTAATTTCAGCCCAGAGATTCTACTAAATTCTATTCTACTAAATTCTACTGTTCTACAAGTGAGTAGCAGAATTTGATGCTGTGCACAGGACAAAATGAGCACCTGGTATTTACAGTAAACTCATAACCCTTGATTAGAGAGTCTAGAGTCCTAGCCACTAGTCAGAAATGCTCAAGGGTTACCCTACAGTTTCATCTGTCTAACCACATCCATTTTAACCCAAAAATAATAGTTAAAAATAGCCAGAGAGGATGACAGACTTCAGGTTGCTGAAAGAAAAGTGGAAAAGTAGGTACTGTACCTGAGCTGTATTTGGAAAGGCTATTGTGAGGATCTGAGTTGAAAATTATTTTAATAAACTCCCTACATAGGTAAGCAGTGCAGGGTAACTTTAAAAATTGATCATCAATAATGTTACCTATAGATGTCTTCACTGTATGAAAAACTTGCTGTTGCAATATTTTGTGAACATATTAATGTTTTCCGGTAAATAGTGCATCAAAAAAGGAAGAAAAAAAAAAGGAATGTCATGTTAAATTGTATTCACAGCTTTGACGTTTTTAATTAAAAAGATGAACTCTTTCCTTAATGTTCAAATAATAAGCTAATGTTTCAAAATGCTAATGAGAAGGAAAATCAGATTCAATGGGCTACGAGCTCATCTGAGGAGAGTGGTCACTTTCTCGGGGGCAAGATGGGTTACAATGTATTGTTTGCAATTTCAGAGTGGTGAGCTGATTATAGCAATCACCTGCAAATCACCTCTGCTTGTCTAAATTTTACTACATTCTTCTCAATGTAATTTTGGGATTGCTGCAAATTGCTCAGAGAAGCTTGTCTTGCTTTTTTTGATGTACAGAATACATCCATGCCTGCCGAGCACTAATCATTACCGGTATCATCCTGGGGTTCTTTGGTGGAGTACTTGCTTTGATTGGAATGAAGTGCACCAAAATCGGAGGATCAGAGATTGCCAATGCTAGAGTTACTTTTGCAGCAGGAGTGAATTACTTGATTGCGGGTAAATAAAAACATCTTTTGTCTTTTAAGGTTGTGCTTTTTTTTCGAGCATGTGTTTGGAAACTTTCAGACAAATTGTTTTTTTTAACAGGCCTGACATCAATGATAGCATTCTCCTGGTATGGAAACAAAATCAGAGCCGAATTTGTAGATCCCAATTTCAAAGCTCAGAAGTACGTATGTACACATTTTAATTAATAACCAAGAAATAAATGCTCTTAAATACTGGTATTGTCAACAAAGACAGGTCAAGTACTGTATGCAAGATGTGAGATTGTACTGTTTCAGTGCTTATGCTACCCTTGTAACCAGTGAGAAAGGCCTAGAGCTGGAAAGCCTGTCAGATCTTATTTTGCTTTTCAATTAAAATGTAGCTTACAATCCTGCATGACTGTTTTCCTTCAGGTATGAAATTGGAGCTGCTGTATTCGTAGGCTGGGGAGGCTCTACGCTGCTCATTGTTGGGGGACTTGTGTACTGTATCTTTGCAGGAAGAGATGGGCTGAGATCTAGGTAAGGCAGGATCTGGAGAAAGCAGAATTATGACCATATAAAATGATATATAATATTATATATAAATATATATATTTTACAGTTAAGATCAAACTGCATAAAAGAAGCCATTTTATCTGAATTCAGGAATGATATGTATGAGTTTATTTTGTTTATTTTGAAAGAAGGTAAATGAGCCCTCCAAACTGCTTTTCATTTGCTGTATTTCAGCATTCATAATACAGTGAAATAAACAGAATGCCTTCTGGAGCGAGCAGTGTTCATAAATCTCTTTTAATCATGTATGAATCGAAAGCTTGTGTAAGCACTAGGTAGACAACATGTCTACATATCGGCAAAAAACTGCATGTCAAAATATTTAAGAAACTTAGCAGTCACCAAGTTTATTTTCTGGTTTAAAACATGCATTGGACATGTTGTACACACCTCTTCAGCCTGAATGCAATCTTATGAAATAAGTCAGGTTTTAGAGGTACAAATGTTGTCTCCATATAACAACCTCATGAATTACATGCTCTGAAAAAAAACTGATGGATATAATTTATTTTTATTTCAGGTCCAATTACATATACAAATCAGCTCCCTATAAGACTGCTTCAACCACAGATACATACAGAAGGCCCCCACGAGTGGTCAGAAAAGGCAAAGCAATCTTAGAATCCAGAGACAACAGAAGCAGAATACTAAGATCTTTTGACAGAGATGCCTACGTTTAAGAAGGGAAACGAGAGATATTTCCGGAATGCTTTACAAAGATGCCGGGCAAGAGACTTTGAAAGAAGCAGAAACCTCATCTTACCCAAGACTTTTCTTCACATTGCAACTGTAAGTGCAGAGACAGGCCGTGATGGGAGTTAAATTCACTACAACCAATATTTAATCAACCTGCTAATGCATAACGTTGCTTTGTATGTCGTTTGCTATGAACACCAGATGTGTTGTCTGAACCATGTTCTTAAAGTGAATAAAAGGACTTTGTTTTGTCTCAAAATCTGAACAAGCCGTAAGGGAGAGTGATATCAAAGTCTTCCGACCGTGGGGAGAAAAAAGTTTGGGAGCCCAATCAACTCCATCAAGGGACCCAGAGATCAAACAATGGAGGGAAATTTAAAACAAAATCAGCCTGTTCTAGGTGCACTTGGCAAAAAGCAGCAACACCGGAATGACATGCCAAGTCCACATAGAGGCCAAATGGAGGAAAGACCTGAAGAAAGCTCCTGGAACTGTGAAGCAGCAATGCCAGGCACCACTCCACCAGTTAAAGGGCTGCTGATTAGTGTATCATGCAGCATAATGTCCTCATTATTGCAGTCTTGTGCTGTTTGTTTGCTTTGGCACCCAAAGAGAAAGCATTGAACATAAGGGAGGGGCCGAGGTCATCGTGACTGATGTCATTTATGAAACCCTTTCTTCAAACAGACCTCTCTTGTGCAATACGAACAATATGAAGAAAGCCTTTTAAAAGTTATGTGTACAATTTCTATTGTTGTTTGACACTTCCTACCGAATGAGTGCAGAAAGATACAGTGAAAGTTGTGTAGGGAAGCAGGATTTTAAATGCTGTGTTTAGTTTATTCACAGCAACATCCCCCAGGGAGAACACATAACCTGGCATTAATGTTTTTGAATATCTTTCCAGCCTTGGACAAAGCAAACAAATGGAACAGTATATTAACACAAATGAGGAAAGGCATAGTTGGTGTTAATGTTTAATTTCACAATATTGTGTGTACTTACCTAAATAAATAAAACATTTTTTTAAAAGCAAAGTGACCTATTTGATCTATTTAGCTGACCTTCATTTCAATATGCACATAATGTTACTCCTGTGCAAGTTCGAGCTCACAATCCCTTTTTACCATGGGAACTGGACACATTCACACATGATTCAAGCACCTCACAGTGGTGAGAACATGATTCGCAGTGCTGGATTTCCCATTAGGCACTGAAGGCACAGTGCCTAGGGCCAACGAAATTTTTAGGGCCTACGAAGGAGGGAAACATTAGTGACTAACGAAAAACGAGCCGAAACAACTTGCTTGCGATGGACTCTAGGTGCTCCAAATCAATAATCATACGCCATCTAGCGGCTGTTCTGGAAACTAGAAGTAATGAAGTGATGGTTGCTCAACTCACTTCACTCAAAATAATTCAATTGGCGTTTACCCCTCTTTTTGCACATTTAGGGCCTATGAACACCAAAATCTGGCCCTGACGATCGGGGCAGCAGTCTGTGCCACCTGCCCCAATTTAAAAGGTAATTACCTCATCAGCGTTTAAGCCATGCCTGTCTGGCACTGTCAGTCTGGCACTCTGTAACTGGGTTTTCACCCGTATAGCCTCAAAGTCCTTCTTGTACAAACCTGCCTGTCTGAGGGAACTTCAGTAATCTGCATAAAACTGTCAGAACCTTTTTGATCTCGACTGTGAGCCAGGACCTGATCACAGGTGGATTCCTGCCTGATTTCAATGTGCTGCACGGCTGCTACCGCCTGCCTGCCCAGTGTATCCTCTGGGCCCTTGCCCGAGCCAAAAACACCCCCCGGAACATCAACCCGATCAGGAACTCCCGCTGTAACAACCGCATTCCTTTGGTGCTTCCTTACCACCATAACACACTTCCTATCCCCAGGACCATTAACCACAACTTTTCCATCCTACAGGATGATCCCTCCATTGGGGCCCTCTTTTCTGATCGCCCTATCATCTCATACCGCCGACCACCTAATCTGCATAACCTCCTTGTTCACAGCTCCCTTGACCGCCCTCAACAACCATCCACACCAGGCACTTTCCCTTGCAACAGAGCTCGCTGTATCACCTGCAAGTACACAGCCACCACCACACGCACTATGGGCACAAACAGACACACTCACACCAGGACCAGATTTCGCAGAAGCCAATCAACTTACTAGTCTTTAGACTGTGGGAGGAAACCAGAGCACCTGGAGGAAACCCACGGGGACGTGGAGAGAAGACCCAAACTCCACACAGATACGACCCCAGGATCAGAATTGAACCCTGGGCCTCAGCTCTGCGAGGAACCAGTGCAAACCACTGTTCCGCATGTGTTAATGATAACAATATGTTTAATCTAACATGTGGCAATGGACTATGAAGCGATGTAAAAAATCTGTTCTATTCTAGGGCTAGAGTCACAAAAACATTTTACATTTACTGTATAGAACAGTTATAAAAACATACAGTTTTGAAAAAGTGTAAAAATGAAGACAAGGATATATTTCTACATGTCAGTAATGCTAGATAGCTCAATGCTAGCTATTCAACAAATAAGTAAAACTTCAATAATGAGTTGAGATACAATTGGTAGGCTTTTGACAGTGCACTGGAATATACAACATTCCGTATCTTGAAATTAACCGTAATTCAAAAATAAGAAAAATATTTCTGAAAAAGGAGGACAGATAATTTACCAGTTACATTAATAAAAAATAAAAGCTAGGTGAAGCTTTCTGGTTTGATAATCAGAAGGTCAGCAGATTCTAAAACAAAGATGAACAAACTTTAAAATCTTGCCAAGTGAACAATATATTTCTAACACCAAGAAAAGACTGAATCTGGTACAATCTAATATTTTCCATTCTCCTCCAGTTTAGCATTTGATATGTTTATTATGGTTAGTGGAATTAGAAGGCAGATGGATTTGTTAATTTTCCTCACAAAATAGTACAGTACTGGAAACATAGGACATCTATTGAAATAACATGGAAAATCACAGCAGGGTTTGATGAACACATTACCTGTTATTACAATTTGTTATGTAAATACAGTAGCTCCAAGTTTGCAGAAATATTCTTCAAGGTTGTTTAGTTTCCTTAAAAAAAATGTGTCAGAGGAGGCAAACATAAAGAACCATTCAGTAATATTAAAACTCGTATTGCTAACTCAACTCAACAGAGAGACACTTACTGAACGTAAATTACAGCCGGGTTATGTACCATGGATATAATTTTGAAATAAAGCAATTAACAAAATTCTGGTTTCTTAACTTATCCATTTCTGTTATTGTTTAGTCCTGTAAAGTGTATTCTGTATCATGGATTGTACTAAAAATAGTATTTTCCATCAACTTAAGTGTAGGTCTACATAAAAAGTTTCACTATAAAAATACCATTTGATTACCTGAAAGCAAATTCATTGGCTAACACAGGGACCTGATAACCCGTACAGTATATATACAATTACCTGATGTATACAAAATTCAAAGACTTTAAAATATAAAAATATAATATATAAAATAATTGATACATGAACAATAACTGTGTCCTGTCTTAAAACACTACGGAACTTCAACAATAATAGAAAAAATCTAAAAACTGAAATTGCTCCCAATTGAGCAACAATAAGAACAACACTGTCAGACATACAATTCAACAATTTCAATTCAGTTTCCCTGCAATGATTACACAAATATTTTTGACTTAGTTTATACATACTTGCTTTTCATTGTTAGTGAAGCCATTCATGTGGGGGATATTAGGAAAATTCCACCCTGATATTTTCACTTTCATTCTGGAGAACACTAATAGAAGCACAAACAGCTTTAAGGGTTTCCACAAAACGTTTTTTAACTGAAACTGGATTGCCAAACACGGGCTAAAAATAAACCCTGAAACAAGGGTTTATTGTTGGTCTTAATATTACCAACCAAACATTTACCAACAAATGAGATTTGTGTCATTCTTCATATTCAAACTATAATATAATTTTATTTATTGAGAAATACTGATACACTCAGTGTTAGTGAAGTCTTTATAACCCTACTTTAATTCCTTATTGACTGGTATGTCTCATAATAAACTTTTTTACACTCCAACATACTGTACATGCAAGTTAAATCATTGACTTCACAGACGTGCCCTTCATTGGTTGCTACTGACATTTTTAATTGGTTTCAAAATATCTCTAATAACTGTATTTCATTTTCAGGGATTGTCTTATCTCCAGAAGATAATTATTCCACTAGTGCAAGATGTTTAGCATTTTGCTGGCTGTTCCTAGGCATTCACTGATTTGCAACTGGAGTAAAGGTTGTGTGTGAGCTTTGTTTTACTTCGGCAAATTGCTCTGGGATTTCTTGCATTGTACAGCAAAGGTGTACACACACAGCACAAGAAGAGATTAACAAAAACTTTAAAGATAAACAACTTTTAAGTGAAAAAAAAGTTTTATTAGATTCTCATTTGGCCCGTTATTATAAGTATAAAAAAATACCAGCAAGTCTGTAAAGAAAATGTAGCTAGCAGTTTTATATTTATGTATCCCTTTTACTGTAAAGGCACCCTCATTTTATTACTTTGTTTTGCTAAATAGTTTATTCAAAATCCAGATGCTGCAAATTCAACTACAAGCAGCTTTGTCCAGTTAGAATAACCAATTTAAATGTCTGAAGAGTCACTCCAGTCACTAACAGTCACAAGACTGCTTTTAAGAGTACTTCCAGGGTCCCCTTCATGAAGACCTGCGGAGATAGGAAGAGGATAAATAATTTCAACTACGTCATGAGACACATGCAATTCAGTTTTGACTACTAAGATATAATTCTAATGAAAGGAATATGCAGGGCATTTTCAAGATGTTTTGTATTAGAACAGAAAATCCCCCTTTTAAATTTTTGTATTGAATTCCCAACTGTCATGCATAACACACTTCATACTGCTCCTCTGAGATTCAAAGGTCTACACACTCGTCATCACAGACATATTTTGCTATGCCAATCACTACTTTTCACTGACTGTGGATATAGATAAAATATGTGTTAAGCTATTAGCTCGAAAAAAATTCCAGTGGATGTCATCCAAGAGCTGAACTCAACCAGAGATAGTGGGTCATTCCTGGGTCAATGTGTGGCAGGTCTAGGATCTCCATGTAATCCACTGCAGGCCAAACACCAGGGGACTCCTAGCTACTGATTACAAGTGGCAAACTCTAGATATTGGCTACAGCTGATCTCAGTGAAGCACCGACAATATTTGCAAGCCCCTTTTAATTTTGAACAGCTGCATAAAACTCTTAAGGTATTTTTTTAAAATATGTCACTTTTCTAAATTTAATCCACAAGCTTTCTATGAATAAATCAGCAAAATGGCCTCCTGTTTGGCATGGTGTGGTTGTGCAAGTTTAGATTTAAAAGTGACAAAGTCTGACCTCCTTTCTGGCCTTTCCCTGTCGAAGTGCCCCAGACACTAGTATTGGAAGAATTGGACTCAAAGCTCTTTCTGACAGTGAAAACAGCCTCGTCCTTGTCAGGTTTTGATGTCGATGGTTTGTCATCTTCCATAGAAGACACATCCCAGTCATCGTCATCTACTTCCGAAAACTAAAATAAAAGACATTGGACTGTGGTAAAAAAGTATTTGTATTTTACATACTGTAGTATATAGTTTGCGAGGAAGGTTAGATTCTAATCTCGCACACTTCCGCTCACCTTTGCCTTGCACCCAGGACGTCTTTTCGCGTATTTGTCTTGCATCACCCCACCTCCCCATCTACACCCTTGTAACAAACTCCCTAGCCCTATGGGGGTTAAAGCAGACCATTCTCACAGCTAGGTGCCATTCCCTCAACTAGGAGTGTCATGCCAAATACTTCATACATATTCATCTCTCTACTACTTAATAACATTCATAACTATAGCTCTAAATTAAATGATATATTTTGGGATTTTAGACATTATTGAACTTTCTATACTAACCTTTTTCCTTCTCCAACTGTGGTTCAAGATGCACTTTAAAGCACATAATCTACTTTTTGTATTGAAACAATGATGTTTATTTTTTTCAAATATTTTTTAAATGTCCCTCCATCGGCTGAAGATAAACATTCTCAATGGACACTTTTTTTTATCTTAAACCACTTTCACAGTTTCCAACTTGACCTATTACATGATTTTGGAGGTATTACTAGCCCCATTCATGATGTAGAGTAAATACTGATTTCAATGAAGTCCAATAAAGGAAAACTTACTACTCAGTAGTTTATTTTGATAGTTAAACATGGGTGCTTTATTACAAAATGTATGTAGAAATAATGTACTAGGAGAAACATGGCTACAGAACTTCCACACCTGTGACACCAGGTTCATGTTTTTTGTTTAAAGAGTTGTAAATAGAGAAGTGCAACCATTTTCCATATAAACAGCAGGCTGAGCAGGTGGCAATGTGGAAAATTACAGACTAATCAGATACTGGTGCTATCTATTGACTGGTGGCCAAACAGCTCTTCTGCTTTGGAAAAAAAATAAGCAGTGTTTATTAAAACAATACAAATGCAAACAAAAACTGGCCAATCCAAAGGTAAATGCAATAAAAAATAAAATAATCAAGAATGAAAGTGTGCTAAATGTCAATGACTAAAACACCAGGGCCACCGGAAACACCAGTTGTGAGCCACAGCTATAACTGAATGTGTGTCACATTCTTCTTACCTTTAATTCTTGTCTCACATTTTTGTCCTCAAAACTTGGCAAAACCTTAACTCCCCCAGCTGGTTTCTTCTGAATCCTTCCAATGACAGGCTGGTTTTCAAGGTTTTCGGAAATTTCTTTCAGAATAGAACCTTTCAAAAAACAGACACACACACACATATATATATAAAGACATATAACAAGTAATTCACAACTTTTAATTCTCCTGAGTAAGAGAGAAAATTAAAATGTTCATTCTCTACATCATCCTCACTGTATTTTCTTCCAAATAACTTAAATAATTTTAATGAGTATAATTTAGATTATAATTGACACATGGGTTTCAGGAATGCTAAAATGGCAGAGGGGCAAGGCTTAGTATCTATTCTTGATTTTGATGAAAAACTACATGAAAGAGAAAATAAATCCCAACAAAAACTGTCAAACGTCTGCTCAAAGAGTAGAACAGCACAGGATAAGTTATATCATGGAAGTATTTATGTCTAAATTTAAAATGATTCTAGCACATAAGTACTACATAAAAGTTTGAGTGACGAGCTGCGTCAGTGTGTGTTGGCTGCAAAGGAACAAGTAAAGGCCAGAAGAATCACTTCAGCCGTTGAGCCTTGTTCTGCTGTGCTCGAGGTGTGACACAATGTCGTGTTTCTTCTTTCTACTTTTCAATATGGAATAAATCTGTGCTTGTTCCATTACATAAAAGTAACAGCTATAAATAAAAGGAGCATTTTACGTTTTCACTCATATTCCAAGATTTTACAAATCCCATTCCAATTGGCAAAAAATGAAATCTTACTTTGAACAGGCTTTCCAGCATCTACTTTCAGACTTTTATCATGCTGCAACAGCTGTGGATCAATCTCTTCCATTTCACTGCCGTCCGTCCAGTCTGTTTCACTCTCCAGAGACATGACCACAGTTTTACTGACATCGACGGCGGGAGCTTTTGGTTGCACAGCTTTTAGCCGCTGATGTGGTTTTGCATCACTTTCTTCCTCAGAGTCGTCTTCTGAACTAAACGGAGGGGTTCTTGAGAAAACAAGCAATACATTATCTCCCTGACAAGCAGAAAGAATAATACCTTTTGGCTCTGGTGCCAAACAAAGAAGTGACGCACTTGAAGAACACCAGCAAAACATGTCTTTCCTTTTCTTAAGATTAATGATAAAAATAAGTAAATTGTTTCCAGCACGTTTTCAGCTCTTTTTTCATTCTTTAAAATTAATTATATTTGAATTACAGTAACTGTTTGCGCTTCAAACAGTATGTTTTGCAGTTTGTGAATTAATAACTTTAATTGTTTAATTGTTAATTGTTACTTGTTTAGTAATATTTGCTGTTAGTTCAACATGTAACTCTTCAAAACCTGTCCCTAATACAAAATAATCAGTCAATTGTAAAATTCATGAAGCGCCTGGACAGACCATTAGCTACAAATTCAAGGAGCATTACTTTGTGAATATATGCATGTTTTAGATTATTATTATACTAAATCTGGTGATATTAAAAATGGTAAATATCAAAAGCACATGCTCATCCTTTCTTGGACTATTTTAACTAATTACCACACCCAACACTGCCGAAAAAAAACACAACTTTGCTGTCTTTTGTGCTATTTTCAATACCCGTGAGCCACCAGTGTAACAGCTGACTTTTTTAAGTTTTAGGAATACTATTTCTGCAAATTAAAAGTGCACATTTGTACACAATACTAATTAAAAACCCCTTAAAGTCCACAAAAATAAAATTTCTAAAAGTATATAAAATGCACTTAAAAAGACACACAAATACTACAGAACTGATGTACAGAAAAAACAGAAATCCAACCGAAGCCAGGAAGCTTTCCAATTTAAACTTTTTAACAACACTGATGGAATAATACAAGATGTCCATGTCCATGCTGCTGCAGTGGCATACCTTGGAGTGGAGGTCTTTGGAGCTGTGCTGGCCCTAGAGCGGGGGGCCGGCTGGGGGGGCTGCTCTGTCACACCTGGTGATTTTGACACAACCTGAGTCACTCGGGTAGACGGCAAACTAGACGATCTGGCCCGTTTCTGATTCTCTTCAGAAGAGAAGGAGACACAGAATTGGATTACAGATGTGGCACTTCTTTGAGGAAGGTTTAAAATGTATGACTCTACAGTACAGTACAATACAGAACATACAGTATTAACAGTATTCAGCATTGCCACAAAGCCTAATCTCAGAAGCCAAGAAAGGCTGGGTCTGGTCAGTACCGGGATGGGAGACCATAAAGGAAATTCAGGCTGTTGTTGCAAATGCTGGTCCAGAAGGTCAGTTTTCCCCTCTGGACCAGCATCATTAAATCCAATGACCTAGTATGCTGACTGGGGGACAGTGTGCTGTAGGAAATGCTGTCCTCCAGGAGAGTTATTAATCTAAGCGCCTGACTACTGGTTATGCTAGTTCTTATAAGAGAGAGTGTTAAGCTCAGTATCCTTGCAAAATTTCACTCTTGATTTGAAGTCTTCCTGAAGTTCCCAATTAAGCTGACTGATGAATCTATTGTCATTTCTCCTCCTAACCTGCTGTGTAGTTGGGGTGCTGATGCATAATGGCCACCTTGTGTCACACAGGCAAGTGCTGCACTCCAGTGATGGGTGAAGCAAATCCCCACCTGTACTGAAAGTGCTCTGGCATCCTTTTGGCTGGAAAGAGCTTTACATATGCAGTACTTACTAGAAATTAATACGATAGACAAATCTAACTTGTTTGCATTAAAGAGAATAAGATTGTTAACAGTGCAACATTCAGGTATGAACATTTTAATTATAACATACATAACTCACTCAGATTCAAAAAGGTAAAGATATTACAATAGATAAAGTACAGTTTGAATGAATATAGTTATATTTAAAAAAAAAGATTTTAGTTTTCAAATCCTAAATGATGGCTGTATTGTTTTACCATTATGAAGGCTTATGTAAAGATACGTTTTTTTTTTATAAGCCAATTGCAAAATGGTGTCATACAGAGTCCCCAGTTATACAGCACAGTATTAACAAGAGAAAAGTTAGCAAAATAGGGCAGCATGGTGGTGCAGTAGTTAGTATGGCTGTGTCACAGTGCTGGGACCCTGGGTTTGATTCCAGACCTGGGGTGCTACTTGCACAGAGATTATATGTTCTCCCTGCATTTGCGTAGGTTTAAACCAGATGTTTACTATTTAAGCCTGTTGAATTAATGCAAAAAAAGGGCCCTGGTGTGAGTTTGTGCATTTGTTTGTCTGTGTGTGCCCTGTGATGGACTGGACTCCTGTCCAGGGTGTATCCTGCCTTGAGCCCACTGCTTGTCAGGTTATAATTGTTATTTATAACCTTATGAACAGTTTTTAAAAAGCAATCAACAGAACCACATATGCATTCTCACTAAAACATAATAGACATTACCTTCAGGTGGATTATCTGGTCTCTTTTTTTCTACAGGTGAACTTGATGAGGCTCTTTTTTCCTTTATTGTTAAACCCAAATTATGGGTAAGTGTTTCTCGGACACTGTGAAAATCTGGAAACGTCTTGGCTATCCTTTCTCTTTGCGAGTACACTTTGGTCATAATTGTATTGTACTGGCCAGTGGGAATACCACGGTTTTCCTAGAAATAAAAGGGGGAAAAAAAGTGTTGTCTCTACTCTACTCTGCTGTCTGAAAAACATAACAAGAAATGCTAAAAATAACTTATTAAATATGTCAATTAAGATAGAAAAATTCAGTTTTCAAGAAATGTAGTATGTTTGCACTTCAGCAAATTGGGTTTTGCATCAGCATTTTTAAATGTTTTTCATGTATCAAATGCAGTTTAATGCAACACTAAAACCAAGATACTAACTTTCAAAGAAAATGATTTGCAGAAAGACCCATGATGTCAGTGCTTTATTAATATGAATATTTCTAAAGTCTTAGAACGTTCAACTTTTATTTGATATGAATATTATTATTTGTATTTACCGGTTTCACACCAAGAGATTCCAGCTTCTCTACAAGAGTCTGCTCCAAGATTGGGCGTAATTCTTTAGTTAATGAGGCATTTTTCTTTAAGCTACTTATTAGACGCTGATTATCATCTTTCTTCTTTTCAGAAATGCTTGCAGAGTCTGCAAAAAGCAGTACAAATTTTGAGTATTAAGTTTATCAATTACATTTAAATAACTGGATTTCATTGCATTAGAGAAATATTTTTAAAAGTTTATTTTAAAAACATTTCTGTTAGATAAAATCAGACATTACAAAGGACTCACGAACAAGCTTACATGCAAGATACTGCAAATTTTAACCTTGGTCTTACATTTATAAATCCATATTCAAATATGAATTTATAAGTATAAGATGCATCATAGCACTAAGGAGAGACAGAAGAGGATTAAGAGCAGACGTAAGACAAATTGCTGTCATATAGATTTTGTCAATAAATAAACTTTAATGCCTTCCACCCAGGTTGAAGTTGACCTTTGTTTTTTATAGATAAAATTGAATTTAGCAACACTGCTTGTTTTACTGACCAATATAAGTGGAAGACATTATAAACTCTGACAACCATGCAACAAGCATGCATTCTATTTAAACTTATCTCTCAGATCTGTTACCTTTATCCTCCTCTGAAAGCTCCTCTATAGGATCCAGAATATGAACAGTAGGTGTCTGCTCTAATAACAAGGAATAAATCAGACAGCACAGACAGGCCATACAAACAGGAACCACAGTTAGGAGTTAAGGACAGGGTATCAATCTAAGCAGTGTGAAAATTAAGATATTAAGTGTTATAATAATTTCACAAAAGACAGGAGTAATCTCATCACTGCTGAGGAAAGAAAAAAATGTAAAGCCTGTAAAGCAAAATGTTATTCCAATAATAATAATAAGTCTTTGCATTTGTATAGTGCTTTTCAACCCAAAGGATCTTGAAGTGCTTCATTAAATGGAGAGTAGCAACTTGATCAATACGTAAGTGTAGACCCACCTGAGTGACATGTGGCAGCCATCATGTGTAGTTACACTGCAGTATATTACAGCTGATCAGATAGAGAAGTGAGAAACTACTTCACCAACTGAATTAAGGGGAGATATTAGATATTGTAGAAGAGATTGTGCAAGCCCAGACTAGAATTAATACAGGTTTCCGGGTTTAACATCTCTTATTTTCAACAATGCTGGGGGAACTTTAATGACGGATGTGTCATTAAAGATCTTGATCTTGACATTACACAGTGCAGTGACAAGAATTCATCTCCTTTATGTTTGGTAGTACAAGAGTCATAGTAGTGTTTCCAGCTGATTAAAAATGTCAAATTAGATAAATCTGGCAATTCCAATTTTATTTTAAAAAATCTAAAAACATTGCTTTTATACAATGCTTGTAGGAATGTGTTTGGTTAAGCACTTTTAGTTTAGTGTTCAGTTCAACACTTTTTATTATTGTGGTGTTGTTAATCAGAGAGGTAAAGGTATATTTTATAAAGCACCATAACTATAATATTTATTTCTTTTTACTCACCATATGTCAGCGATTTGGCTTTCACAGGCTCTGCCACTGAAATAGCCACTAAAATAAAATAAATATAGAAAATGAATAATATTCAATCAATAACTAGGTGAAAATAGACATGTTTTCAATTTTCAATTTGACAGTAATCAAAGTTCAAGATAAGGATCGTACCTGAAGTTCCTGTGGTTCTTTCTGGGAGTTTTGAACCAAGTTGCTTCATCTAGGTGTCATAAAGTAAAAACAACTGTGAATTTCAGAAAGTCATCTGGCATCATTTGTGTTCCATCTGTCTACCAGTCTTAATACTGTAACAACTATCTAAGGTTCTGCATGTGTACTTTGCAGCTCAAAAACACTGGTTCAGTCTGACAGCATGCAGGAAATACTATGACACTGAGGCTCCTCACCCCATGTAACTGTTAACATTCTACACAATCAACACTCAAACCCGTGATTTATTTACACAGTCTGTATCCAGTCTATTGTCTATACAGCCCCTGTCAGATACTGATTAAGTGTATGAGTTTTAATTCCAAGCACACTTTGAAGTCTGATCTCCTCAGATATTTGAAACCGTCTTTGGACCTAAACAGGTGGTCCAATTTAGTGTTAGCCAATGTTTTGTAAGGTGTTTTTGAAGTTGAACTACAATGCATGAACACTTTTTTTATAACACCAGAGTTCTTATGCCAGCCATGGCCAGCTATAACACAAGATGTACAATTTGAGTAGCCTGAAGTCTGCCTGTTCTGTTACATATTTTGTTAATTTCAACTAGCTAACAGTTCTCAATTACTCCTGTAGGGCACCTATTTATTAACCTTTTTGTACCATCCAAGCTCTTACTCAATTAAACAATAGGTTTATTCCATGCTGAAAAGAGAAGAAAGAAAACACAACGTTTTGGCCGTGGAGCCTTGATTAATCAATTAGGCTTAATCAATCTGTAGTTGATTGGTAAGACCTTTTTTAGAAGTTGAAGAAGGTTAGAAATTGATTTGTAGATTTCACACTTATCATCATTTAGGTGTGAAATGTAAAAAAATTAATCTCTGTAGAACACTCCTCTTTGTCTGATGGTTTGCTACAGTGTCATTCACACCGATGTCTGGTGATCATTAAAAAGAGTTGTTGAACAGGGTTTAAAAGAAGATTTGTTGAGTACATTTGCTGTAACAATTGTAATGGCTAATTGTTTTGAAAACCCAGCTATTTTTCATAATTTGATCTTGAGATCTAGAACTTGAAAGATAAAATCCTAGGCCTATTCAAATATCATCATCAATAATTACATGCAAGTCTAATCTCCAAAACTGGTTAGATCATTTATTTGCAAGAGGATGAAGACTTAATCTGTTAGTTATCTGGGTCATTGTATTTTATGTTTGCTTACACAGGATTTCCTCAACTGTAATTATCTGGCTTCTCAACACCCCTTTTTTCACTACTAAGGAAGCACTAACCTGCTCCTTCTGGGTGATAATCAGCTCATTCTGTTCCCGGAGTTTCCGTCCCAATTCTTCTATCCTTTTCCTGTACAAGCTGCTGCTGACCTCCTGCTCCTCTACCACTGAAGACTGCAGCCTCTTAAGATCACTCTGCAGCTGTAAAACATCAAGGAAGACATCAAGTACACTCTGCTTCTAGAATGTAGAAACAACAGCAGGCAATCCATTGGGTAAAAAGCCTAGTTTTCACAAATGACTGTATTTTGCCTTTGCCCATTGCAAAGTGTGATACCAAGGAACTCACCTGAAATACTAAATCTACTTGACAGATCACTAAAAGATTACAATTATAATATTAAGAAAAATGCATATTTTCTTAATAGTAAAATAACAGGTTTATTATTCCGTTGACTATATCGGCTTTGGCTTTGTATGTTTATTAAATTCATTTTCATCTTTGACATACAGAGTTAGCGTTATTTTCCACTTGTGTATTGTGCTAGAAGGTACACTACACATATTACATTTGGCACATACAGTATACTATAAACATCAAAAAGACATTATTAGCTTAAAACAAGTTATGTTTTTATATATGTCCTTTGGATTGCCTTTCATGGGTTTGCATTTACTGAAAGCAAAGCTAAATTTCTTTTAAATGCTATTGTCTGCTACGTCCTTTTTAACCTCTTCATTTGTGCGTATGGTGATATGTTTGTCAATCATGCTGCTTGCTATTCAAAGTTTTAAGTTATTTGTACTTAAAAGCATCACTACTAATATGTAGTTCAGGTGGGTAGCTGCATAACAGTAATTTTATTTTAGAATTCCCTGGTTCATAAGGATTGTGCATGATTTCCAGTTAACAAAGCAAGACAAGTTCCAAGAAAAACAAATATACAGTATGTGAATGAAAAGATTCACAAACTAAGAATATATCTCTGTGGTTTTAAAGCCTTGATTCAGTTTCCAGTCTTTACAGACTTGTAGTCTTCTCTTCCAATTGCAATGTTTGACTGTAACTCAGCAGGCCAGATTTTGTATAACAGATAGTTAAACCACAAGTGAAGTACTAAACATAGTAAGTATTCAGAATGGAATCTGCAGAAGATCTCAGATGCGTTAACCGAGCAGTAAATTTGACTCTCCTCTGAACAGGCTGCTGGCTGGTTTTGTACAAGCACTGCCATGTCTCACAGATTTACTATCAAAATGATTCCAGTATGATACACATCTGAATAAAATCTAGTACTGTATTTGAATACTGGAATTTTGTGAAACGCTGAACCAAAAACACTTAACATAATATATTATGATATTACTGTACCTGGCTCTTTTCCTTTTCATGTTCCTTTTGAAGTTTCTGGATCATTGCAGTCCACTTTTCTTCCTGCAAAGTATTTTTCATATCAGATTTACCTACAGTACACATTCAGTAATCAGACAAAACACTTCACATTATGTGAACTACTGTATGAGTAGTTCATATCGCCAAACTCAACAAAAATAAAGTACCTGTATGGTTATAAAGACTCACAGACAGCACACTTTCCTTCTACTAAGCATATTCAGCTTTAGTATCCAATAAAATCCACAGAGGTGTGACCCAGATTTGTCAAAATGTACTGACAAAAGTGTCCTTAGGTACTCACAAAGCCTAGTATAGTTTCATAATTCTTAAGAAATTTTTTAAAACTAACCTGTTTGTTAAGCAGCTCTTTGAGACTCAGTAGTTCCTGATGGTACCTCTGTTTCTCCTCTTCATTTTTGGGGGCTTTGTCTTCTTGCACTGTACCAGTGTTTGACTTGAATTGTAGGCTGGAGGCCTTCATCTCCAAAACTTGCTAGTCAAAATGAATATACATATGAACTATACACATCTGTTGACACTTAGAATCATTATATTTTTTAAATGAGAGATATAACATGGACAACGAATTAAGATACACAACCCAATGTTTCAAAGAACGCATGTCAATCAAGGACAAAAAAGGCTAAGGAGGGTATGCGAAACAACATTCAAATGACTTCTGGGAAATAAAAGAATAGGAGGCTTAATAGGTGATGTAACATACAAGCATCTAATTCCACACAGACACTAATTCCAATCATATTATTATTTCAACTTAACAATGATTTCAATATACTTCAATATACAATAGTAGAGCAGTACAATATGGCCTAATATAAATATGCTTTCACAAAACGTATTTCACTTTTGCACACTAATGCATACAAAGAAATACTCATACTGCTTACAGACAGTACAATGACAGCTAAAAAACATTTTTATTAACAAATGATAACATTAAGTTCCTACATTTCAAAATCATAGAGGTACAAGCACTGTTTGGTTTGATTATCAAGCATCATTTTTTAAAACTAGCCGAGACTGGATTTTGTCAAATCCAAATTCAGAGGGCTTGATATGCATGACTGATGAATGACAACTTTGCTGAAGCAGAAACAATAGCACTGATGAGCACAAAAAGGTCACAGACAGGTTAGTACTACTAAAACTACTTACATTTTCCAGAACAGCATTTTTAACAGATAGTTCCTTGAATTCCCTCATGAACATCTCTCTCATCTTTTCAATCTCTCCATCCAATTTTTGCTGCTCCTCCTCTTTCCACTTCTCAAATCGCTTTATTGTTTCGTCTTCCTTAGTTCGCTGATTTTCTTGTTCCTAAAATGACAAGATATCTTGTCAATGACTTCAGTCAATGTCAGTATGTCAATCATGACTTCCACCGGTGCTCAAATCAAAACAAAGGATAACAAATTGGTTAGGGCTTTAAATGTTGTTTATTTTCAAATATTACTTATTTTTAGTCTATTTAGTTATTTTAATGTGGAGAAATCTACAGTGGTGAGAAAAAGTTTGTGAACCCTTTGGAATTATCTGTATTCCTGCATTAATTGCTCCCAATATGTGATCTGATCTTCACCTCTGTTATAGTTAAAGACAAATAATAGATCATAGATAAACACAATCTGATTAATTGAAAAACACATAAACAATCACGTTTTCATGTCTATATTGAACACATTGTTTGAACATTCACTATGTTGGAAAAAGTGTGTGAGCCTTTAGATTTAGTAACTGGTGGAATCTCATTTAGCAGCAATGACTTCAACCAAACGTTTCCTGTAGCTCCTGAATAGTCCTGCATATCGGTCAGGTGGTATTGTGGTCCATTCTTCTTTATAGAATCTATTCAATTCATTGATATTTTTTAGATGTCTTGCATGAATGGATTGCCTCAGGTCATACCACAGCATTTCAATTCAGTTAAGATCAGGACTCTGACTTCCAAAATGCAAATTTTCCTCTGTTTAAGCCATTCTGTTTATTTACTCCTGTATTTAGGATCATTGTCATGCTGCATGCCCCAACTTCTGTTGAGCTTCAGATCATGGACGGTTACCCTGACATTCTCCTGTAGAATTTGCTGACACAATTTGGAAGTCATTGTTCTCTCAATGATTGCAAGGCCCCGGGCAACGAGGCAGCAAACCAGGCCGAAACCATGATGCTCCCTCCACCATGATTCACGGCCGGGATGAGTTTTTTTGTGTTGGTATACAGTCATTTTTTCTCCTCCAAACAATTGTTGCATATGTATGCCAAAAAGCTCCACTTTTGTCTCATTTGTCCGCAGAACATTGTTCCAATAGCACTGTAGAACATCCAGGTGGTCTTTTGCCCATACACACCATTCTTGGTCAGTGCTTTTCTTATTGTGGACTCATGAACACAGACATTAGTCGGTCCAAGAGACACCTGCAGATCTATAGCTGCTATCCTTGGGTTCTTTGTCACCTCCTTGAGCATTGTATGGCTTGCTCTTGCTTTGATTTTTGTTGGACAAACACTCTTAGAGTTGCAATGGTACTGAATTTCTTCTATTCGTACACTATCTTTCTGACTGTGGGGTGATATAGGCCTAAGTCTTTAGAAATGCTTTTTTAACCGTTTCCAGCCGTATGAACATTGACAACTCTTTTTCCGAGGTCCTCTGAAACCTCTTTTGAGGTTTCTCAGGGTATGTTTCACTTTGACAAATCTGTGTTGTGAAGAGCAGACTCTGTTGGTAACCAAACATTGGGAGACTTTTTACAGAGCAGAGCATCTCAAAACTCACATTTGAATGTCATCTCATTGATTGGAACTCCTACTACCCCATATTGAATAGAGGTCATAATTTTTTGGGCACAGACAGAGAATGTTTAAACAATGTGTTAAATGTAGACAAGTAAAAGTACAATTGTTTGTGTGTTATTCGTTCTATCAGATTATGTTTATCTATTATTATGACTTAGATGCAATTAATGCAGGACTACAAATGATTCCAAAGGGTTCACACTTTTTATCACAATGTTTTTTTTTTTTTACAGCTCTTTTTTTTCAGGTGTTGGATCAAAAGGCCAGAGATACACTGTTAAAAGTCAAAAGTGATTCCATGAAAGATTTTTTAAAAATCCACTAGAATCAAATGCACTTAACAAACATGTGCTAATAAGGGACAATGTATTGAAATTTGTGTATTGAAATCAGGATATTATCTGTGCATTGAAATCATTTTGATTGAATTTGATTTGGTTTTACAAACCAATTTAAATTCAAAGTTAAAGTTAATGCCAGGTGAAATAGACTGCTCTACAATATATGCTTGGTATGAGCATCAGGAATTTACACAAAGCTTCCAATGTTTTTTTTTTATTATACCAACTTTGAGTGCTTATTGATACAGAAATTGTTACCAAAATAGAAATCTTAATTCACGTAAGAAAAAAAAACGTTTGGCATTTAGCAATACGTGATTTACATTGATCAGAATTCTTAAAAACAGGAAAATAACTCAAAGCAAACTATACATGAATAGCTTATCCATCACATTTAACAATTAAATCTAACCAACATCTTGTGTGGTGTTCCACATCACTAAGATCATTTATTCTTCTCTGCACATTCATAAAGCTAAAAGGCTATGTTTCGTACAACAAAATATAGTCTATCAGGATTACTGGTCACCTTCAATCAAAATGGCTATAATTTCAGAAGGATATTGAAACTGTTGCTTCTTTTTAGAATATTAAGAATGTAACAAAAAAGGATGGATCAAATGAGCCTGATAAATAAAATGGATAATTCTGTGTAAAAGATTAAATATCACTAGTTGAATTGTTTTTTTAATCAATCACCGAAGCAATGTTACAGCTTTTAAAACTTTAGATTAATTTTTGCTCATTGAGGATCAATACTAAGTTCCAGCACATTATGAATAGGATGTTTTAGGGTTCTGATTTCATATACACTTGTCCTGTGTTATACATATAGAACGGGAGTGAAATAAAATAGAAACATTTTAATTTTCTTAAAAGAGAGTCCTGGTGACCATTCAAAATGTCTAGGTCCCTTACAGAAGCAGGTTGTGTTCACTGTTTTTCTATGCTTTTCTCCATAGCCTTTTTAGTGTAACAAAATGTTACACTGCTGCTTGCTTGGTCCTTGTTACAGTACCTGGGAAAGTCTGACCATATAGGCTTGTTGCTCAGTTTCCAGCTGGGATCTGGTAAGATTTAACTGCTCCTTGAGTTTGTTGATCTCATCCTGAAACTTACCAGCCTGTACCTTTTTCTGTTTCTCTGATAACACACCTATAGGTAAAAACAAACTGTTAATATATGCTTTAAATGCATCCTCTAAGCTCAATTAATTTAAAATATTTGGGTAATCATGATGATGCAGGAACATTTTTTAGCATAAATGTAGCAGAACATGTTAAAAATCCCACAATCTTTAGTTACTCCAGTCATTATGCAATATACTAAAAATCTGGCATTACATCTCTAACCAATCAACCTACAAGTTGAAAAAGGTCTACTGATTCTTGTACCGCAGGGGGAACAAGCATTAATTCACTAATTAACCTAGCTTTACTGTACATATTTCCATCTTTAACACTATATACTGTATGTCTTTATCTTACCAATATCATACTCTTCTGGATGACGACGTTGTACATGACTTTGTAGAAAGGAATAATTCATAAATGCTTTCTCACAATGCTGACACTGAAAAATACACAGAAATGTACGTATAAATGTAGCATGGTATAAAAAATAATAAATACAAAATATTATGCAATTAACCTCTAATAGGATTTATTAATTCTGATCTTTACACAGCTATACTGTTTTTAGAAACAAAGAGAAACAAAGGAGAAAACAAATTTAAAACTAAATACAAGGCTCAAAAGGACTGCAAAAAATGTTTTTGTAAAATATTTTACAAGGGAATTAGTACAATGTTCGACTGGATTTCTTCAGGCATGTATAAGAATTCTTATGTGAAAGTCTATAAAAATGAATAGTTTAATTTTTTAAGACATAATCAATTCATTGATCCACTGATGTATTAGAGTGTCTGCTACAGAGAATCTTCATGAAACCTTCACACTTTTACAAAAAGCACACACTGTTTGAACAGAGGGCTTCCCCTGCTACCTTACACTTTAGACTACAATGGCAATATATCATGTTATTATAGTTAATACTGTGATTACAATATGATATATTATTCACGTTTACAATTATAATATTTGCAATATGGCAGATTACAATATGGCCTGTTATTCCAGTTTATAATATGATTACTCTATGGCCTAGTATTCCAGTTTAAACTGTGATTATAATATATTATTTCAGTTGCTTATGATACATAAACATCTGTGTATTTAATTACACTGCACTGTAATCCAGAGCTAGATATATTTTCAGTAAGTTATTAAACGTATATCTATAATAAATATTAATTACTACTAGTAGTATTGAGTAAGATTCCAAGTGAATGAATCATTAAATGAAAGAATTAGCTCATTTTCAACAAGGGGTGCCAATACTTTTTCAATAATTTGTATAAAATTATTTAAAAAAAAAACCTCATTAATAAAATAACTTAACAAGAAATACTAAATTGAACCACAGGCAATTTCTACTGAAACTTCCGATCAAAACAAAAGCTGATCTTGAGCTGCGATTGTGAGAACATGCACAACACCAACATCTTACTTCAACATTGCAAGCAAGGTCACTGTTCCAACTGCAGTTCCTAGCAGGTCAAGACAATGCTGTGCTGAGGAAAGACTAAGCAGCTTGATTTCCTTTTCTACTGTGTCAAAATGGTGTATGCAAATGCATAATGATTAAAACAAATGAAAGCAATGTGTTGGAGGGGGACCTTTAAAGAGGTCATCCAAAGCCAGTTAACAAAAGCAATGCAGCACAGACCAACACCTTTTATTGGCTTGTCACCAAAACACACCACTGGCCCTGGCCCAGACTGCCTTTATATTAAAAGAAATCTGTGGTACACATAAAGCCCTTGGGCTATAGTATGGGTTTCATGGAAAGTCTATTCTTCTGAAGTGCTTTAAACCCTCTGCTGCTCATCAGTTTAGTCAGCCAGATTGATGTGACAAGGCAGTGTAAAAGCTGGTTCTAGAACTCGCACAGCACACTTACTATGCAATCTTAACCAGCTGCCCTCAAGTCTTCATTTAATATTAAAAGATCTGATACTGACACCTGCTATCCAGTATTGTTTTGGTGAAGAGAAAAATGAATCTCTACAAAAACGGTAGACAAATCTCTAAAAATATATTTTGAAGCATTTTCTGTCAGTTCTACCAACACTACTGCTCTCCATACAATAGTTTTGTTATTCAATCCACACAGCACAGACATAAAATGACACCTGAAGAAGGCTCCACGGCCGAAACGTTGTGTTCTCTTTCTTCTTTTTTTCAGCATGGAATAAACCTATTACTTATTCCATAAAAGGAGAGGCCTGGTGAAAGTGATGTGGAAATTAAGTTGTGTACTTCATATTCACATCTGATCTTAAATCTTAAAATCTTAAAAACATTTTACTATAAATGTTTCCACCCATCTTCTAGCCGCTTTACCTAATAAAAAATTTCGGGGGAGCTGGGGCCTAACTTGGCAAGCAATGGATGCAAGGCAAGATACACACTGCATGCGATGCTAGTCCATTGCAGGGCACAAACAGACACAAACACACACACACTTATACAAATTTTTCCAGAAGCTAATTAACCTACCAGTGTTTTTGGACAGTACAGGTAAAACGGGGGAACCGGAGGAAACTCACAAGAACACGGGTAGAACATAGAAACTCCACACTGATAGCACGCTAAGAATTAAACCCAAGCCCCAGTGCTGTAAAGCTCTGTAAACCACTGTTCCACTATGCCACCCCGAAATAATGTTACGTGTTATAAAACAGATATGAATCTGAGCTGTGAATGTAACCTTTACATTTGTAAATGGCATTTTGTACTCCACTCAACTTAATACATTATGAAACTTCATATCAAAATAATTAACCCAGACTTCACATTTTTGCTTCAACTTTTGTCAAATAAAAGTTATAATCATTATTCAGGATTCTGTGAGGAGATGGATTTTTCTGACCAGAAATCAAGGAATGTTAGTGTTCTTCCTCAGTACAATGCTAACTGTTAGTCAAAGACTAAATTGACATAAAAACTATCAGAAAAATTAAAATCACACTGTTTTGAGAATGTAGAAAACCACTAAAGATAGGACACAGTAAGCTTATTAATAGCAATTGCAGAAACTAAAACATTAAACTAATAATAATAATCAAAATACACTCCATATGTTTCCCTTGACTTGTAAAATGAGCAGTTAGTCATGGTGAGCATCTTGTGCTGTTAGAGGTTCTCATTACAAATCTCATTATTTATTGAGCTGCACTTACACCTTAATCAGACAAGCCATACTGTTTGAGTTTCACTTAGCAACTTTGTGTGAAGGCCTAGCTGTTACCTAGGAGACCTTTTTTCATGTAGTTCTTGTAAATGCAAAATGAACAGCCCTTTATTTCCCATACTGTCCTTCCTTTGATTTCACTTAAACAAATAACATACCAGAATATCCAGGCCTATATAGGAAATTACACAATTGAGTTCTTTCAGGCACTGTACTAGAAATAATGTTAAATGTTGTGGTACAGTACCTTTCCTGACAAACACCTTCTGCCCTACTCCAAACTATGCAATGACATTCTGAACTGAAGCCACATTAAGAAAATGGGTTTCCAGCTATCTGTGTAACTATGCTGTTTATCTGTTATATGGATTAGAGAACAAAATGCCACCCGCAGACACCATCTGTTCTGTTGTTTTTAATGAGGTCTGAAATCTGCATTTTTGAAAACAGAAATGTTTACTATTACTTTAAGATTATTTTGTTAGATTTTTTTAAGTCTGTATATGAACCAATATCAAAGGAAAGTGTGGTTTGAATGAGACAATTCTGACAGTAGAGCTCTTCCAAATAGTGGACAATGAAGTATTTCACTACTTTTTACAGCTAAGTGTGCACCCGAGCTCATCCACTCACCACGACAAAGCGCAGCATTACTAAAAGTCTGATCTGCATTTGACACCATGAACAATGGATGAAAACAATGAACCACATGGAAAATCATCTTGTTGGCACATACCTTATGATAATTACCCACACCAGCACTGATCATTGATTGCTGGGTAGTAATGATCTTCTTCCTCCTCTTTAGCTCCTCCTTAAGTAATTTGATCTCCTCATTTTGCTTCATTGTTTCCCTTTTGATCTGTTCTTTCTCCAGAATGGAGGCCTGCAGCTTCTCCTCCACGGACTGCAGGCTGCTGGTGAGGTATTCCTGAGAGTGTAGCAGGTATTCGACCGTGAGCTGGGCTAACCTGAAGACCTTCAACAGAACCGGGTCCACTGGGTTCTGGCAGTAAGGGCAGCGCTCGTTCTCCACGGTACAGAATGTGATGCCCATGATATTCTCCTGCAGGGTATTGAAGTCCAGGTCGCTGGCCACGCGGTCAACATCGATGGCACTTATCCTGCGCCAGTCCACGCTCTCTCGGCGAGCTCGGAACTTGAAAGATGGGATGTGAGCCCCTGTCATTGATGGTCCAGAGATCACAGAGGACTGCTGGGGGATGCTGGAAGAGCGCTGGCTTTGAGGAGAGTTCAAAATGGATGGGATTCCGGCAGATGAACAGGTCCCTGGGGTTTCAGACGGATAAGGATAGTATATATTGTTGTAAAATGGCTGCAATGAAAAAATATATATTTCCACTTAAATATCCAAGCACAGCAGAAATGTGATCAGTGGTTTATGATAAAATAAAACCAAACCCAACAACCACTCCGACTAAGCCTTACCCAGAAATCAATGCAAACAAATTACTACATCAATAACGATAGCTCATATTTAGCAAATACCTCGTTTCTGGGAACTAACAAGTCGCAGAATACTGTTATTGTTCAAAAATCAAGAAAGAAGAAGTGTGGAATGCCTGATTAAAAAACAACACAAAATCGAACTGTCGCAGGCACGGTGGTTCTGCGGAGCTGTGAAATCCTCCCTGCATTTCTCCTTACCATCCCTGACTTGCGGCTCTTTGCTTGAGAAGAGAACGATTCAGCGGTATGGTGCCTCCCCCTTCGTCTTTGTGCAGTGACAGGGATCAGGGCGTCTTTGCAGTCTCCTAGGTAACCAGAATTAGCATCACTGTGTGCCTGGCACCACACCGCTCAAGAGCTCCGGGATGCTGCAACAGGCAGGCAGACAACAAGCCTTAAAAATTGATAGAAAAAGACGACGTTTTAAATGTCGTAAACATCAGTCATGCAGTTACTAACACAATAACGAACGTTTTACAATTTAATAAATGGCATACAGAAATTATGTAGATGAAATGAAGCATATCATCGTTAATAGCGTCCTTTATTCCATAACTCACGTAATGGTTACTACCTGTTTTACAATTGAGTTACAGGATACTGTTTTTACTGTTCAGTAGGCACTTTTGGCTAGAGCAAATCTGCGTTGCTTTGGACACTGTTTAATCGAATTTATAGCTTCATTTAAAAAAAAAAGTTATTGTCGCATTAAGAATGAAATTAAGTTATTAGATTTTGCAAAAGCACAAAGAAAAGACTTATTTCATCCATACTTGGTAACTGGAGTTACATTTCTAATGCATCTAGAATTATAAACTAAAGATATTTTGTATAAAGATTACAATATATGCTTCTGATATAAGCTAAGAAAAAATACTGTTTTTTGGTGCAAAAACATCAATGCTCCAGTTTCGTGAACTTTTTTCATGTTTTCAATCACGGGAAATTTCTTGCATCAAAATGGGTCTTCTCATATTTTCTTCTAATTAACGAATCAAATTTAAATACGTGTAAATCTATCCTGGCAGATTTTCAATGGTTTATTTTATGTGAAGACTAAAAACGCTTGATTTCTAAGTGTTTTGGTACACTTCGGTACTGGGTTTATATTCTAGTTGCTATTCTTTGAAATCCTCGTTTACATCAACTATGAAAACACACATTCTATCAAACCAGAGTCAATGTTATCATCAACTACTGTAATTACAGTACAGAAACAACCCCTTTTCCGATTAAAATTAACGGCACATTTGTGTCGCATTTATTTTAAATGTACTAAAGATTTTCAGAGCCAAAATTGTGATCGGGTTTTAGAGAAAATAATTATGGACATATAGTGCTAATAACTGGTTTAGTCATCTCGAGCGATTCCACGCCCTGTGGGTAAGATCTCAGATTTCTTAAACCTGGCATCTGCTCAGATTTGAGTTTATGATGTGATGTCCCTGTTATTTATACAAAACTTTATCTACAATCTCTCATTCCGTCGCGCACTTTCTTCGAGTTAAGGACATCTTTCAAGCATCTCATGATTTTATTTAATAACAACAACGCACGATTTGCGTGTGCGTGACAGTTTGCTGGTTCACACATCACCAAGCAAGTAGCCACTCATCAGACTCGGCCTTTCTCGCGGTCCAAGCCATCTGCCGGCAAAACAACAAAGCGCACTCCTCAAGACAACAGCTCATTTCCAAAAACTCAAGTCTGGACAGGCAGGCTCAGGCAAAACAAGCAGCAACGCCAAGAACTGACTCGTTTTCTACATAGAAACAAAAAACCCAAAGATGTAAAAGCTTGCCTTGCTAACTCTGTGTGCAAAAGATCTTAAACCTTTGAACTACAAGAAGCTACAGCAGGATACCAAGATAACTTGAAAAGTAACGGGAGTGTTGCGGACAAGTCAATTTGGGGGGAAAACAAACAGGAAATGGTTGGTTAGTAAAAGTGCAATTACGTACAGAATGAAATACTCACCCCACCTCGGAGATCAGTTTATTTTTTGTTTCTCCGTCCCAAATGAAAACTCTTCAGCGGGGAAGTTTCTTGGAACTCGAAAGCAGCCTGGTGGCGCGGTGACGCGCACATTCCAAAACCTCTTCATCACCGTCTCTCCCAGCGCGCAGAGAGGCTGGAGGGGGAAGGGAAAGTCTGAACGAGCGGTGCAGGGAGATTTAGGGGGGACAGATGAGGCTCACATTACCTCACACAGTATGCAAAACGGAGGTGGAGAATGAAGCCATATGTTCCGAGCTTCCGGAGGATTAGTAGAAATTCATTGCTGGGTTTGAGAGCAGAGCCTGTTGATGAGGGGCTTCAAAAACCCTTTTGTCACAAATTTAAATCCGTGTGGAAGTCTGCATACTTAAGCTATTTCTTCTTTCAAACTCCCTTCCTACAAATAATATGAGCTGAAACAGTGAGAACTTTTGCGTGCTTCGTATAGCAAAGAATTCGAATTTCTTTGGAAATGGTTACTTATATAACTTTTTGTGTTATTTAATTAGTTTTTAGGTAAGGCGCCTTTATTATTCTCGTGTGTGTTTGCTTTCTTTGCTAAATGCAACAGACCAGTCAAATTCAGTACATAGTTTATAATGCAATTACTGAATATCAACATCTTGCTCAGAATCAGAATAAATTATAATTGCATTATAAACATTGATCTCTGAGTCCTTTATTGGTCAATTGCACTATCCAGATCCGATATAAGGCTCTGAAAACGTATAGTGCACCCATAGCTTCTTATTTTTGAGAAAACGAGACTGGTGTTTTACAAAAAAAAAAGTAAACCAATGTAACCTACCTTGTATTCATTTTTAGTTTCTAAGTATTACTGTGTGCGTTTGTGTAATGTTCCCATTAGAACTGACGCTGCTTCTTCTAGGGTAGCAGTTCCAACAGCGTAAAATAATCTTATATCTACAAAAAGACTGAAGGATAAGAAAAACTACATTTGCAACGCAATCAGGATGGTAGAGGTGGGGGTAGGGTTGACTCAGGTAAGAAGGTCAATGGAAAAAGAATCTAAATGATCTAATGCTAATTCTGTAACTTAAGAAAACAGTTAAACTAGTGGTTGAAATCACTCAATAATAAAAAACGTGGCTCCAATAGATTCCACAAAATTAGTGTCATGATCAGTACCTGGATGGGATATCTCCTGGGAAAAACCAGGGTTGCTTGTTGGAAAAGGTGTTAGTGCGGCCAGGAGGGGGCGCTCACCCTGTGGTCTGTGTGGGTCCTAATGCCCCAGTATAGAGACAGGGACACTATACTGTAAAAAGGCGCCGTCTTTTGGATGAGACATACTGTAAAACCGAGGTCCTGACTCATAGCGGGTGTTAAAAATCCCAGGGCCTTTCTCAAAAATAGTAGGAGTGTAACCCTGGCATCCTGGCCAAATATCTTATTGGCTTTTACCAATCTTGGCCTCCTAATAATCCCCATCTATGAATTGGCTTCATCACTCTGTTCTCCTCCCCATTAATAGCTGATGTGTGGTGAGCAATCTTGTGCACTCTGGTTGCTGTCGCATGATACAGGTGGATGCTGCACATTGGTGGTGGTGGACGGTGCCCCCATTACCTGTAAAGCGCTTTGAGTGGAGTGTCCAGAAAAGCGCTTATACAAGTATAAGCAATTATTATTATTTGTTCTTCTGTATTAATGAAAGAAAATACAATTGTATTTGTATTGCAACTTAGTTCAGACACTGATTAGAAATTGGCATGGAGAAAGCATTCATAAGAGAAATGAAAGTGTTTCAAAACTCTACACTCTGTCTATGCATGCAAGCTATTAGATAAATAATATGACTTGTTAATATTGATAAAATGTTTTGGGGTAATTTTTATTATTTGAAGATTCATGACTGTTACATTCAAGTGACTTCAAGTTTATTCTTCTCTTTTCAGCATGGAATAAACCTTTAACTTGTTCTTTTGCAGCCTACGCATACTGACACGGCTACTTACTTGAACTGATTTATCCCATAGACTGCCGAGCCAGTTGTAGTAATCAAGTAGTACAAGCACAGAAAGGATCCAATATGTCCTGCTTATCAAGAGAAGAATGGCTTTGTGCCATCGGTATGTTGCAGGCTGGACTAAGTCAAGGCACTGTCAGGCACCATCTGGGGTGTTTACAGCTTATAGCAATGTCTAATCTGGCAAGATTGTGCAGCCAATTTCAGCCTGCTAATGACTGACCCTGATCTCAGAGTCACAATTCTGCACCAGGATTGACATTTCATCATGTTTATTCTTTACGATTTCTTTCACGCAGCCACTACAACAGAAGGAACTGGTCACAACAACCCCATGTGTCTAAAGTTAGGGAGCTAAACAGTCATCATTTAAAGAACAGACAAGCAAAGCAACAAATGAGCCCAGTGTTGATCAATGCAATAGAATAAAATAGACTCACCAGGAATGCAACTAATGCATTTTTAATTTATGTTTTGTGTGGACCTCTCATAAAATGTCATTTTATGAGTAATCCAGACATGTAGAGCAATACAATAATTGGTGTGTACAGCAGACCATTTGAGCCAGACCAAGTGTGATAGTTTGGGCAGAATTGCTCTTGTGGTGATTAAGTGGAACAAAAAACAGAGGTGTGGGAGTCATAGTGGTATAGTGATTAGCATTGCTGCCTTTCAGCACTGGGGCTCTTGGTTCAATTCCAGACCCTGTGTGTGATCTGTGTTGGTTGTATGTACTCCCTGTGTGTGTGAGAGTTTTTTTCCACAACAAATGCTGGTAGACTACTTTTAGGAAAATTGGTATGAGAGTGTGTGTGTTTGTGTCTGTTCCCTCATGATGTGCCCTGTGATGGACTGGCATCCCCTCCAGGGTATACACACTGCTTTTTCTTATTGCTTGCTAGGAAATGCTCTGCCTCCCCTGTGACCCTGAGTTAGCTGAAGAGGTTAGAGACTGGATGGCTGGAAAAATAGGAGGACTGATGACGGAGATACACATCTCTTATCTGTGACAAGAGTAAGCACACTTTTTGAAACACTTATAGGACTCAGATCTTTAGTGTTTTGGTTAAACAGACTGAGAGTGGAGGGGGATATGGACTATATATACACCCTCATTGCATTTAATTGTATTGTTTTTATATTAACTATATTTACCAATTGAGAAGAAATAAAGCTCCAAACTGGAACCCACAATTTCACGGGATTTAATCCTCACACATCCATTTCAGATATACAGATCTTTTTAAGGCACTCCATTTTAAACACTTCTAAAATTCGAAAAGTTGCTTGACATATAAACTTTGTTCTAGTCAGGTAAAAGTCTGAGGTTTTGTGAGCGTAAAATACATCTTTATTACATAACACATAATTACAATACACAGTATAAGATTATCATTTACTTTATTTTTTTTCTGATTATGGACATCCTGATAATTGGTGAAATGGGCTACTAAATAAATTTCAGACTTTAAACCGTTTCTTTTTAGCACTTCACTATAATCATTCTTGTGGCTTTCAAATAAACTGGAGGGTATTCGTTTACAATTGTGAAGCTTTGGCTCCCCCAAATGGCCGTCGAAAGCATTGGCAATTTCTTCCTTTTAATCACCCTCCCTGAGACACCATCACGGAAAATAAAAGCTAGAATTGAGCATATTTTTTCTTTTTTTCCTTTTCAATATTCATTTTAGTGTTCGTGAACCTCGATGGCTGCAGGACGTGAAAAACAGTGGACAATTATAAAAACCTTTACTGTAGCTTTTAATATACCAATATTTATTCCACTGTATCAGCAAAATAGAAATCGACAAGCCAGAAGACAAAAACATAGCCAGAGTTTTCAAGCCTTCCAACCATGTCCATTAACTGTAACATTGATTGTGAATCCCCAACACTGCAGGGACATACTGCTTGGGGTAACCCTTAGCACTGCAGTGGACGTGTAGGCAATCTGGGATTGTGGGGACCGTGAAACTGTGAAGGCATGTGAAAGCCCTGCAAATTTAAGAGAGGCGAGATGGGGAAAAGGTTTCTGGGTCCTATGTTACTGCCTAGGCATACTGTCCAGAGCAGCCCTAGGTGCTGCAACGGAGCAGCAGGGCAATCAGGGATTGTAAACCCCCTATAGTGCAGAGGCATATTGGCAGGGAGAAGCCCCTGTGAGACTTCTAGGCAGACAGTCCTCTGGAACTCTGCAGGGCACAAGCTCAGATGTGCTTCAGCTCTGAAGACCTACTGCTAGGCAGGCGGGTTTTGGAGCTCAGCAGGCCGTGAGCTCAGACAAGATTTATTACAGTATATTGCAAATGGGATCCAGTGGACTTCCAGAGACTGAGGCAAGATTAGGGGAAAAGGATCTTGGAATCAGGGAAACACTGGCAGGTGGATAACGTGAGTACCTGCAGAGGTTTGCTAGGGGATTAAAGATAGCACCAGGAATAGAGTGCATCAGGAAGACCAACATTTTAGTAGGGGGACTGTCATAGAGTGAAAAACCAAGGTCCTTACACAGACACTTGATAATTACCAGACAGTTCGGGGGTGAACAGCCAGACTGTTCATTTGGGACATTTGATTCTGGTGACTGGGGTCCTGCTCGGGAACTGCTCTATGAGGAAGTTGTATTGTTTGTTCTGTGCATTGGGTGAGTGGTCATAGGAATCGGTGTATTATGAGGTTTTATTTACAGTATATAATGGAGTATTATGTATGATAAGTGTCTTGTCTGGTCTGTGGATGCACTGGTGGCTCTGGAGCTAGGTTCTCCTGAGCTAGGAGAAAAATGGTCCATCACCCTCTACAAGTGGCATATTCAAGGACATAGCAAAGCATTTAATGTGTTAATGTGTCACCCATACTGTGACAGTTGCACGACAGGTTGAGTTTCTTGAAACGGTTTATGACATGAGAGTAAAAGTGATCAGAACACCTTTTCAGGTGAAAAACTGATAAAAACACTTTATTTGGATATTGATTCACCAAGTTTCAATTAAATCGGTGCAGGGGTTCTTAAGATGGCTCCAAAATAGTCTTCAAATACTGAGGTCAGGCGAATTCTTGAATGATGCAAATTAAATGCTTCATCTGTTCCGCTATTCCCATCTAAAATGAAGTTGTCTGCTCAGTCTACAAACATGAGCAATTGGGAACCAAAATAAATTTGATGCTAATGTTTCAACGATTATGCCTGGACATTATTGTAGTAACAACCAAAAGAGGGCAGAGTTCTGTTCATTCTGTAGGAGCAGAAAAAATAAATTATGCTGGAATAAACTAATGGTAATATGGACAAAGTATTTTGTGTATCTACATCAAATTTAAATTAGTAATACGTCTAGGCCCGATTAGAACACCCTATAGTCCAATAGCACTACTAATTAAGGTCACAAAGGCATTTTAAACATGATGGACATCCCTTGTATAAAGCCTATTAAATACCTGTTACTAAAATATTTAAATACTTGTTAATTTCACTAAAACATGACTTAATTCCTTTTTTTTTCAGTTATTAGACATGCAACATACATGGATTATACATTATATTTACTAGTTCTCAACAAGCTGTATTTCAGTAAAGTGATACAATATTGTTCCATAAAATATTGTGCAACACATTTTTCTCAATATTTTGTTCCTGCTGTCCATCAGTTTGATGTTAATAGTATATCTTGAACTGTTTATTTAGCAACATATTTTAAAGTTATTATATCATGTTTAATTGTATACTTATTATGCCACTGTCCAGTCCTGTAACTTTTGAGTTGCGTATAAAAAATGATTCTGATATAAGTCACCTTGAGTAAAGGTTTCAGCTAAAGAATAGCAATAATTAACGTCACAGATATAGCTACTTTGATACAGGCCTTCTTTGAAGTGTCTACAGTATGTAGTTTGCACAGGGTGATAATTATTGCGTGCCATCACTAATCGCTAAATTTAAACTTTTGCATGGTATTTGATATACAGTATATGTGAAACAACTGCAACCTATGTATTCGACTAATTAATTTTTTTATACCGATAGCTGACTTCTTCACACCTGTGAAAAAGACTCGCTGCCGAAAGGTTATTTTTTCTGCTTTTGAACGTAGAATTTACCTTTTCTTTCTTTGCACCCAAAGCGCGGTACCGCAGATGCCCACTGAAACCTGCAGTGAGAACCGAACTACCTCTCAGATATAATGGATTTGTAGTGTAAATACTGTGTGACCCAAAGTCGTTGGAGTTTTAAAATGATCAAAAACATATGGATACCTGCACTGTTATGGCTCGAGTCGAATGTGAAACAGATTATAGACAAAAACAACCACAGCCTCTGTAATGCCACCATTAAAACAGAATAATCTACCTAGAAAACTGCAAGTAGAGAGGACGAGGTATTCTAACGAGTTAAGTAACTCAATTCGGATACTGCATGTGAAACATTTCCAAATCAGGTCCAGTTGACACGCTATTGCCACCCCCTCAAAACGCTGCCGTGGCTCCACGTTGTTGAATTAGAGGCAAGGGGTGGGATTTTAAACTCCTCCATCCAATCGGAGCAACCCACGACCAGGCGAGTTAACTTGTGCTGAACTTTAAAGGCTGGAAATAGAAAAAAAAACAGTATTGCAATTCCGCAAGGTTCTGGTAGCCTAAACTTCACGCTTAATTAAATTTTGTAACGTTTTAATATTAAACATGGTTTCAGTAGGCCCTTTTGCACGCAAAGTCCTATGTTATTTTTCATATATTCTTGTTTTGATTGACCTACGATATGAAGGTAAGTTTGTTTTTTTTTTTGCCGTTTCTCACTGCCTTTTCCTACGGGAAAGATTATGCGTTTCATCTTCGCTCAATGCCGTTATTAAATTATTTTATTCTTCAGTAATTACCTGGACTTGACAAGACTTTCTTCAATTCCACGAACAGACGTAGCGTCAAGAAAGTTTGACAAGCCCGCTGGTTTTGCAGCTGGTTGGTATTGCCCAGAGTGCACAGTACCAGATGCGTGATGCCTCTTGTAGAGTCTTAGTTTATGGGGAGCAGTCGGAAAAATGGTTTATTCTTCCCAAGTCGCCAGAACCTATTTTTAGTTGAGTTCATTGCTAGAGTGTATGGATTTATCATTGTGTGCCGCCCAAAGGAGCTTGTATTGAATCAAATCTAATAAAAGACGAAAAGACGTGCAGCAGTGCTCTGCTGAGCAGAAGCTGTCAGCGTGGATTTTAATGTTGATTGATAAAAACAAACTGCTCCGATGATTTCACATATAGTACAGGCTTTCTTCTGCGAGTATAACAAATAGCTGTGTGCCGTACTTGTTTTATGGTATAATAACGATTATGGTAGTAGTGAAATTTAAGATTTGTAAATGGTGTGGACTTCACGTGCGAAATTGAAGTTTTTTTTCTCACTGATTAGTTATTGTACTTCCTGCATTGTTTTTTTTTATAACTTCTTGATTTGTTTTTAAGGAGATATCGCATCATCCGAGTACTAGCTAAAGTATTATATTGGAAATCGTATCTTGAAAAATTATTTAGCATTTTTGGAAATGATTTTGCTGCTGCGGAAATGTTAAGAGATATGAGTTATGCTCATAAATTAAAAAGTGCATGCTAGTTAAATGTGACCTTGGTACTGATTTTAGCTTTAGTAAGATATTTAGCTGAACATGAAATTAAATCCCCTTTGGTCTTTTCTATACCTTTATAATTTGAGAGAAATCTTTTGATTTTTTTTTTATGGGGAATAAATGGGGATATATAGCTGACTGCACACCCATTTAATATCAGAAGCTGAATGTCTCTTAAAGTTCCAGTTGCAACTCACTGATGTAAAAACCCCCTTTAATAAGTGTTTATACTTTTTTCCAGGTCTGTTAAATTGTCTGTAACAGTACCTGCCTTCTCGCCTGAACTGATATTTGCTTGTGCAAACGCTAATCGTGGACTAGTTGGGGACACTGGTCCCTCTGTACAAGAATCTAGAAACCATGCTCAAGGATAGTAACTGAGGACATTGTGCTATCCTTCATTTTTTTTTTTTCCCCAAAATTTAAACATGTCTATCTATGAATTTTCTAACTGCTCCATCCAATACAGAGTTGTGGGGCAGCCCAAACCTATCCCAGCAAGCAACCCTGGATGGGATGTCAGTCCATCGTCGGGCACAGACACAGACATAGACATGAGCACGCTCATGCCAGGGCCGGTTTTCCACGAGCCAGTTAACTAGAACTGTGGGAGGAAACCCACATGAACATAGGGTGACCATACAGACTCGACACAGATAACATCGTAGAATTGAACCCAGGACCATCACTGTGAGGCAGCAATGCAAGCCAAGCTAAATTTCTTTAATTTCTGAAAAAACGAGAAGGAAGCAGGGCAGAAAGAATTAGCAAGTGTTATTTAACTGAAATTCTGATTACTTGGCCATTAGAGATTCTATGGGATGTTGCTCAATCAGACCTTACTATTGCTAATATTAAGCCCTTAATTGAACTGGTGTTGCAGATTCTTGCTCTCTGATCTGCTGTGTAATGAGTGGGGCAGCATGTAGTGGCCATCACTAAGGTTTGTGCTACACTCCAGTGCTGAATGAAGTGTCCCCTGTTCTACTGTATGTAGAAAGGTTGGAGATTTGTTTGGATGGTGACTGCTATCTAAATGCAGTAAACTATTTCTCTGTTAGGATAAAGACTGTGAAAGAGAAGTGTGGAACAATAATGGTGCTAATGATGAGTTTATATTGTTTTTTAAAAGCATAGGTGGTGGAATCAGTTAGAAAGGAGAACACCTCTACTTTCAAGATTCAGATTACCTGAAAGCACATGGCTTTTCCCCTTTGCAGGAGTGCAGTGTGGGAAGAATGCAGGACTCGAGAGCCATCTGGAAATGGGAAAGAAATTGTTGGCTGCCGGACAGTTGGCAGATGCTTTGTCTCACTTTCATGCTGCTGTAGGTCAGTATCTCAAATGAGAAAAACCTGATTTGGGAAACATCATCCACTGTGTTTTCTTTTTGCGATGAAGAAGCTCATCAAAAAACGCTTTATTTTGAATCAGTGCTGGGCTACAGTCCAGAAAAATAAAGCATCTGTTCTGTAATGTGTGTAAAAGTTTTTTTTCCTTTAAAAACCAAAACAACTTTCCGGTAACCTAAGCCAAAAAAACGGAAGGGGGGGGGACATTAGTCCAGATATGCCTACACCATTACAAACTAGAGACATACCTAGGAAGTAATGTATCTTTTGATTCTTTCTGCGTTGTGTATTTTCATAGAATAAACAAATTATTTCCAGCAAAGTAATATACCAAGACTTAAATGTGTATGCAGGCTATTATCATTTATTGTAATTGCTGTTGTTCAACAGATGGTGACCCCAAAAATTACCTGGCCTATTACAGAAGAGCCACAGTTTATCTGGCCATGGGGAAATCCAAGTCAGCTTTGCCGGATCTCAGTAAAGTCATTGAACTCAAACCAGATTTCACCTCAGTAAGTCAGTCTACAGATATGCCTTAACAAAATACAATTTCACACCTCTCTGCACCCATTCTGACTTCACACCTCTTGATTGGCCTCTCTTTCTGTCCCCTGCTCCCGCCTCTCACTCCTCCTCCCTCCCAACCTTTGTTCTCCCGCTACTTTACCTTTACCTTTGCCTACTGCCCTGTCTCTCTCACACCTGAAGAAGGCTCCACGGCAGAAACGTTGTGTTCTCTTTCTTCTTTTTTTCAGCATGGAATAAACCTATTACTTGTTCCTTAACAAAATATCTACTGGGAAGCCATTTTGATACAGTAAATTCTTGGGTTAAACTGGAAATCTGATTTCCAGTTTAACTTGATTTCTTTTTGTACAGAGGAAAATGTGAAACAGACATTTCTTTCTAGAACGTTAAAAATCTTAATTGAACTTTTTCCAAGTTAATTTTATTTGGATCTTACCTTTTAATTATAAAGCGATTGATTCTAGCAGTTTCTAATACAGCACTATATTTGATTTCAAAAACCAGTATGACCATGTTATACATTGAAAGAAGGCAGGGTATGGGCTTCAGCATTATAACTGGGATAATTTCCACTTGTTGGAAGAAGTCCACTGGGTTAACTCTGTCAATGCCTTTGAGGAATGTTAATGTCTGTATGGGGTCCACTTATAATCCTTTCTGTTTGAGGCTAGAAGGGCTGAGTTTCATTTATGCTGCAGAATTTATCTTTTTTTTTTTTCTGGACTGATACCACGGCAGAATTGTATTTTCCTGCAATATGGTGACCAAAGTATTCTAAAGACCTTACTGTTACATTATATAACTATAATATCGCTTAATTTAAATTTTGTGCATTTAACTAAATATCCTAACATCTTCTACAGGCAAGGCTACAGAGAGGAAATCTACTCCTCAAGCAAGGAAAGTTAGATGAAGCAGAAACTGATTTTAAAGATGTGGTGAGTAAAACAAAATGCAATATTATATCGGCTGTTTTGATGCTCCTTAAACGCAACAATGTTTTGTTCCCTTTTACTTGTGAAGATATTTTGAGGTTGAAGAAAAGGAAATGGAATGTACGGAAGAGATGTATTGCTCCAAAAATCCATTAAATGTCAACTTGTTAAAAGTGAATTTTAATCTGGAATGATGTATGGTTTGTACTGTATACTAATGTAAACATAAATTAGTTCAGGTGGTCAAAATGACTTTGATAAGTCACACAGCTAGTTAAGTGGCCTCTCTGTTTGCAATTTGATTCATGTGATTTAAGAATAAGTACCACTCTCAGGTAATGAATTTCAAGCAAAGGTTCAACCATGAAGATGAAGCATCTTTCAAAACAAGTCGGTAAACAGGTTTTAGATGCACTGAATATTCCTTTGAGCATCATGAAGTAGAAGCTGTATCATGCCATCCGAACATAGCTTACAGACTGTCCCGTTAAAGTGAGCAGCTGAGCAAGGATGAAATTGGTTAGGGAAATCACCATAATCACCATAAATCACCAATGGTGTTCATCAGCTGAGGGTGAAAATGTGCACAATATCCCAGTCATTTCACAAAACTGGTTTGTTGTATAAAATGGCAAACCCATTTCAAATCCCAGGTGGAATTCGCAACCAAACTTTTAACTTTTTTTAACTGATACTGAAAAGATGAAGCAAAAGGTTTTGTGGTCAGACGAGATAAAATTTGCTCTTTTTAAAGTATGTTGGGTTTTGAGCTAGACATAGTCTATTGCCTAATCTACATTTTACTAGTATGAAATGTAGTTCTTTCTCATAAGAAGGAACTGGGAAGCTTGTCAACATCTAAGGGAAAAATGTAGCAGCACAATATAGGTACGTTTTGGAGAAAAGCCTGCTCTAAAGACCTGAAAACTTAATTAGGCCAATATCCAAAACACAAGCCCAGAGCTGCAATGTACTGGAGTTGCTTAACAAGAAGAAAGTGAATGTTCTTGTTTAAATCCAATGCAAAATCTTTGTGAAGGCTTCAAAACTGCCATCCATTGACAATCCCCAGCTAACCTGGAATAGCCTGGACAAATTTACAAAGAAAAATGAGTGATATTTGTACCATTCTACTAGGCAAAATTGGTATTATTTCCGGAAGACTTGCTGTTAAAGGTGCTTCCTCCAAATATTGGCTTGGGTGAATACTTACGTAATCAACATTTTCAGTTTTTACTGACACCTTTCTCCATGAAAGATTGAAGATCTGATTAAAATATTTAATTAAAAAAATACATCATGGGTATCCTCATTGAAAGGAGGAGAATACTTTTATGCGGCATTGTATGTAGTACACCTATGTACAGTATAAAGAGGGAAAATTTTAATGGGGAAAAGAAGGGGTGCTCTTCAGTGGGTTATAATTCATTGATAGCTGAGGCTGTGTGGAGTGCCTGATATTTAGAGGTAAAGCCCATGTACTGTAAATGGCTAAACATCTGAATAGACTCCAGTATGTCCCAAATGATGCAAAACAAAGATAGCGATGAGCTGTTGTGAGCCTACACTGTAGACAAGCTTTTGTTGTAGCAGAAATTCATTGTGAAACCTCATTTCAGTTATGTTATCACACCAATTTATCAAATGTTTGTAAAATGTGGATTCTTCTGAGCAATGAACCACACTTTCATTCTGGAAACTTGACATGGTAATATGAAAAATGTTCAGGTTTTGTTATGGGGGGGAGATATACTGTAGGTTACATATGAGTGTAATTTCCTGTTTTATTTATATATACTATATTATTTTAACGTTTGCTTTTCCATTGGAAGAAAGGTTTGACATTTGCTTTTAACACATACATTTTTATTAGGCCATGAGTGCTTATAAATCTTTAGCGTGCCTACGGTTGTGGCCACTGAGAGACTTATGAAAAGCCTTACAGTAGCTGTCTTTTAAGAAAACATTGCACTTTAATATTCAATAACTTGCATTGTAACACCTTTCCCTTTCTGTATAGTTACTAAAATGGTTAACATTTATTTTTTAAAGAGACCTGCTAAATTAAAATAAGCAGTTTTGGCACATAGAGAACAAAAGCAAATGTGATATGAGAACTTGAAACAAGACTGAATGCCAGAAGGTGTCACTAAAGACCAGGGGAAATTGTAAGCAGAGATGATGGTGAGAGAGACATTGTGGAGCGGGGCCTGATTGTGCTGTGTAAATCCTAAATTTAAAGAGCGGCTGACTGCTCTTAAATGAGAATGGACGTGTCACCTGGATCCTTTAGGTACTGCCATGCACAACAAAGTATTGTTACACTATTTATTGATTGCATTTTGGCCAAAAAGGAGGTCCAGTAATGTCATTTAGACTATCCATGTTTTATTGTAGAACTTAAAGATCCTGACAAAACTCACCAAAACTATAGATATAAATAAAAATACCAAAGTCTGTCTGATCAGCTACTTTTAAACTACTTGATTTACAGCCATATTCGCAAGATTGATGGGCTTTTGATATGCAGTAAAGGGATATATAATGTTTTTCCTACCCCTAGAATCTGTTTTTTCATGGGTTTTAATGTATATTTTACCAATCCATTCTCTGCCTTTATTAGCTGCCTCCCCTAAAGCTCTTGACTTTCCACACAATATTGCCGGAAGACACAAATGCCCTTGTATTGAGGTCTTGGAGTTCCATCTTGTAATTCCTTCACTTCATTATGAATCTTCTCTCTCTGTCTCTTGAGGATTGATATTCCCAGGTAGCTGTGCCAAGTGGCACATGCAATAAAAATAATTCCTCCAGCCAGACAGAAATGAAAATTTGCAGGTCGTTCACAGCAGCAAAGCTTTTTTTAAGTAAAAGAGGAAAGAAAGGATGTTGTAAAGGAGGTCGCTCAAGGTGTTGAAAGTGACAGTGTTTAATGTATTCAATTCTAACATTACAGCTTTTCAGGAGCAAGGCTATTTATCGGCAATACTGCAGGTGTGCACAGCTTTCAGTGTTAAGCTTGGGTAAAATTAGGATTAGTGAAGGGATGAAATGAAAAACAGCCAATGATGAGAACTGAGTGATGAGAACATTTAAGTTTCTTTAATGAGACTCTTTAATGGTGAGAAAACTAATTTTTGCTGCTTATTTCCTGCCTTAATTTTCAGAATTGGTTGTGTCTTGAAAATTTCCACCTACCCACCTGATTAGCATCCATTTAACTTATATTTTCACAGCTTGGCAACTTCTTTTTTTTTTAAGCAAGGCTTTATGTAAAAACATAGTTTCATTAGGCTCCCTAAAAAAGTGTAATTTTGAATTCTCACCTAAACTGAGAGGAGGCGCTAAATCAACACAGGCTTTTCTCCAATTGCACAGTCCTTCAGACAGTCGGCTCTAACTGACGTGTATTGCTGATATGTGATACTGGCCTATACTCTCCTAATATTGATTGTCACAGAAGATCAACTTCACTGGCTTTGTATTGCAGTTTTCATATGTCTACTTATTCAACATTTTTCTTCTCCTGATGGGGATGCCTTTAGACAACATCAGAATATTCAGATATCTGATTCCAGGCTTCATGATTATGGTATTACTTGGTATGGTATTACTATTGGAATAGTTCATATTCTGTTTTAGAATAACACTTTTGCAATGAAACCAATTATAACTGTTAAGAGGAAACAAAAATCCTTTTCATCCTGAAACATTTTTCTAAGTGGTTTTGCAAGCTTCTGTAGTAATGCCTTCTGTTTGTAAGTAATCTCGATGGTTCAGCAGTCTAATGTCAAGGGATTTTAATGCACTTGACATATTCATGATGCTCTTGCAACAGCTGAGCTTGCAGAAAATTCCAAGAGTAATGCAGGCATATTAATGTATACCCCATTAACTCAAAAATAAAACTATTGTGTTGTCTTCATTTGCAAATGGAAAGCATTTAAGGATTTAGTCAAATAAGTGCCATTAACAGTGCATTCCAAACCTGACATGACAAAACAAAGTAGGCTGCCACAAACTTAAACATAAAAATGTTTAAAGTGGAGGTGAGTTCTAAACTGCAGGTGTATGCCAATGAAAGTAATTGCATCCTAACGATTGCTTTCATAATTTGTATTCTCAATATATTGGCTTCTGTGGTCTAAGAATTTAACTGACTCCTAAAAAAAGTCAGTGACTTCCGCAAATTTTTTCTTCTGTTACTTTGTAGCTAAAATCCAGTCCTAGCGAGAAAGAAGAAAAAGAAGCTAGGAGTCAGCTGTTAAAATCTGATGAAATGCAAAGACTTGTGGCCCAGGCAAAGAAGGACTATAGTGCAAAGGATTATAAAATGGCAGCAGAACGTCTTGATGTGCTTATAGAGGTAAGTAACCAAAACTAGCAAAATGTTATCTATAACATTGTAAAATTAAGAGTGATTTTGTGTTTTTTAAATATTAAATTTTTAATTGCTAGCTAACACTACAAGGAGCTTACACCAGAAGTTCAGGTGGGGACGACAGCAGTTAAGTTTAATTGGCCTTAGCTATCCTAAATTGTCATCATTCCTGGTGATGATGGTGTAACCGCATCTTATTCAATCTTTCTGAGGGAGATGATTTATGAGAGCTCCTGTGTTTTCAAGGACATTTAATTGAATATGAAGTAGTTTCTGTCAAATCCATCTATAATTTCATTTTATGCATTCTTCTTCTGTTAGATCTGTGTCTGGGATGTAAGTCTAAGAGAACTCCGAGCAAACTGCTTTATCCAGATGGGAGAAATGGGAAAAGCAATCAGTGACCTAAAAGCTGCATCCAAATTGAAGAATGACAACACTGATGCATTCTATAAACTCAGCACTATTTACTACAAGTTGGGAGACCATGAAATGTCACTTAAGTAAGGTTTGTTTTAAGTTAAATTTTTGGAATATGAGACTTGTGAGACATGTAGTCCTTTTGTATTCTGTATGTACTATATAAAATTGAATCTTATAAAATAATGTGGTAAAACTGCAGTAGGAAATGTTTTTCCCCAGTGTCCCTTGGCTGCATAGCCATGCATCATGCTGATTACACAAGCAATATTTTAAGTTTGTATTAAAAAGGTGTTTTAGAAGCAATTATTCCTATAATATTTGAAACCTGGGGGAAGAAGCAGGTACTTAGCTGTAAGAGCTGTTAAACTGTGTAAACCTTTTATTTATTTATTATCTTATTAGATGGGCAAGATAAATTAGTTTTTATAGTTATGCTTGCATATAGGAGCAATAAGTGTACATAAAGGATTTCTTCTTGATCAGTTTAGAATTTAGAGGGATAAAAGCCCTTCTTCATTTATCTCATTGCTAACCACTGATCCATAGTCCAGAAATTCATTGTTCCTGTATCAAAGGAGTGAGCAACTGTTTGTTTCACTAAAGCTACTTCTGTGTTGAAGGTTGACTAGAGTGAGTTCAAGAAAAAAAATCAAGATGTCTCTTATATCAGTCTCATATTTGTGGTGTGTATACTACAGAATCAGTGGTAGTAACATGCCTTGTAAGTGCTCTAATAGCACAGTTTGACTCTTCTGCAAATGAGACTTAATAGCTGTGTCATTCTCTTCTTTTCATCCTACATATAACAAGATAGCTCATGGACACTGTCTAGTTCCTTCATTGGAGCCTTTATTTCTGCTGTGAATGATCAGTATCTTGCCATGCCACTTGAAGGTGCCTTTTAATACTCTCTGGGAAAGAAATTGGGGGGAGAAACAAAAGCTAAATTGGAACAGTTTCATTCAAAGAGAATTCATTTGACTTAAAATGTAGGTTTATTCAAGTCCTACATATAAGGAGTAAGAAAACATAGAAAATACCAAGTGTGATCAATTAAAATAATCATAACCCCCAAATTCTAAAAGATATGCCAAGAATATACCCAGGTGATTGGTACTGCATAGTTAGAGGCACCCGAGTTCTTCCTCTGGCACAGCTTTGGCAAAAGTAATAAATCTGGGTAAACTGGGATAAATTAACAATGGCAATAACAAGAAGACGCATGACGTTATACACATTCAACATAAAACATAACCGTATGTACAAACAAAGTGTCTGTGTCCTGACCAACCAGTAAAAACCCTGACTGCCAACCCTCCTATAACGCCTGAACTGGCCCAACAGAGAGAAACCTGCATCCTAAATCAAACCGAATACAACTTGGAACAAGATCTTTCTTCCTAAAATTGTGATGTTCCAAAGTCACTGGGAATCTGTCTCCCTATTCTTAAATTGCATCCATTAACCAGGAGAGAATATTTTAACCTGAGGATTCTATATAAGAGACATCAGAGTTTTTTTTTAAATAATAGAATGGCATGCTCTCTGAAACAAGGTTCCAATACTTGGCTAGAATCTGATCTTTACTGTCTGCACACCTGGCACACTTCGTCAGTTTCCTCCTTCTGCTTCCTCTCTCTATGTGGCTCATGCTTTTGCCTACCTATCTTTTACCCTGGGTTTCACACTGAAGACTGTGAATATTTACAATAATCAAAACCTTGGTAAATCCAAAAGATTCCTTATGATTTCTCTCAGGCCACTTACAGGTCTCCAAACACTTCAGTCTTCTATCTGTAGTTTCTTGAGCCCATGGCATTTAAATAGGTATAGAAATGGATTATAGCCTCACTTCTTAAAAGCTTTCAATTTTTTTAATATTATGAAACTAAAAAGGAGGGCCAACCTTTAACACAACTGTAAAAGCTATTTTCTGTGGTAGATTATTAAATGTTTTTTTTTCCCAGTGAAGTGGTGGTCAGATAGCATCATGTGTGTCTCTCTCTCTCCATGTATAGATATTGGCACATTGCTTTCCATGTTCCTATTAGACTTGTTCATTTTTATGATTTTTTTTTCCACCAAACAGTGAGATCCGTGAATGTCTGAAGCTGGACCCTGAGCACAAACAGTGCTTCAGTCACTACAAACAGGTGAAAAAGCTGAACAAACAAATCTTATCTGCAGAGGAGCTCATTCAGGAGCAAAGGTAAAATTCTGGTTACTCTGTTTTAGTAAAATCTTTGTTGTTCTGGATTAGATTCTTGGTTTTGTTCATTGGAGTAGCTCTAGAAATATTCTCCCGACTGTTGTTCTAGAATGGGAAATAAAACTACACAGAACTGTGTATTCCAGTTGCATGATTCCTTAAGCAAATTTATAGGGACAAACCTAATCGCCTGAAGTCTGAATAACACCCTCCTTTTAGTGAAGATCAAGGTTGTTTCTTATTCCCATATTGGTGTCAAGTTAAAATGCTCCAATGATTACTTATGATTTGGAAACTGGGGTGATTGTATTTTCTATATATCAATTTGCAAATGGGAGCTTGCATTTATTGTTGGGCACATGAATGTTATGGATGAAAAAGATGCACATAAATAGAACACCTAAGCGTAATTTGTGTCATCAACTAGAAACTCCCACCATCCTGATGGTGGGCAATCTGTCCTAAAGCTCCTGTATAATGTGAAAGTTAATTTTGATAAAACAGGCACACTTTCATTAGCATTAATATAACGGTAAGCACCTTTTTTGGCAGCGATCGCACTGGAACTCTTATAGGTTATACATCCAAGTACTGGGAACTTTAGACATATTAGAAGTAAAACCCTTTCTTTTTTTACATTTATTATCAGAAGTGTACTCTGGGTACCATTTGAAAAGGTCCTTATTTATGAGCTTATTAAATGGTATTGGATAATATGCATCTTATCACAAACTCTGATTTTATATAACTTCTAAGTAGAAACAATGTCAGCTAAATGTGTCAGTGTTCCTTGAACACATGCTTTACATATGCCCATTTTGCTGTCAGTTTTAGATAGCATCATGTTGATGAGCACTAATAACAGCATAAGAACTGTCTGTGGCTGCTAACTTTACAGAATGGTAAGCTTACTTAGACCAGGGTTGTCCAATGTAATTCCTGGAGGGCTTTTTGTCTTCTGGTTTTTATTCCAACTTATTATGTTTGTTGTTAGCCATGCACACTGTATAGGATTTTTCTTAAGGTCTTTTGCAGTTGATTATTCAAAACATTCACTTCATTAAAGGTACTTTTATCTGTAAAATCCACAGTAGAGCCTGGAAGAAGTATTTTAATTGTTCAGTTAATTGTCATATAGCTGGTCTAATTACAAAAGCTCGGGTGGAGGACCTTCTAAAAATGAAATACAATTTAGACTAATCTCCATGTTGTCAAAATGACCTGAAGGAATTAATTCATATAACATTCACATTCGTTGAGGCATTTTATTTTTAATTTATTAATACAGTGTGCTTTGTTCTTTCAGTATCAACCAATATCATTTTTAAATGCCAATTTTTAATACGTTAATTTTTGTACACAGTCTTAAAATGATGGTTCTTATTAACAGGTATGCAGATGCTATTAATAAATATCAGTCCGTTTTGAAGACGGAAGCTGATGTTCCACTATATACATTTCAAGCCAAGGAAAGGATTTGCCATTGTTTTTCTAAGGTAAAGAGTTCAGTCACTGTACATGCATCTAAATTTCAACATGAAATTTTTAATTGTACTTGCAAACTGTTTGGTGGGGAAAAATAGCACATTCTAACCTAACCTGGATGTATGCATGAACTTCTGGATAAGATTAGCACACCTCTGTACTCCATCTTAAAATGTCATTTAACCCAGGACAGTAGGACAATGTGCAACATATTTTCTACTTCCAGGGCATTAACTAATTTTTGCTTCAAGTAATGGAATTGGGGGAGAAAATCTGTCTAGAAATAATTTTGAAGGGTAGATTTTGGGAGTTTCTCAAATTTCCATTTACAGATTTTTATTTCACAAGGAAAGAATGCCTTTGTGTATTTTGTGTAGACAGTAAATCACTTTAGCAATTCCAGTTTGAAATTTTGCTTCTTTTGTGCTTTAGAACCAGCAAGCAAGTGAAGCCATTGCCATCTGCAGTGAAGTCTTGAGCTCAGACCCACAGAATTTAAGTGCTTTGAAAGACCGGGCTGAGGCTTATCTTCAGGATGAGCAGTATGAAGAAGGTAAGACCTTGAACAGCACAGCCAGCTAGTATAGAATACTTTGGAACTTGGAAAGCTGTCATAATTGTTTGGGGGAGGTATGGAAAACTATTTTTCTTTGCCACTATTCATAATCTGTAACTGTGTAGCTTTTGTCTTTTTTTTTATTAACCCGTTTAATAAAGTCATCCTTGTCGATTGCCAGTCTCCCCAAGAACCACTCAAGAGCTGGTAATCATGTGCTTTGTACTGAAGGGGCTCTCTGGGTTACCATAAAGTTTTCCAGTGCATGTGGGTGACATACTATGGACTTGAGTGATCACAAATGGATATTGTTGCATCAACAGTACAAACTTTAATTGCTTTACAAACTGGCAAAAACGTCAGTTGTTCCTTCTGAATAGTAAGCATCTTGTACTGAGCGGTCTCTTGTCTGCCTGATCTTGAAACGCAAAGCAGAGAGCACAAGTCAGAACTGTGAATGTGCATAAGGCAACACCCTGCCTTCTTCAAAGAAATGGCAGGATGTGATCCTTGGATCAATTAACTACTATCTACCAAACAAACTAGATGAGCTGAATGGCCTCTTCATGTTTAGCACCGTTCTGATGTTGGTTGCTAAGGCTGAAAAAGGGGACATCTGGAAGTACTGTACTGTATGAGTACTGTACCATATGCAGGAGTATCGATATCCCTCACCCTTTTTTTTGAGCCTCGATTGCTGCTGTGGTTGGTCCCTCCTGGATATGTGCCGCTTAAATGGATATTCAGCGCACAGTGGAACTTTGGTGCCACTGACTTTATTTAGAATTGTTTTGGAAAACTGGTCACACTTCATGAAATGGTGTGAGTCAGGCAGCAGAGTGAGGCTCCCTGCAGTGATGACAGGGTCTCCTGGGTCAAATTCTTATCACTAGGCTGATGCTGAAGGGAAAATTGTTGGCAGGGAGAAGTCTTTTTTTTTCTAAATTTGAAATGTCTACTGGACCACATAGATGGTTATAGGTTATGGGCTGTATTTTTTGTGTGTGGTGTACATTTCTTCATGTATATTTTAGCTAATGTGATGCTATTTATACCTGCATTAAATAAAACCATTCATACACTAAAATGTAAAATGGTAGACTGGCTCAGAATTAAGGCCAACTATTAAGGTCTTCTCTTGCATGCTTTTCCACTCTAAATCTCTAGTAACGATTTGGGATTTCTTTGGGATGAGTTGATGCAGTAGTGCAAGACTCAAGGTGCAATTGTTACCCTAACAGAGTTTGGAGCAGCTGTGAAGTGAGAGTTTGACAAGCTTTTCCATTCCAATATGGTGCTGGCAGCGGTAGGGCAGACTGCTTGTTAAGGAAGCTGCAGTTCTGAAATTGTAAGAGAACACTGTGAGTGCGCACTGTGTGCTAGAAACTCTGCAAATTAGAGGGGGAATCAGAATCATGCTGCCTGGAAAGGCATTTCTATTTGCTGCTAGAATTTGCTTTGACAGCTGCTGTTCCAGGTTTATAAAAAACTGGAGCACCTGCTGAACAAATAAAATCATAATTGCCTTTTCTGGTACGCATACAATAAAAATAGAAGAAAAGGTCTTTCCTAATATCTATACATGGTGAATTGTGTAACAGTGCCTCAATATTACTGATCTACAATTTGCTTTTATCCATTTTTATTTTAATATATTCTTTGTGTGGAGGAGAACAGGTTGGATTTGCTGTGAGTTTGGGGGGGGAGCCTGCATGGATAAATAGCTTTGTTTAAGGATCCTACTGTAAATTGAGTTCCCTTTACTTGGGGATAACCTAGCTCAACATGCTTCTTGAACCATCTTGGCTAAAACAGGAAGCATGCACATTACCCAGATGACTGGTGAAACATTCTCTTGGATTAATCAAAAAAGGAAACACCCTGGATGAGGTTCTTTTAGTCATAAGCTAAAACATTCAAACTAGCAAGATGGGTTTCATAGCCTCTTCTCATTTATAACCTTTTTATTCATTCTTATTTTCCTGTTCTGATCACTATATAAAATGATCTGTGATCAAAAATAGTTTGTGCTTCTGTCTAGTAAGAGTAATTGTGTATTGCAAATGTCATGCTTTTTGAGTTCCCACCTAATCATCAATGCCAAATGCTTTATTAAGTATCTGTCTGGAACAAAAATGGCTTAACATTTTTACTATTGTCTGAGAATCTTGCCAGTCTTATTTAGTCATCTCCAAATGATTTTCTCTGACAGAAGTGTCAGCATTCTTGCAGGTTTCTCCGTTTGGACACCTTCTCCATGGCAACAGATAAATGTTCTCAAATGGAAAAATAAATTGGCACTAATTGCCTTCCTCTCTTGAGAAGGGCATGATGGGTGGACTATTTTGCTTTTAAATTGTCATTACATCTGAAATGGCTCAATACTAGAAGTCAAACACTTCATCTCTGTAACTTTCTGTAAATGGCACTTTTTTATGCTCTTAATGTAAATGTTACAGTTGGAGTGTTTTCTTAATTTGGATTGCCAATTATTCCCCTGCTGCCTGTCGTTTCAGAATTGCCAGGTATTTATCAACTTAGCTCTTCGTTATGATCCTTGTAGCAGCATATGAGTGATAAGGAAGGAGCGTGCTTCCCCTAGAGCTTTCCATGTCGGCTGTGTGCTTCTCATTGCTGTTATTCTTGGCGGTGCCCCTGGCAGAGGTCATGCTATTCCACAATGATGTGAATCGCAACACTTCCAGTCCATAGGTGCATATTTAGCATGAAGGCCCCAGCAAGTGCCAGAGGATCAGTGTTTCATGCCAGATTGAATTGGCCAACACAAGCCCACCCAGTCCCGACAGAGCTTGTCCAGTTGGGTACCACATTGGCCAATCCTGGTCATAGTCAACTCTGTAACATTGCCCAGGTTCAAACTAGTTTCAGGTATATGTCTGTCTTTACTAGTTGAATCACTTCCTTATCAAGTTCTTAAATACTACATCTCTATCTGGAGATTTAAAAATGAATCACCATGGAGTCCTGCTTGTCAAGGGCGAGTGTGTTTTTTTCAGTTCAATTTAGGTGTTAATACATAATGAATATTCTGTATTAAAAAAACTAAGAATAATCTATAATGCTATTGTAACTCTTACGGCCGACAGGCACTGTGTAAGAGCCGGCGTACCAGAGCAGGTGACGTCACCGCCCTTCCCTGTGATAGCAGGACTACAGCTACTGGGCTGTGGAGAGATCTCTCTTTAGCTCACGGGGCGGGGTCACTGCAGAGAGACGCGGGAGTCCCGGGTTCGAGCCCCCGATGGTGGGGTGCCGACCTAATGCGGCAAGGGCGCCTGCCTGAGCCCCCGTTGCGTTACACTATTATTGTTTTAAAAACATTTGAAGTTGACCTTGTGACACAAAAGACCTTTGTCCTGTACAAAACTTACTTTGTCAAACCTGAAACTTTGTAAAAAATGTAAATTACAGTTGCAGGAGACCTCATGTAGTCTTTGTCTTTGGTTAAGAGCTGCCAGTTTCATAGCTTTTAACCATGATATTTATATTCTTAACAATTTACATCTTGAGAAGAAGCAAAACCATTAGCCACAAGCGTTCCATTTCAGAGTAGGAGAGACTTGATTGGAATTGGACAGATTTTATGGTCCCATTTTTTGTGATTTAAGACCTAATAACTCCTGACTAGTGCTTGTACAATGTGTTTCATACGCTATTTTTTAAATAAATATTTCAATAAGAGAATTTAGTGCTGTTTTTTATCTGAGAGATTCATTAAAAATGCACATGAACTTTTGATGGAATCTGTTCTCCATTGATTGTAGACTTGAATTGCTCTACTGTACAGTAGGTAAATGCTGCAAATTTGTCTTCATTCCTGGACACACAGAAGCTGATATTGTCAAGGTCACTGAACCTGTACTACTTAGAATAAACTTTATTCTATATAGTACCTTTTAAAGGTGACTTCACAAAGCACTTACTTGTTGAAGATTTGAAGAAACTTATTGTGCAAAACAATAAAAGAACCAGAACATTTACAATTTTCAATGTATTAAGATCTGCATTCTGTCTTTTATTACAAAGATGAAAGAAGCAGGCGAGACAGAAAATAAAATGAGCCAGAAAAGTAATAGAATTAACCAAAAAGGCGCTTGCTCCGTTTCTTGAATACAGACAAAGCTGAAATGTTTTGTATGCGCAACAGTGCTAGGTTTTTTATATTAAAAATGATTTAAAGACCACTTTATCACTCTTTTGTTGCCTTCGCAGCTGTCAGAGACTATGAAAGTGCCCGTGAGAACAATGAGAACGATCGAGAGATCAGTGAAGGACTGGAAAGGGCACAGAGACTTCTAAAGCAGTCCCAGAAGAGAGACTACTACAAAATACTTGGAGTGAAGAGGTAGTGGAATTGTAGTTTCTACAAAACTAATCGATATGTTTGTTTCAGAGAGAGACTGGGTTCTCTTAAAAATATATTTATCACGAATACCTACATTATGCTGTAATAACTTACACTGTGTTTAACCTATTATAACTGTACTGTAAAATAATGATTTTTGCCAGAGAGGGACAATACATTCTAAATATGAACATTTCACTGTGGTATGCAGAAATTACAACCAGTTTCTTTCAATGGAGCAGCATGAAAAGTTCTCAGTCAATCAATAACTTAACTATTATTTTTAAGGGATACCTTTTTAAAATTGGAGCTCCAATTGAGAGGAACAACAGTTTTTATTTCCCCTTATAACATGGTTATTTCCCCATTATAGAAGTGCCCAGAAAAAGGAGATTATAAAAGCTTACAGGAAGCTGGCTTTGCAGTGGCATCCAGACAACTTCCAAGATTCAGAGGAGAAGAAAAAAGCAGAAAAGAAATTTATAGATATTGCCTCTGCAAAAGAGGTGCTCACAGATCCAGGTAAAGCCTTTTGCTCTGTACTTCTCATCAGCTGTTACACTGAGGTTCTTGCTACAGCTTCCGGTTTTAAAACTGGGTGATGTTGGCAAGTCTCAGAAAACCTCAGCTGCTTCTTTTTGGATGGTAGTAGAGCTGATTTAGCTCTTTCATTAAGGCCTAATGAGATCCTGGTGTGACCATTCTCTGTAAAATCGCTGTCGGTGAGACTGTTTTGTAGCGTCTTTGAAATGGGGTAAAGACTCGTCCACCTTTTGAATTTTCAAGCAGATTCATCTTATTTGAAACGTAATACTTTTAAACTACAATAAAATGTTAAAAGTTTCTTGAAAGTCCTCACCACTTAAACTGCCACAAGGGACAGTATTACAGGCAACGCATCAACCAAAAAAAAGCAACGTTGGTTACGCAGTCATTTCACATGGATCGTTTAGATACCGTACTACTACTATATGGTACCTGTGAAAGGCCAAGTAAATCCAAAAAACACGTTTTGAAGAAGAGGAGCTAATGTTACAGGATGCATTTTGTTAAGTACTTGATGTTCTGATGTGGACATGACACTACATTCTGTGAGCAGCCAGGCTTCAAGTCAAGGGGTACAAAAAAGGGCAGTCAGGCAGCCATTATGGCTTTTGCAGGATCCTCATTTCTGCCTCGGTGAATGCCGCTTTCTCTAAAAGGATTCCCACTATGTTTGGAGCTAAATGGTCCATTACTCCATGCACAGAACCAATTTGTGCAAGAGGACGCCTTTCACCCAGCAGTTGATAATATGCTGTGGGTGGGGAAACTGAGCTACAAATTACAAGCAGCTTTGGTGGTTCATGAAATCTGCCAAATTTTAAATCGATTCAATTGTGTAGCGCTTGCCAAGACAGAGGTGTGAGAATAAATCAGAATCCCTGCAGCCATCTTGATGTATACCTGGATAGCATTATGCCTTCCTAGTGAGCATACCATTACCATCTGAAAATATGCTTGTGGCCGACTGGCTAAATGGTTCTTAATCTAGTGTATACAATTGTTTTCAAATGCACACTTTACAAAGACTTGGTTGCAGATAGTCTACTAAGATTCAGTTCAATAATTCATATTAATTTATGTAAAAAAACTTAACATAATGGATATTCATACATTTGGCTGTCACTTGTGAAATATATTTGAAATAATTGAGGGTGTTTTTATTTGGTCCTACTGTACATGTTTTTCTGAGTTTTGAAATTAAATAGTTTATAAAAATCTGGGAGGGATGGCAAAAGCAATGTTCAGCCAAACATGGCTGGCAGTAATTTATAATCTCTTGACCTCATTTTCTCACCTAAAATATTATAAATGCTGTATATAACCCCTTTCATACCTCACATCTCACCTCTACAGTTTCTCCTCACTCTACATGGGAACGGTCAGGAGGTTAGCCCTCAGCCAAACGGGTTAGGGTTAAGCCCCATTTTACCATGAATGCAACAGTCCATGAACCTTTCAATACACTTAATTCTTGGATGTTATTCCTAGTGAATCAGAGGCTGCTAAAGACATTTTATATACAAGTGAAATATGCTGTCATAGAATGACATAAATGTGGTGACAACCAAATGTACTGTGGATTAATAGAATACCAGTGACAAGCCATGTAGTAAACTAAGGTAGTATTCCAGGTATTTATCTTTAGTTGATTAGGATCACCTCCCCTTCTTCAACCTTTTGCATTGTAGTTTTTAATGTTTTAGAGACATGGTCCCCAGTCCTGGTGACAAAAAGCTGTTTGTTTCAGTTGAGCCCTCAGTTACACAATCAAAGCCTTCACTGACTTGATAAAGATTAATTTAAACTGTGTTCCCAGCTCTTACACATGTTGGTGCTTTAATTGTTGTATTTTATAAGCAAACTAAATCTTTCAACTATTCAATTGAAGCAGCTTCTTAGAGCAAGTAAAGTATCTAATCCTGTGTGTGTTTCTGCAGAAATGAGGAGGAAGTTTGATCAAGGGGAGGATCCTCTGGACCCAGAGAACCAGCAGAGTGGTGGGAGTGGACCTCATTTCCAAAGAGGCTGGAACACGTGGACGGGATTCAATCCCTTTGGCTCAGGACCTTTTAACTTCAAATTCAATTTTAACTGAAGCTGGAGAGACTGGCTCAGTGATCTGCAACAAGAAAACTGGAAGGGGCCAGAATTTTGTTTAATGGAAGACAACTTTACCAAAGTACAGGATGATGTCTGCAAGCACCTTAAACATGTTCTCATCTGCAGAAATAGATCTTGGATTCCTAAAATTAATTCATTATACAGTATAAACTACCAATAGTGTTTTCAAGTCTGGTATTAATTCGAGTGCTGCAGGGTCTTGTTTTCATTCATTCTAAGATCTTCGTTGTTAATCTTTATTTGCATTATTGGGCTAATTTAGTCCTTTACATATAAACAAGAAATCAAGTTTTCATATGGTCTTATAAGCTTCACCATGGCCCTCAAAGATTTGAGTTGAGGAACCATGTTGAAAGTGAAAGGTTGTTGAAGTGTTTTAGTTGAAACTTGCCATTGCACTCTATGAAGGCTGTGGCAGTGTGTAAATGCTAATAAGAATTTAAAAATTAATCTGTAACACTTTCAATTTCCTGTTCTACAGTATATACCTTGGAGCTAAACCTCTCAGGTGAACAATCACTATTAGCATTAAGGACTTTTCTTTAAGTTTTCTATTGGCACACCATCCAGGAAGAATCTAATGGGACTTTCATTTAAACTAAGATGGTAAGCAGCAGCCACTTGTGATTAAATGTGGTGAACAGAGGATTGTTTGTTTTTTTTCCTCCCCTTCCTACCAGGCTGTAATATTTGAATTCGAGTTCCTTTAACAAAAGTAATTTTGATGTTTTTGGACTAAATATTTTAGAGATAAAATGTAATAAACATTTTCTGGAGTATTAAATGATACTCCAAGAACATTCAAACTACACTCAGGAACAGCTTGTCTTCTGGTGCAGCAGGTTTGGCTCTGATCTGGACTGTGTGGACCATGTGCTTAGGGTAGTTCAAATCAGGGTCTGACCAAATGTACAGAAGTTTGGTTCCTTGACTTAATTTGATGTCAAAGTCCCTCCCTAAAGCTAAGGACCTGTCTTTTGGTGTAGCAGGTTTAGTACTTTCCTGGGCTGTGTGGATCATGTTCCCAGAGTTATTCAACAACATGTAGTATACTTCAGACATGCATAATGCAGTATGTCTGAAGATGGCTGAAACTATTGATGAAGCTGGACTTACAAAATGTTTGTGTAGATTTCTGAATGACCACTACAATTTAAGGTGCATGTAAAATGACACTTTACAATGGATTGTCAACCAGTTTTGAAGCATTCCTTCCCTCTCCAGGCTCTTAAAACTTGTTCTGGTTTTATATTATAATTAATTCTGAATTTGTAAATAAAGATCTATTTATGATGAACTTTCCTGCTGCTTCTCTGGATAATTACATAAAAAAAATATTTTAATCTGCTTTAGTCTTATAAAGCCTCTCATGGTTTCCCTATACTGTAAGTTATTCACGCAGTTCCATAACCAGTTATATGCAACATTAAAAATGCCTCATTCAAACCAACTTAGGTGAGTTTCTGCAATTTTGGCAAGTTTTTTTTAAACTAAATTTGTCCAATTTCAATACTGATGTTGAACAAATCTAAGGAAGCCTATATAGTTTAACCATTGCTTTAAAAAAAAAAAAAATTGGCTTGGAAGTAAAACATCTCTGATTCAAAAGTACTGAAACAGGACAGTTGCAGGTTCCTAACTTTTAATTGGGGTCTTCAAAATGAAAGCCCTCTGTGGTCATGTGGGTGATCTAATTGGAAAAGGCACTTTGAATGCAGATTGAGCTGTTGTGGGTTTGAACCTGGGTCATGTCTCCAGCCGACTGTGACTGGAAGTTCTCAAGTAGTAGCACAAAATTGAAGTCAGCCTTAGTCAGCTCACCCTGCTCTTGGCACTTTCGACTCCCGGGCACTTGCAGGCATCTGGTGTCTATCAATGAGTAATACATGTCTGCAAATCCACGCTGAACCTTCCTATTCTATTTTAAATAAGTGGCTGGAAGGTGGGCAGGTTGAAGGATTCTGCCCACACTTCCTCCTTCGCCCCTGTGTGCATTTGAGGCTGTGAGCCAAGATGTGAAAGCACATTTGGCTATGTCATATTTGGTGGATAAAACAATAACTGGCAATTCTAAATTTATATCAAAACCCTTTACTAGAGAAGAATTATTGTTTTTGTCAATGTTCAAGGTAAAGTACTTGCTATAGGAAAGACTTACAAAATGCATGGGATCTGTGTGGGATGATTAGACCTATGGTCTAATCCTTGGGATGATGTGGGATGACTAGACCTTTGTAATGATGCTGTATTTTTGTGTGGTTTTAAGTACTAGACCTAAAGGATTTTTAACAACTTGCTTTTGAGGGGAACAAAAATCCACTTGCACAGATAATGTTTCAAATATCAACCCAGTTCCTGTAAACTCATTGAAAGTACCCCTTCTCTCACTCTTGATAAAAACATTTAACCTGATGCATTAACAAAGAATAAAAAAACTGGGGAGACTGCAGAACAAACTGTTCAAATGTTTCAGGTCCGTGATGCTGTGAATACATTAGAACTCTCAAATCCAGAGAGCTTAAGAGAAGTGTGACCTTTCAAAGGAATTCTTACAAGCAGTTTTGAGTAGGGGCAAGATTTGTTTTAGTCACTCAATGCTAGAATACAAATTTTCTGACATGGTTCAGAATAATTTAAATTGCTATAAAAGGAAATAGCTGCAAATGGTATTGAAGAACAAGTAAAACATGCACTGAAATTACAGTAGTGTTCTGCTGGAAATTGCTTCAAATATCCATACAATTCTTAAACAAAACTAAAATACAGTTAAAAGTATTTCATTTTTTATCCAAGGTGCTGAAAACTTGGATGAAGCAATCTGAGTGAAGTACAGTACCTTGCTGAAGGATATAACATCAACAGCCCACACAGGATGCAAACCCACACCCTTCGATTTATGAGCACAGGGCCTTAACTGTTACTCCACACTCCTGTCCTACACAGCGTCACTCCCACTAGTAAGAAAGCAAAGTGCCATTTTCATTAAGTACTGGAAGCAAAATGGTCATAGACCTGGACTATGACAGTCTATAATCTTCTCTAATTCCAGTTCAGAAACTGTATAAAGGCAAGAGCCCATCTTGTTACCTTTTTACAGAATGGAAAGCCTGAGACTTTAACAATTATTCTAAAGTATAGTATCAAACTCTGGTTTTATTTGTTAGAGCCCACAAAGAAAAAAAGACCTACACAGGTTTAAAGCTTCCTTTGCAAAGTTTCAGGAACAATGGCACAGTGAAAGGTGAAAGTTTTCTGAACCCGAGTGATGTCAAATGGAGTAATTAAGAAGACATGCACACAAAGGATCTGCATTGTGCTTCACATAACAACCCACTCTAACATAAACAAAGGACCACAAAGGGCAAGGTCTAGCTTCATGCTGTTTGCATTCAATCAAAAAAAATGTTGATATTTCACAGCATCTTGAATATACCCACAATCTTTCTCTAGAGGAAGGACAAAACACATTTTACTTGATTGCCATGCAAATACAGTTGAAGGTGCAGAGAATACTTGGACTAAAATCCTAAAGTAATCAGATTACTCTAAAATGACAAGAGTCATAGGATGTGCTGTTTTTTCATACTTCAACAAAAATAGCTGCTTTGTCACTCATTTCTTTATGCAAACCCATGGCACAGGTTACTGCAGATAACTGATTCACTGAAGAGCTATGGAAACAAAAAAGCTAGTGACTGGGTTAGGCTTGCTGGTGAAGCATGTGGAACTGCAGCTATAGTTTATAATCTAGAAGTCTGTACATTCTCTACAATGGCAGGCATATAGATAAAAAAAATATATATATGAATATCTAAACTAACACTACAATCTAGATGATTCATTAATAACACTATAATTCTATAGTATTTAAAATTTGAATTCCACTGTTCATGTAAAAGGGACTAAAACATGTTCTGGGGCAACAGATGTGTGGCAGTTAGGGCAGCTGCCTCAAACCTTTGTGTCTGGCATGGGGCACATTCTGTACGGAGTCTGCATGATGTTTTGGTTTCCTCCCCCAGTTCTGAGAAAGAGTGTCTAGGCTAATCTCTGAACTGTACCTTGTAGGCATGTGGGAGTGCCCTGCAATTGATTAGCATCCCATCAAGGGTGTATCTTTCTCTCTTCCACTGTCTGTTGGGTTCAGTTCCCACTCACTGCAACTCTCTATAAGTTATTACTGAAAATGGATGGATAGGAAATGTTCATTATATAGATGAGAAGGTGTTGAACGGGAAGTATATGTGGTGGTGCTCACCTACAGTACAAAGATCATCTTTTTGGCATTATCAGTGCAAACGTGTTTTTTTTTTAAAACAGAAACAATCTCACAGCGTTCAGTGTTGTGAAAGAAAAAGTAGCCGTTTAGGTAATATGCATGGAGGAATTGGTCAGATGGTGTCCGGAATAGCATTAACAACTACTTTTAAAATACATACTGTATTTCTTCCACCTACAACAACCTTGGTAAGAAAACTGTACACATTTTCTTATAAAACTTTGTTATTGTTGTTTGTTAAACATTTTTCAGCTCCAGTAAATTTTTCGTCCTGGCAAAACTCTTGTAAACTGTACATCTTTACAGTGAGGAAATCTTCCAGCTTCATTGTCTCCGTTTCTTCCACACACAAAACATGAATGCTAAAGTTCATCACGTTCAGGGTCTGTGGACAAAAAGAACCAACACAGAACTAAAAATCTGAAAAAAAATTTTCATTACAAGGTTTGCACTTTTTGCCACATATGACAGTAGCACTCTGCAGTTTGTGAAATCAGTATCACTATATATGCACTGTATATACTGTATGGATCTACATGTTTTTGAAGTTGGTGTTGTGTCACAAGCACACTTTCTCTATGAAACTGTAGGGCTGTGTAAAGTGAAGAGATAATATTAATTGATCAGAACCAAATAATTCCTTCTGCTGGTACTTGGTGAAAAATAGTTTGTATGGTACAGTACTTATAAAGAAAACTGCAAAACTAGTTCAGTAGCAGGGAATCAGGAGAATTCAGAATATAATACAATACTGTTTCTTTTTTTACCTCTCTTATTTTTTGTCCTTGCAGACTGGCTGGTGTCTTTGAGGTTCTTATCTTTAGCATGCTTCAACAGCTGCTTAATTTCAGTGTCATACTCCATCCACTCGGGCACAATTCTCATTGCAGCCTTTAGCTTGGGCTCCTTTGTCTTGGGGTTATTGCACTGTAAAGGTTCAGGAAACAACACGTTAGGATATTTTATACTTTTTAACTGTCATTTTCTTTTTTGAGGTCTCGGATCCTATTTCACCTTTCTAATAAATTTCATTCAAAATGAAAGCTGTGCCTGCTTTTTTATTTGCTAGCATTAATTGGTGTCTGAAGTCAGGAAGTGCCCATCTGTCTCACTTGTTCAGGGGATACAAAGCGCATTTCTCTCTGCGGTCTTACAACGTGATAAATTTGGAACAATTCAATTCCAGCTTTACCCGTTGCTATGTTCCATCCATCACCACTTCCATTGGTATGGTAACATTCAATTTGTTGCTATATTTAATAGTTTCACTGCTGCCACATATGGAAAGATTTCCATTATGATTTCTATTTTCACAGCATATCATTTTTAACACGGCACATACTTATTATGACGTCCTCCAATGATTAACCACATCTGATAATAAAACGGAAATGTACAGTAGTTCCATTGTGAAGTAGGTCTCATATGAAAGCAGCGTCAATTAGTTCGAAACAAAAGGTCGAAACAAAAGGTCAGTTCAAACAATGGGAACTCACTTTCGCTACACAAAAGTGGAGTTTTGCATGTTTTTGAATCTCTAATCCATCCACACATTTGCTTCATCCAATTCAGGGTTGTGGGGGAAGCCGGAGCCTATCCCGGCAAGCAACGGGTGCGATGCAGGGTACATCCATTGGAGGGATAACCCAGACACAAACACACACACTCAACACCAGGGTCAAATTTCCCAGAAGCCAATTAACCTACTAGTATGTCTTTGAACTATGGGAGAAAACGGCAAACTCCTCGCAGACAGCACCCTAGGTCTGGAATTGAACCCAGAGCCCCAGCACTACAAGGCAGCAATGCTAACCACTGCGCCACCATGCCACCCTGAACTTCTAACCCTGGGGATCTTTGGGGACTAAGGGGATCCCCAGAAACAAAACATTTCACCTAAAGTCTGGCAAAGTGTAATATTAACACTATTATGAAACTGTTGATCTGCACATTATAACTTAATATTTACTGTCTTTAAATTTTAAGTTAATAGAGGTTAATTTTGTCTTCTTGGTTGTCTCAAAAAGTATCCTGTAGCCACAAACATAAACACTCCAATATATAAAAACCAACATCTACTACAATAATAACATTATCCATTTCAATAATAAAGTAATAAATTGCTGAACCTTTTTTCTTCAAGTAAATCTAATCACTTGGTTTTACTTTGATCACAGTTTAACAAATACTGTTACTGTATTCCTTCTCATTAATGTGGGTATTCAGCCACGTTCAGATTGGTAAGGGATAGCTCATGCCATCAATAAATGCCTGTCTGGGTGACTGAAATCATTTCAGAAGCAGCAAAATTTATTCTTATGCAAAACAAGCAGCCACTATTGTGATGTATTACCCAGTTTCAGAATACATTTACATATTTATTTTCAATGCAACTCACCCACACAAATGCACAGGTTCACAGAATGAATAATCCTATTTATATTGTTTCATAAAAACAAAAGTTTTGTCCTTTCATGATTAAAATCAATGCCAGTGTTTCATATCCCTCCAGTAAACCTAATTCAAAAACGTATAGTACAAATGTACCCCAGAAAGTCTAATGAAGCAAGACACTTTTTGAATTATATGACACTTAATATCAGTTCCTTAATGACCCTTTCAAAGTGCAGTTGCTCATAACAACCTGAACAAAGTAATTTACAAACAGGATTTCTATTCTGAAAAGTACCTGTCTCACTAAATTCCACAGAAATTACTTACGATTACTTTCAATAATTTTTCCCAGTACTGTAGGTACATGTAGAAAAAAATTAATTAATCTCAACCGCCTGTGAAGCTGCATGTTCTAAAATTGAAATTAGGACTTATTGAGTCCCCAGGTAAAGTAAACATCTGGATAGATGTTTTTATGTCTATAAAAACCATCTGCCAGCCTCGGCAATGGCTCACATGTAAGAGTACAGTGCTCATTTTGGTAGTCCGATACATCAACGTTTGGCAAGGGAGAGCACTAAGTCATGTCAAGGTCAGGAGAGATATACTGTAGACTACTACTAAGTTTGACAGCAAAACAGAACTAGAGTGTCTTTAAATAAAAAAAAAAAAAAAAAGCCTAGGTTTTGCAGTCTCTAGAAAAACTAACAATTGGTGCTACATTATTGTTACATACACAACAAACATAGCATCCCTACAAAAATATTTTCTCAGATTCTTATTTCTTTGTGAGGGAGGAGCAAGGCAAAGGAAGTGATGGAAAATGAAAAACAAAAAAGGCCTCCAGGCCATCAGAGCTTACTTAAATCAAAGGGATTTTTACACATCTAAAAGTTTCACAATAGGTCCCACAGTTCTTAATCAAGTTACATACTTCTGAACTTAAAATAGACATGAAGAATGTTAGTGTTCAAAACCTTTACAAAAGAAAACTACTACTAAAAATACACTAGCTAGTACAAACCTAATAATGTATATAGTATTTTTAAATATGACAGAACAAATTGGAGAAGTGGTCTCTACATTAGATTTCTTCAGTCCACAAAAATATATAATTTTGTATCATTTTATGCTGTCCTTCACTATCCATTTTTGCAGTTATAATGTCTCATGTCTGAGATTCAGATAAAGAAAGCCATCATGTTTATTAACTCCACACATTGGAAATCTAAGCACAGGCATGTTTTCAAATAACATGTTGCCCAAAAGGGGGAAAAAAAGAGGAATTAACAGATGATATCCACTTAAATCATTTAAATATTTATTAATTTCTAATACAGTACTATTCAGTAAGGATGTAGTGGCACCAACCAAATCAATCGTCTTAGCTGCACTCTTGGAGTTGTCATCACACCAGGTCTCGCACCACAGCCACTCCTGAGGTAGAGACTTGATCGCCACCTGGTGGATCATGTTGTTGGGCAGATCCTTCAAAAAAGGAAAAGAGGTCAGGACATTCTCCTAACTGCATTTAAGAAACCAAAATCAACACTTCTGAATGTACCTAGGATTTAAGAAATGAGGAAAAAAAGGTCTGCTAAAAATGGAAGATGCAAAATATAATTACAAATGGATGGCATAGCCAGAACCTGCAGGGATAGGTTGGGCCCCCCGCCAGTCCACCAGAATTGCCAACCATGCCACCACTTGTATCAAATGCAATGGCAGATGGACCCTTAGGGGCCCTAGAAATTCCTACCAAGGCAAAGAGTGCCCCAAATCCCTCTTAGCAAACTGGAGAAGAATGGCAAGAATGGCTCCCGACATTTGACATTTACAATAGGAATTGTAAGCAGTGGAGGACTCCAGGGATCTATATTGTATATTGTGTTGTCCATATGCTGTGCCTTCTTTTAGGAATTGGATAGACAGGATTTTCAGATCATTTTGTTACTAGCAATCAAACAAGCTAGGTGGGCCTTACAAACGTATTTGTAACTATTTTTACATTCCATATGTTAATGTACCAAATAACCTAATTTGAAAAGTAATTTAGAAGCACATGTTCTAGCTATCTTCAAATTGATCTGCAGCATCAGATCTCAATAGATAATGTTGAGCACAACATTTTGGTCATATTGCATTCTCAGCTTCAGTCTAATAGGGATAATGGTAGGGAAACATCATACATTTTGTTTCAGCAGATCTGTGCTGCTAAACAGCATAGCTAAGTATGTCTCTACTCTTGTAGACTTTTATGGATTTAATTAAAATCTATTTTTTTTGTAATTTGCAAATAGGATACAATTGGTTTTGTTGTATTTATGGACAAATTAGGACCACAGAGCTGAAGGGAGCACAGAAATTGTTATCCTAACTTTATATACTACTTTATATACTATTGAAAGTGAATATGCCACACATGCTTTCAAGTACACTCATTCTTGTTAAGGAAAATTTAATTAAATTGAAACCTATTAGATTAGATTAAAATTCAAGAGAATTAAATAACACTCATCCTGCTTTTAGCCTAAGAAGCAAAGTTTTATTGTATTTTCCAAAACCAGGTGCAACCTTGCCCCTGAATCAGCAGCTGAAAGACCAGATGCTTGCTTTTTCATATGGAGATGTGTTTTTCAAACGATACCTCAGTGCTTTTGACACACAAATATATGAAGCTCATTCTATTAATCATAACAAAAGCCTTTTATTTTTGAAGTCTACATGCAGGCAAGGGTGATAGAAACAGAAAAGTGAAAAAACTCTCCTACCAGTAAGGATTTTATTTTCTCTGTGTTACAATTGAAGAATTCCCAATGAAACCTAGCCTACCCTTCTTATAGAGGTGGGAGAATAAAACAGAACACCCAGAAGAGAAAGCCTACATGAACTCAGAAAGACCATGCAAACCTCACACAGACAGACAGCAGAGCCCCAGGATTGAACTTAGGCTCCTGAAACTGTGAAGCACAGGTACTATAACAAGTATACCACCATTCCCCCATCCTTTTTGAACGAATTACGATTTTAGTAATAGTTACTAGATGAAAATTACAATTACTTTTAAACAACTCTCCATCAGCAAGTACACAAAACTCATTAAATACAGCTATAGAGTGAATTAGGCCCAGTGTGCATGCTGAGTGCTTCTTTTTCTTTTAAAACTGCAAACACATTTACAATTGCCTTCATTCATCTCCCATCCACAGGTAGCCACATACCTGATCCAGGTTAGACAAGCTGTTTGGGTCCTGGCTCAGTGCTTGATACTGACCACGCAGTCTGTCGCCAGCAGCAATCTTCCTGAACTTCTTCAGATCAACAACATATAGGGCACTGAAAATGACAGCCATGAACACAGATATGGGTTTCTGTACTGAACAGAGGCACTGTAGGATAAAGTATGAGTTATCAACCATTAGACCATAAAGAACTGAAAAGTAACAAGAAAGAGTGAAATACAGAATGTGTTGGCTTTGGAGTTTTCCTCAGGCCCCACTATTCTCTGCCCCTGTCCTTTTCTTCGTTACCCACCTGAGTAAAGTAACTTTTTCACGACTTTTTCCTTGGCAGCCCAAATGCTGACATGCCTCCCTGCTCTAACCTGTACACAAGCATTTGACATCGTTAAGAGTGAAACAATCTATTCACCTTAATAAATATATAAGCTCTCAACCTCTCAAAAAATTTCATGCTTTTGGAATGACATTAGAAAAGGCATGCTAATAATTATATAGGTAACAGCCTACGGAATAAAATGCTGTCCCTCTGTTCATCTGCTTGTAACCTGTCTACAATAATGCCTGGAATCACATTTGATGCTGTAATCCAATTTTGAGTAGAAAACCTGAAATAAAAATGATCCAGAGGATTTTTAGAAGTGTAAATCCAATCTTAAGAAGTAATTCTACCTCACGGATTGGTTGGGGTGATAAATTTCACAGCTGCAGAGCTGTCTGAAAGAGCAGTGTGCCAGCTGGAGCAGCCAGGCAGTGGCTGATTATGCAGCACCAGAGCAAAGGCACAGCCACAGTCTGCCCCTCTCACTCCCACACAGACACTGTCTCCAAGGATAGCTTCTAGAAGAATCCACAGTCTTGTCCGTAATTTGCTTTATGAAAACCTAAGGGGCCATAAATGGCTCGCTGCTATTTGTTTTAGTGATAGTTCATTAAATTTCAATTAAATTATGTGCAATGTAATTTTTCCCTTTGATTCTGATGCCTCTATGTATGCACAGATGGAAAAAATAATGCAAATTACACATGGTGGATCAATAGCTTTTGAGTAAAAATGAAAACTCTTCACATAGTACAGTATATTGAGATGCTTCACTGTCATTGTCAGGCGGTCCTAGAACAGTCACAGTGCTCTCACATACAGTATTTGAAATGGAAATATGGTATACCTGCCTGTATTTGTAAGAATGTAAGAATAGTAACAAACACACAAATATAATCCTCTGATCTATCTGGATTTTGTAATAGCTAATTGATTTGAGGACTTAATCCAGCTGCTTCCTGAAAGATGCCAGGCTATCTTTTCTGACACCATAATTGTATCAGCTTTTCTAAAAAAGTGCCTCCTCTTCTCCATTTTAAATATATAGTACCTCATAAGAGTTTCCACTTATGATTCATTTTTCACTTTTGACTGTGAAGAAGTCTTACGTTTTGAATTTATCAGCACCTTTATGGACTTGGAATACTTAAATCAGGTCCCCCCATAATGTTCTTCATTCAAGACTAAAAAGATTAAGCTTTTTAAGCCTGTCACTGTAGGACTGATTCCAGAGAAGTAGTATCTTGTCTGTAATGCGATGCGCCAAAATTATACATGATATTATAAATGGTTATTTGTTTTTATTAATTTTATATGTAATTATAAAATCTCTTGATTTTAATTTGACATTTTATACATTCTAACACTTTTGCCCTATTTACTACTTACATTGTCTCAAAGATGAAAATTCTGCATCTGTATTTACTATATTTTCTAACATTTATGTTTCTGCTATCTGCATGTAACACAGCTTAGTCCACATTGTTTGTAATCTGCCATTTAGGCCATTCTTGAATTTTGTCTAAATATTATTGAAATTCTTTGCAACGTCTTCAAAACGTCTTTGCTAATCGTCTTATTTTGTTTGGTATTATCTGCAAACATGACTAATTCAAAACTAGAATGCAAATTATTAAAATATAATTAGAATTAGGAAGAGCAGTATTTCTAAACACAGATCACTGTGGAACTTCACTAATGGCACCATCATTATTTTACCGTTTTCTAGCTATTAACCAGTTCTATAACATTTTATATCTCTTAAATTCTAAATCTCATTTCCCAAAATTGATTGTATGATTTTCAAATCATACCTTTTGATGATTTCAGTTCCTTAATGGCTATCTCACCTCTGTTTCCTCTTAATCCATTTTAATTATTTGAAAAGACAAGAGAAATACAATAAATCCCCCTAGTAGATGGTCTAACAAGGCAGTCACTTACTATAATGGCGTTGAGGCAGGGTATCCTGATAACAAATAACATTGTAGTAAGTCAACAAAAGATTGCATTTAATATCAGTTCATTTTTTATACATTAATTTTAACATTATATTTTTATTTGAATTTCTAAAAAGTAAATTATCAAATATGTCAATGTTTTCCTCTTTTTCATACTTATTTCCAATACTGTATATTGCTCATATTTATAATTTCTAATTTATAGCAGAATGCTGGTAATGCCCTAGTTATACTCAGGCTGAAGACATTAAATATTTCAAGTTGGTAGGGTAAGATTCCTCAGTTTCCTTATCAACACACATCATATACTGATAAAGGGTTCTAATATTTATATTACCATAATTTGGTGCATTTTCAAATACAGTTATCTCACTAGCAACAATTTTATTATATGTATAAAAGGGCTGTTTGCTTCTGTCTTCTTTAATCTGTGACAGTTAATCCAGGGAGGTTTAGTATTACTGTGCCTATATTATATATACTACACTATTATAAGTGGCTGAAACAGTGTTGCAATGCAGATGTTTCACTTATTTACATCAGTGGAAAAAAGAAGCTTTATACCCAAGGTTGCTGACCTGATTTATTAGTTCCAGTAGTTTCTAATTCTTCTATAAGTGTAAAACATTTTTCCTGCACTGAGAGGGCCACCAGCTGTAGCATCCTACCACTACCCAAAATTCCCTCCAGACCTGTTCTTTTATAGCATTCTTTCAGAGAAAGAGAATAAATAATACCAATAAAACTGGCCAGAGAAGACCAAAGGGCTGCTCATTTCTTCAGTCAGCAATATCGGTTTAACCCCACCTCAACTCTCTTATTCTGCCTTTGAATTATAACCACTTATGAATAAGATTTGTTTATGTACTAAATGCGCCTTTTGTTCAATTAACTGAATCGCTACTTTTTAAAGTATCAGACAAAGACTATGAAATGTGTTTTAAAAATGCAAACCACAAGATAACTCACCCTCTCCCACAAAAGGAAAGCTCATAAATAAAAGGCCTTGCAGCTCATACGCTATCGAATGCATCGTGGCTCAGCTGAGTAATGCCTTCTACCACAGAGTCAATGAGGAGAATAATATCCTACACACTCTGTACCTATATATATTGTACTTCATTTCCTAAAGAAGGACAGATGCAGAATATGAAATTTTTCTAAAGCCCTCTTTAGTCTGAAAAATCTATCAAACTGAAACCATTAAATGTTTAAGACATATTCCTTATACATCAAATGTTTTCCTTAAAAACGGTTAGGTAGTTTGTCTGTGGTAAGTCACTGTGGAGTCCAAATATATTAACAAAAATGTACCAAAAGTTGAAATACAATATTTTTTTCAGCACCATAAAATAGCAATATAATTATTAAAACAATGACCCTGTTTAGCACATAAAGTGGGGTAGAGGAATACTTATATGGGAAAACGTTATACGCTCCCAAGGGGGATATAAGATCAACTGAGAAGACCAATATCATGTCCTCTGTTAATTCTTACTACTGTTTTATTGATTTTTACTGACTGCATATGCCAAAAAATGCTAAAATGATATATACTGAGCATCCAAAGAAACACTGCTCTATTTATTCCTGCATGTTTTTAGAAAAAATATCGATTTTATCAGTATTTGGATACTAATATGTGTTTTGGTCTCAACTGAATTAATTGATCATTAATGAGTCACCATGATAAACCAGGACAAAAATGTTAAAACTACTCAAGACACATTTTCCCTTCATATTGCAAACTGGCATTACCAATAAAAAAGTGTGAGGAGAAAAGACCACAGATAAGAAGTTCAGAGTATTCCTTTTGCCTACCTGATGTGGTATTTCCTGTTTCCCAGATGAGAGGCCCAGTACCCCGACTTCCAGAAGCGGTACCCATCCATATCCTTGCGGCTGTCACAGAACGGGGTGTAGCCATAGGGAGCTCCCTCCAAGTCTAGGTCCCTCAGCTCTTTCAAGTTCGTTCTCACTATCTGAGAGGGAAAAGGGGAAACAAAACATTGACATGGGCTTCCATACCTTCTAACCCACTTCTCTTTTTATTAAAGATTTTGAACCTGATTGACCACAAAGTTTCAACATCAAATGGACGAGAGTGAGCCCAAGACCATGCAGGAAATCACTCCCTGTCCCCTGTGACATGTATTTCACTTGGTCTGCAGTGTAGGCTGCAAGCAACAGGGCTTATTCAGTATATGTGCCCTGGTATCATTCTGGGACATACCTAAACAGGACTGGAGACTGTGGGGAAAGTGAAGTGGCCCAGGGCTCAATACTGGGCCCCTTGCTCTTCAGCATTTACATGTTCCCACTTGGTCAGCTTTTAAGATCACATGGCCTCAGCTTTCATTTTTACGCTGATGATACTCAAATATACATCCATACCAAACCCGACACTGATGTGGCTGTCTCTATTCTATCTAATTGCATCTCTGACATAAAAATTGACTCAAAACTTCCTTCATCTTAACTGTGACAAGACTGAAGTCATGCTTATTGGTACCCCCCATCAACTTCGTAAAGCCAGTCCTGTAACCCTGTCTGTAGATGGCTCTGTACTTGAGCTTCAATCAAAATTGAAAAACCTTGGGGTTATATTCGATTCTGGTTTAACATTCGACCCACATGTACAGCATACTGTCAAAACATCTTTTTTTCACCTTAGAAATATCGCCCTATGCTATCATTAACTGTGGCTGAAAAGCTGATCAACATATTTGTATTCTCTCGAATTGACTACTGCAATGCTCTACTCCCTGGGGTATCTAAATCTACTCTGAACAAGCTGCAGTATGTCCAAAATTCAGCAGCAAGAATCCTGACCAGGTCTAGTGCAAGTGTTCACATTACTCCTATCCTGGAGTCCTTGCACTGGCTTCCGGTCACATTCCCCATAGATTTTAAAATCCTCATGCTCACCTATAAGGCTTTACATGGCTTGGCACCTCAATACCTGTCTGAATTTTTATCGCCCTTCTCCCCACCTCGCAACCTCCACTCTTCAAATTCTGCCCTCCTTACTGTCCCCCAAGCCCGTCTACATTGTATGGGCGACAGGGCCTTCTCCTGCTATGCCCCCAAGCTCTGGAACTCTTTGCCCAAGGATATTAGAGAGTCACCTTCTCTAAACTCCTTCAAATCCAGACTCAAAACCTTCTTCTTCAGAAAAGCCTTTACTTAACTGGTTCCATTCTTCACCCCTCTGCTCTTCTTAATACCACCATCCACGGTCTCCTCTATTGTTATTGTTGTATTGTTGTAATTATAATTGTGTCCTATCTTGTGAAATCTTCTTATTTATTGTTGTAGTCTTCTAATTTATTGTTACTGTCATCCTGTAAAGCACTTTGAGAAGCCACCTTTAAAGGCGCTATATAAAATAAAGTTTATTATTATTATTATTATTTTACAGAATCAGGTGGGTAGCTGCGTCAGCATGCGTAGGCTGCAAAGGAACAAGTAATAGGTTTATTCCATGCTGAAAAAAAGAAGAAAGAAGGCCATCGAGCCTTCTTCAGGTGTGCAGGTGGGTAGCTGCGTCAGTGTGTCTGAAGAAGGCTCCACGGCCGAAACGTTGTGTTCTCTTTCTTCTTTTTTTTTTCAGCATGGAATAAACCTTTTACTTGTTCATTTTACAGAATCTCTTTGTATATGTGTTTAAATAAATCCATTTCCATGGGAGCCTTTTTGTCTTATGTATTGAAACACTCTTGCAAATATTAGGAAATGTACGCTGAGGAAACTATTGCAATCCAATGTATATAATAAAAAATAACGTTTTTGGCACACCCCAAGAGCAGAAAAAGATTACAATAAAAATGCTGCCTCCCCCAAAAAACTATATATAGTGTAATATGTATTGTATATATAATATATATTATCTATTAGGATTATCCTAATAGATTAAATAAAAACTCATTACAGTTTCAACTGTCAGTCTGTACTGTTTGCCATGGAAACTCTGATAGGAAACCTGTATCAGCTGCTGCAATTTACAACCATGCCCGTCCAGGTGGTGCTGGATATTTAAGGTCTGGTTCAGAATATTTGGCTCCCCTCCCTAAGCTTGTTACTTTCTTACTTCTGTTTCTTCCTGGATATCAGACCCCAGCTTCGCCCTGACCACATCTCTGTATTTACCCCTTTGTGCTTTAAACCTGCAAATTTCCTATGCTACGACCCTTGCCTGCTTGTCTTAGCCACAATTCTGGATTTGCCCCTTTGTGGTATCACTGTGTTGTGCCTCTGCGTCTCTCCAGCTTTCAACCAAGCTTTGTTTTTTGAGAACGGACCCTGGTCTATGTTTGCCTGCACCTGCTCTGAGCTTGCAACCACAACCTCTGCTGACTGCAGGTTCCCCTTTTAGTTTTTCTCTCATCCCGCATGTGGGCTCACCTTACGAATCTGACCGCTGTTTAGTTCCACCTTAAGCAGAGGGCATGAGAAACATAAGTTATATCTGGATCTATTTTTCATAGACATTTTATTAATGTATCGATTAAAACAGAACTTCGTCATCAGCAGTCATAGCAACACGGCTTCCATCAATACCTGGTCAGCATCCACAAAGATTATTTTATCCACTGCCAGAGGGAAAAGCACATCCAGAAAAAGGATCTTGTATCCCCAGATAATTCTCTGCTTCTCAGTCTGCTGGTGGAGCCAGCGAGGCCACTTGTATTGTACCAGCTCATACTGGAATCCATATGCTTTTGCCATGAGGGGAATCGATTCCTGCAAAGAATAAACGCTCACAGAATTACCTCATAGGGAAAAACCTTAATTGATGCCATTTCATTTGCATTACCTAACATACATTTCTGGCTAATTTTTACTCGTTGTTTACTTCTGTAGGCAGAAAGAACTTCCTGATACTTAGAGCTATCCATGGAGAAAATGCCTAGCAGGCACTGCAAAAGACAAGTCAATAAGCATTCAAAGCAGAGAAGACAAATCTTTTCATACTGCAGTAAATAACTTTATCCCCCTGCCTTGGAAGAAATTATTCTTTTACAAATATATATTCAAAGAAGCCTAATGGCATAGCTTTTCTGATTTACTATGGTGTTTGATTTTTATTACCTCCTTTTTAAATCTTTTTTCAGTAAAAACTGTTCTTTATATACATGAGAAGTTTTCAAACTCTAGCAGAGCATCTCGGTGAAAGCCAGCTTTGTTTGTTTGTTTGAAATTTAGCTCCAAGCACTTGCAGTTCTTCACAGGTTGTTAGACAAAGTGATAAGTTGCTACTTAATGGTTTCATGGCGCATTTGTCAAGAAAGTTGTGTCCAATATGCATAACATTTACTGTAAAAAAGGTAAATAATTAAAGATTTTTTCCATGAGCACTTTAACTGATTTTGCTGTGTAAGGTTTAACCCCAGCACAGCCACTGTTTCTCATTTATGGCATCCAGTCCAATAGTCCTATCTGTTTTAGGGCAGTGAATACATGTAGCTGACTGCTGTTCAAGAGAGGGGGATTGCTTCACAACGGGGGCAGTCTTAGCAGTACAATTGGCTTTGTTTCATCATTAGCCCATTCTCAGACAAAATGTGAAATTTAGTTGGAAGCCTCAAGACATTTCATTAACAATAACCTCTTTTATGAGAGGCCTAACAACTTTAGAACTGAAAACCAGAAAACTACAAGTATGAGGTTCTTCCATCTACATCAATAGAAGATCACTTTATAAAGCCTCCTGGCTCAAAAGAAATGAGAGTGCTAGAGTCCACGAGTGCATCACCACTTTTCATCAACTACTGCAATGAGAACCGTTTATCAATATGAAGCACTTCACAGCTGGCTACACAGATGACTCTTGCAGACTGTATATTGTACTGTACACGTCATACCAAAATGTTTAATCAATATTTACTGCATCTTCCTTTTGAATGAACTAAATGACTTCACAGGTCAGATATGCAGTAAATCAACCCCTGAATTTATATCGTCATTAAAGAGCTTTAGGATGGCAGTGATAAATGTTAAATCTAAAGTGGTGTCAACATATTTTGCTCTTACTAAGGTGCACATTGTCTATAGGTGGGGGACAATGTTTTTCATTCTTTTAAGCTTTCTTAGACCAGCCTTTTCTGTCACTGGTAAGCCTAAACACTTTAGCACCATGGGAAAAATGACAAATTTAGAAACAAGGGTAAAACGTGGAACACAGGGTAAAAGGGGATAACCAGAAGAGACCACATGGGGGTTGTTTTATAAAATCCCTGCAAGCGTGACTGTGGAGCAAAGCAAGCAAGTATGAAATTCTAGAGAAGAAGTTTTAAAGGAGTCACACAAGTGAATTACCTTAAACATAGGGGAGAGGTAGTTTTTTAGAAACCAGAACTTGACGGGAGTTTTGGTGTGCCGCAAAACTGAAAGCATCATTATCCTGAAATAAAGAAGAGTAGGTGGTGATAATCTGAGGAAAAACTCCTAAGGCATAAAAATATCTAAAGAAGGGCTGTTTTTGAGATAAATGCCATGTGTGGGCGACTCACCTTAGAAAGCGCTCATATAAATGTCCTGAAGCAAGGGAGAAAATGTTTAGAACATCCTCTTTCTTGTTCTCAGCATCTTCCGATTTAGATCCTCCTGTTATACTTCTCATTGGAAAAAAAAACAAAACATGTCAACGACAGCAAGAAATTAGTGTTTGTTTAACAACTATTCCAAATTTACAGGTCTGCAAACTTTTAAAATGGCAATTACGACAATGCAACAAAGAAAATCTCACTTAGAAAGATCAATATATCAAAATGCCAAAACATATAATGATTAAAACAACTGAAACGTAATTTCCATATGAATGGAAGAATGGAAACCACAGACTAAGCATTCTTTTTTATGTTAAAGAAAACAAATAGCCAACATACATATGGAACAGACAAAAAGAACATGTTAGATTAAAACACTGTTTTGGAAGTGGCTCAATTTACTTGCATCTATCCAGAGATTTGTTGCCCAAACATACAACACAAGCAAGCCACATTTGTACAATAGAATTGACATAATATGGCTTATCCTGGAACAACAGCTTTAGGCTCTGGACTGGAATATCAGTTTCATATCAACACCTTGTTGTGCAGTTGCATTTTCATTATATAGTGGTCAAAGACCGAGTTGTAAGAAAGAGTGAGGTACTAAATTTCAGACAAACTGCATCACCTGAGCTAGTCATTAGCTAGTCATTACCAGTTGATTAAGACATTAAAACCAAGGCTTTCTGCAAGGGAAGAAAAAGACTGCTGTTTCAACATGGTAGATAATACAAAATTAGACTTAGAAGGTCATCCATGAGTGGAATATCTGGTGGTACAGTAGCGGTTTCCAGCCTGTATCCAGGCCAACATGTGACATCACCACTGAAAGAGGGTGAACAATGAATCACTGGTGTAATGCCTGCAGCACTGTCTTGATAAAGTAATAGCTTGCATTGATGTTCTTGTCAATCATATACTGTGCACTGCTGCTGACACAGTCCCGCCATGGTGGGTTGCAGTTTGTTTCACTGCCTCTAACAATGGCAAATTCTATTAAGAAACATATATAGAAAACACTCCATTTTCAACAAGACAATACCACCTACAGTAGATCAGCCAGATTTTTCTTAACAGCCATAAAGATTTGTCTGTGGGATTAGCCTACACTCCATGAAACACAATCCTATTTGGAATAAATATTTTAAATTTATTCAATCTCATCAAACCATATTCACAGTTCCTAAGTGCTCTTATTTGAAAGCTATCTCAAGTAATTGTGAATTATATATATTATTTTAGTGGCTGACAGGGTCAACACATGGAGACTATGACAGTAAATTCATCCATGTATTGTTTACTTATTTTACCTAACCTGAAAACTGGAATAACTACTGATTTTTAAATGTTCAGGAGCAAGCCTGGACTATAGCATGTATCACATAAAATGGTAGAACTCTGCAAATGGAAGTTGATATTAAAATGACTGCTAAATTTGTATACTTCCTACCTTTTCTCCAAAGATTTCCACAAACTTCACACAGTGAGCAAAAAGCAGACAAATCATACAGTTAGAAAATAAATATCAGCAAAACACCATCATGCAATCACACTGAACAACTGCATTCGGATAAAGAGAGTGATTGGAATTAACCTTAATCTCTGGGAACCTTCTGACTCTCTTCTCCCTTAGCAAAGCACCTAGGCCACCTTCAAAACCATAAGACATACTGTATCAACAAAGGCCCTGATAACTAACTACAGCCATCTGAGGAAAACTCCTGCTTCCTTCTAATAAAAAAAAAACACTACAAAGGAGTAAATTATATTGTATTGAATGATTCAAATATTCCATTTCCATTTACTTTCACCCACCTTATTTTCTGTTTGCATTTGGTCTGCCAATAAAATCCTGAAGACTTTCTAATGCTCAGACTATTAAAATTCCTTAATTTCTATGGTTTTGGCCACAGTTCCTATGAAAGCACTGCATAATGTGTTTATCACATTCTAACCATAAGTACTGTAAATATTCAGCATTCTTTGTGTCTCATTACTAATTTCGTCAGATAAAAGAGAAAACATAATGAAACAAAAACCCTGCTGATACCATCTGAGAGCTACCTTTCAAACACTTCAGTACTATTTAATAATCTCTCCTAGGAAACTGTATGAAAAGGTTTTTAGAGGTAGTACACAGAAAAGAGAGAAGAACAATCTCAAGATAAACATGTTAACTACTGTATTAGTTTTTTTTTCTTCTCCATTCTTACAAAATCACTTAGTTAAATATAAAATAAAAATAAGCACTTTTGTGAACACTGGTGTCGCAGGCTCACCTTGTTAGTGATTCCCAGACTCCTCTGTCCTCTGTACCATCGCTCAGGAGATCCTCATTCACTTTATCAGCTTTTTTCTGCACCTGTGAAACAAACCAGATGACAGTCGGATATTCAGTGGTGAAAATCAAAGAACTTTCAAAGATACTAAATTACTTTGTCAGATTAAGTGACAATCTTACTATAGATGTTATCTTTATATTACCACAAAAATTAAACTAGTGTTTCATGTAAGCAAAAAAAAACACATTACTAAAAAACAGTAGGTTCAAAAGGATTTCATTTCCATGTGCAAGCTGGTCTTTCAATAACCTGCAAAGGATGATTTAAAAAGTTATCTACAAAACAAACAATGTAATAAAAGCAATTATTGTACATGCATAATAAGGAATACATCTTTGTGTAATTAAGAAATTTGCTTTTAAGCCTAATAAATTATAAATGTGTTTGAAAAGAGAAGCAAAAAATAATATACAGAGTAACTGACATACATTTGAATGTCTCTCAGAACATTTTCTGGATAAAATGTATATAAATACCTACAGTACCTGTACTTTGATGATTTTACTGTGGAAGCTGTTTAGCACCACAATCACATCATCTGATTCAGCTGGCGAGTCTGTGCCGTCATGACTAAGAGAGAAGCATAAAGTTGTCTTCATAGAAGAAAAGATTAAAGGTTTTATCATGTGGAATATCATTAAACTCACTCAACCAGATAATCAGACTTTTACAAGACTATAGTGACTAGGTAAAAGCAAACCTTAATATGGTGTGCAAGTCAATGTCATGCGGCACTGTGTAGCATGTAAAAGATTTTTAAAATTGCACCCTCGAAACTCATTCCAGAAACAATAAGAACGTCTAACAGCTATGTCAATTATTTCATTCAAAAATGAAAGGAATACTTTTATGCAATTTAAAATAATCATCACATTTTACTGTGAAATACTTTTCTGAAGCTCAGGAATTTGCAAACTCAATGTTCTGAGAATGATGCAAACATGTTTGTCTAATATTTTAAGAAGGGACCTTCATGGCACAATACATCCTCAAATACAAAGCAATCTTAAGCAGTTTTTAAAGGCAGAGCTGCAGCAAGTGCAGAACATGCATTTCTTCATTACAATTAGTAGCATCCAGAAATGAGAAACACTGGGGCCTCCTGAATGCTTCAACTATTTAGGTGCTCACCTGAGGGCCGGTTGAGCTCAGTGATCACAGGTTCGAGCCTGGATCATGTCACTAGCTGACCATACCCTGAGATTCCCCATATGGTTCACACTGGCTCACAAGTCACAGAGTGCAGGTGGGTTTAGGTGGTCAGGGTTTTGTACCCTTCTAGTTCAGCACAGGAGGGTTGTGTTGCCTGCTACATGTTAAAAGGTGAACAACTCAAAGGTGGGCAGAATGGGGGAAGTCTACCCAAGCTTCCTCATTCTTCCCTGTGGGTGGTAACAGGGTTTGGAATGTGAAAAACACAATTATGTACTGTTAAATGTTGCTAAATACTGTTATGTACTGCGTATAACTGTATAACTTAAAATTTTAAATAAAATACAAATAGGAACATTACAAAAGGATAAGACAGCAATGTGTGAACATCATGGCTACTATGAGGAGAAAAACATGAAACAGATTTCGAATCGGTAAAAAAAATAATTTTAGATTACCTTGCTAATAATAAGCTTTAAGTGTTAATTAAAAACAGTGTTAATTAGTGTTAATTTTAAACAAGTCCCTGTGTAATTATGCAGATATTACATGACACCACAGTGAACCACTGTGATGCTTTCCCTCACAAACAGATACTTACAAATGCACCACAACAAACTGTTCTAAATATGGTTTTACACAGTAACTCACTGTTATTCTGTAAAAGCTTTAAATTGAATCTTAGCTTTGAGACCTGTTACTCATTAAGGTAACCAAGCGACAAGAGATTAAAGAAAAAAATATTTGGCTTTACAGAAAAATAACGAGTAGAAACAGTTTTCCTCATTTGGTACCTTTTTCTGACTGACAAGATATCTTAGACATTGACCTTTTCGCCCTCTCATGTCACTCATATCTGAAAATCATACATTATAGTTACTTCATAGAATGAGCCTCCCACTGAACTTTAATTCCTGTTCTCTGGTTCTAAGCAATTTTTCCCTTTTTCTACACTGCTGACAACCAAATCTGTTTATAAAGCTTTATGTTATTTAATCAAATGTTTAATTATACATACTGTAACATATGCATAAAAATGTTTTGAAATTAACTTCAAATTAAGTTTTACTGATTGCTCCATTGTGTTACAAAAGGTTTTACCAGATGAACGGTCATCGCAGTTTGTGTAGTGTGGTATTAGAAATTCAGAATCCTGAAATGCAATGACAAAGTCAACACAGTGGACTGTTCATTTCAAAGTAAGAACAGGAGACACTTCCTTATCCATATGGCTGTGGGGGTATGAAACAACCTATCCAGCCATGTTGTCAAAAGTATCCTGGCATTTTTAAAGAAATGGCTAGATAAGATTCTGAGAACAATTTGCTTCTAACAACCAAACGTGAGACTGGCAGAATGGCCTTGTCTCAGCCGAACACCTTATGTTTTATGTAAGTTCTATTAACCACTAACTGGAATTGAATTCTGACTTTTTTAAATCTTCAATGTACTTCTCTTTCTTCTAAATGATGTTCTAAATGACGATTCATGCTCAAATGTTTTGTTAAAAAACATTAAAACAGGGTTTTCTGCAAAAAAAGAGTAAAATTGCTCAATTACTAGCTTTTCCTTTGTTATTCACTCCAGAACCATTTTATTCTCATTCCATTATTTTGCATTAACAGTCACTGGCAATTGTCAAATATACAAAAAAAAAACACCTTTCAGACAACAAGCAGTATGACTGAAAAAAAAATAGGTTTTTGAATTGTGAAATGGACTTGAACCCTTCTTTGCTACTAGTTCCATAAATCAGATGGTTTACTCAGAAGTTTATAATCGAGGTCTGTCAAAGTTTACACTGCGATTGGTGCAGTCTGTAGCAGTAGGTAATTGAGGGTTTCTGAGATATGTTCACTTATACAGTCACATATAATGTAATGAGTCACAATCCAGGTATGCACACTTATTAACTAATAAAACTGTCAGGAGTTTTCTTTAAAAATATAACCAAGTAGCATTCCCTCTGCAGCTGAAGCTACTGCAAATTCCAATTAAAGGAGACTGAATTTAGACATTCTGTTCACACTCCTGAGAATTATCCAAATTAACAAAAGCACCACCACAGGATCCAGGCAAGCACTGATCACATCGTTGCCAACAGCACGCACTTAAGCAAAGGTGCCCTTATCAGAATGTTATATTATAGTTATTACATTACTTGATTATCTTTTCATCCATTTTATAACTTCTTCTTGTAATTCAGGGTTGCAGGGCCTATCCAGAGCTTATCCAGGCTAGGAATGGGCACAAGGCAGGGCACGCCCAGTATGGAACACCAGTCCAGCTCAGTGTGTACACACAGACACACACATTCAAAGGTCAATTTTCCCAGAAGCCAATTAACACACAAGTCTGTCTTTGGTGGAGGAAACCAGAGCACCCAGAGAAAACTCATGTGAACACAAGAAGAACATAAAAAACTCCTTGTTGATAGCATTTCAGGTGCTGAATGGAACCCCGGGCCCCTGTGCTGCGTGACAGCAATGCTAATGACTAATGAGCAGAGAAGAGATCTCCTGAGGTAATCTTAACTATTGCATATGATTACAGCTGTGAGAACAGGACTAATGACTTTGGATTTATCTAAAACCATTGGATAATTGCATTTTGTGCAACCTTACAATACTAATAATATACTTTTATTTAAAAGCGCTTAAATCACTGTACAATAATGTGCATAATACACATAACAGAAGTAAAATGAAAGGAAGGGGAGAAAGTATGTCAATTTCTGCAGAAAAAACACCATAACAATTTTTACATAAAACTTCAAGCAAGTTTAAATAATGTTGACCATCACAGTTTTTAATGGATTTGGGCAGTGAATTTCACAAACATTGTGCACAAGAGATGGCTCTATCTCCCATAATTAAAAATATGGTCAATAGTAGGTTAAGAAGGCCTGAAGCAGCAGAACACAGATTATGTATTGGACTACACCCAAGCAATAACACCTTACAATAACCTGGAGTTATACTGTTCAGTCCCTGATACATAACCAAGAGAACCTTACCAAGCTCAGTCTTATCATCACATGGAGCCAATATAATTTACACACAATATGAGAGATATGTGCCGAGGCAGATTTTTAATGAGTACTCTACCTGATATACAGAATTCTCAACTAAACTAAATACTAAAGACTATTTAGTACCACAGCAGAGACTGAAGTATGGTGTTACAGTAGCACAATCTTGGTTAAATTGCAAGTTTAAATATTTCAACATCAGACGGGCAAAGCAATAGGATTCTAAATGAGCAATGTTACACAGGAGGATGAAACATACTTGTGATATTCCCAAAATGAACACAGATTAACAGATGGTGAAATGCAACACTAAAGATTCCCACTCAGATTTCATTTTGCCATACCAGCAACAATGACGAAACAATGACAAAACCCTCAGGACTGTTCTGTTGCAGCATGGTGGTCAGTACTCCTGCCTCACAGAGTTCGGGTCCTGAATTTGACTAACTGACCATTATGGGCCAAAAGACCCCCTTTCTTTTGCAGTTTATATTCTTACGTTAGGGCCTTAGCACAGTATGTCCATTAACTGCTTCACAGACCATTTGTGTAAGGGTGGATTTTTTATGCCAGTTTCCATTTATGAAGACTAACCTTTAAAGTCAGTCATAAGTAATACTACTGTATATGCAACCACTGTTCAAAAGGCTTTTACACCTTCAAAAGTTACTAAATGTGGAGAATTAACCTTATCACAATGACAAATGTTTCTCTTCACCCGGCACAGTGCAGTATGTTTTAGACTGACAGGTATTAGACGTTTTTTTTTTTTGCTGTTGTTATTTAAGTTTTTTTTTTTCCCCACACACTAAAACCATTTGGCCAAAGCGTAAAAGCTTAGGATATCAATTTCTTTCCTACCTCAAGGGACGACTCATGTCTCATTCATCCCTGTCACACTAAGGCAGTAACAGTGAAGCCCACCGGACAGGCAGCTGTAGTGAGAAAGTTTTTTTTGTTTTTGATTTGCCCTATAACTAGAGAAGGCCAGTGCTAACCATATGAATAATGTCACTGCCAAAGTGAATAACGACACTGCCTTTTAGCTTTACCTGAAAGAGAGAACAGATAAATCTTGATGCCTGAGATGATCTTGGTAGAACTCAGTTCTGCGCATCTTCAAACCCTGTGTTAAGGTATAGCTTGAGGAAGACAGTTGCTGTAACAGCCTTGACCTTGCTAGATAAGAAGTAAAAGTTTCAAAAGTTTTATTTTAGTATGTTAATTGAATGAGTCATGCTCATTGTCACTGCTTATTTAGTAATTTGTAAATAACACCTTAAAATTAATTCTCATCATTTCTTGTACAGTAAAACACTTTCATCTTCATAATAAAGTTACCATTTTTAAATTAGCTGGACTGTACTGACAAGGGTGATCTGATTTACCTGCTGTATTACATGTAAAGTGAGTCAAGGGATTGCCAGTGCAAGTCCTACTGAGTTCACCTCTCAGCTGGGTAACCTGAGGAATGAATCCCTGGACATGGTGATCTGGATTTGTCTGATTTCACCCTGAATGATAAGGTGACTGATGAGACCAAGCAGAGACTGTCTGTGCTGACATTTTGCCCCATAAGTTAAAACACGCCTGACAAATCCCTTGATTAGACACAGTCTGCAATGAGATCAGGCAGCACAGCAAGAGATCCAAGAACAATCATCAAAGCTAACCACCTAGTGCTGCCTCACCTTCCCTCTTCTATCTATCATTCTACTCATTCCCTCTTCTGCGGTGTAAAAAGCTTGTAGGCACCAGGAGTACTTTATTCCTGATCACCTTTCAGCACCTTCTCAAAACCCATCTTCTCTCACTGCACCTGTGACACTTATGCTCAGTCTCCCCTCACACCAGGAATTCCTCATCAGCACTCCACTGCTTCACACCTGCTACAGAAGCACCTCCAGTTTTTACTATGGAGTCTAAAGAAACAATCATGACTTGCTTTTCCTTTCCCTTATACACGCTTACCTTTTACATAATCTGTTCTTGAGTTTCTTCTACTGCATATCTTACTCTGATGTTTCGTATTTCACTAGATTATGTTCTAACATCAGTTTTACTATATTACTCTGATTAATTAGCTGTAGTAATTAGTAACAGGCTGCCTGTGACATTGTAAAGTTCCTTATTGAATGAAATATGGTTTGTTCCTGCAAATACCCAGGAAAAAGAATCATAATAATAATAATAATAATAATAATAATAATAATAATAATAATAATAATAATAATAATAATAATAATAATAATAATAGGATGATGATACTTCTATAAAAACACTACAGTACCAGCACTCTGTCCAAAGGCCAAGAAAAGAAAATAACACAGAAGATAAATATGATGAGGGTTTCTGTCTGGAGTGAGTTTAATTATAAAGGAGGACCAAACTTCTGATTTTCAGCAAGCTCTACAAAATAGTACATGTAAAGAGCCAGTACAGTTTAATTTCCTCACCAGATTCAAGACGTGTGTAAAGTGCTCAAGTTTTACCGTATGTACAGTGTTTTTACCAGATAAAGACTAATGGTTTTCGGACAATATTTTATTGATAAGCCCATGTCCGCTGTGGTTAGGAAAGCACTCACAGCAATGCTATGAAAATGTTGTAGTATTCATTTTGACTGACATTCTGTTTTCCCTTCTGTGTCATTACACAACACTGGAAATGCAGAAAACCTCCTACTCATGCGCAGACCTTGAGGATGGCACGGTGATCACTGTTTTTGTTCTTGAATTCCGTTACCATAGAGATTTTGTGCTTTTGTCTGGTAGGTGACACTGGCATTAGTATTGAGCAACTTTCAATGACATCGTTCCCCCCACTGGCTATGTTCACATCATAGCAGAAAGAAACTCAATATCCCTGTAAAAGTGTGGAGCGGTTGCCATAAAGATTCTAAAGATCCACCTCTGATAAAAGCTGCAAGACATGTATTTGTTAACTTTCATTTCTTTTTCCTTTTGAAAATGTTGACATATGCCAAGGGCATCATTTTTGACATGACTCAAAAAGTTCATAGCCATACACAGACTGAATCCCATTGTTGTTGCGGGTATTCACAGACCATGTCTTATATTTTCTTACTGTGTACTGCAAACCTAGGCCACAGTACACATACTCTTACATTGGAAAAATCACTTGCTGTAGCTTTCATTACTGTTCACAATGGCATCTCCCAAACACAGGATGAGATGACATACTCATTTATATATTTTAATTACTGTATTTACAAACTGCAAGAAAAGTGAAGGAAAGCCCTACACCTATATAACCCCAATAAAAACCAAATAAGTAAGGTGACAGTTCTCACTGGTACTACAGTGCGTACCTGACATTAGACATATTTACATGAAAACATTTGTCAGATGGCTACCATTACATACATAATATGATCAGCAATTAAAAATTCTAGTCATGCAATTACATCCAACTAAGAACATTTGAAGGACCACTGCTTATATGATCAAACACAAAAAAATGTATTCATTTTTATAAATACAAGTAAAAATGTGCATGGCTTCAGGAAACTACTTGTGGAAGGGATCTGTGTGTTAATGTTGATTCTTATATGTGTTATTCTTCATCAAGACAAAATGGGAAGACAATAAAAAAGATAAATACATGCTTGAGTAATTTCACAAAAGGTATCCTTGGATTGAAACTCCATGTAATGCTTGAGCTTTACAACAGACTAGTAAGATCTTTATTGCATTCTATCCTGTTTACCATACCACAAAAAGTATTAAAAAGAGCTGAAAGCAGAACGTGTGATACTACAGACAACCATGCCCTGTCTAATGAATCAAAAAAGTGTCCACAAAAGTTGTAGATCACATGAATGAAAAGGTACTGTGAATATCATCTTCTCTTTGCAGCAAATGGTATTATCCATGGAGAGAGGGGGCACCTCAGGATTTGATTGATGAAGTAATGGTCATTTTTTATTCAGATGTATAAATCTTACCAGGGCAGCAGATATATATTTAATCCCTTTCTCTTTATTGTTTAAAGCTTTTTTGGAGGGAATACCAAAGCATCCATATGACTGGCAATCAAGTCCGCGAGGAATTCTGCTGACATTTCTTGTTTCGCCTTATTTTTTTGCCCTTAAAGAAAACTTTCACCTTCCAATCTAATAAGCATGCAAGACTGTTGACAGTACTCCGAGCAGCTCCTGTTTTTCAAACAGGATGACCATGTAATTCTCAAAACACAGATGTTACAAAAACAACTTTATCACACTGACATTTCATTATACCAATAATACAAACTTGGAATCAACAAAGAGATTATACTCACGCAAGTATTTGATAGATGTCTTCTGACCTGCTTTTACGTAACCTCAAGGTCCAGGCACCTGGGTTGGCTTTCAGCTGAAAGTATCCCTGTTAAAAATAAATCACAGCTCTTTCATTTGTTGTCACTAAGATGATGCCATAGACCCACTCAGGAGAAACTGGATTAAATGTAAAGTACAACTTTTGACAACACCATATACCATAGGGTTGCTGACTTTTCTAGATTGCTCTGGAGTCCGCTGAAAAGACAAGTACTTTCCTACACTACCGTGCACACACATCACAACCAGCCAGTGTCAGGATCCCTAGCACTTTTTATAAGATGATGCGCTATAGTGATCTATCATTTGCTTAACACCACGGAACCCAAGAAAAGCACTGGCCTGATTGACCAATATAGCTCAGATTTGGAACTACTACAGCCATATTTTACAGTACCCCAGTACCACCACCAGAGTGATTAGATTGAAATAAATACGGTCAAGCTATCAGTGTTTTCTGTATATCATCACAAGGTTTCCCAATGTTAGTGTCATGTTATCGTCATAAACATAATTTCCACCAATGTTTAGGAATGTTTAGGAAAGTGAACGTCATATACTATCTTAACTATAATGAGCAAAATACAAATTAAAAGTCATGACTTAAAGTTTAAACTTAAATTAGTAAGTCATGACTTACTGGTTTCAGAACCATTTGCAAATCTCAAGGCAATGGTACATTTTATCCAGTACCTACAGTAATGCTTACAAATGAGAAAAGGGAAATTGGTCCGTGTTATGACCCCAAGAGTCTAGGGGTAAAGGGGTGTAGCTTTTAAGATGGATTTGGATGCAGGTGGTTTTCTGGTGAGGGACTTAGGAATTGTGACAAAATGTTTGGTGCAACAGTGATTTATTTTAAAGTGAATAAGTAACTGGTACATATACAGGACACAATAACACACAGGGAAAAGGAACTTGAGCAGTGCCGAAGGAAAGAAAATAACTAACAAAATGGAGCGGGCTAATAAAGTGAGGGAAAGCTGACCTAGCTATCAAAACAAAACCCAAAACACCCGGTCTTCGGCGTCTTCTAATGCCCTGGCTAACCTTCACTGACTACAAAAAACATACAAGACAAAAGGCACTAACCTGTCCTAAACTAGTGTTTCTAAACACAAAGACCAACTACATGTGCAAAAATGTACCCGACAACCTTAACTAACCCTTTACACAAAAGTTCACACAAATACACAATTGAACTACGAATACAAATAAGGGAAAACAAGAGTAGACAAAAGGAATAAGGTACAAAAGTGCACAGAGGTTGAAATAACATGTTTGGGCAAGGTAATGGCGAAATTAAGGATAATACAAACAAACGAAAGTACAAGAAGACTAACACAAGCTGAATAGAGGAAGTGAAAAAAAACTAACATACAGACAGACACGGGGACGTAACAGTCCATGTTAGTTGCTTAGTTTCCAGTAATAAGGTGATTTAGCTTTAATAAATGTCAGTATATCAAATGTATAAAAAACTGAGCATTTTCACTCTGTCTCTTCAGAGTATGATTTTAACAAGGTCTTATTCTATTTAGATACTTCTTGTTTCGTCCCACACAACCCCTGCCTGTTAAAACTGACACCTGATCAAATGACAGCATTCGAAAGCTCTTCCAAATAACTAAAATAAAAAGAAACTAATAAGTTTCTTTTTATTTTACATTGAAAATTCTTACTGATGCCATGTGAACTACAGTATGAAATGCAGTCAAATGGCTTTCTGTTCTTTTTAGAGTGGGTAAAGAATCTCTTATTTGCATGGTTGTTCCTTTCTCGTTTCTCGGTTTCCTTTTGTACTGTTTTGAAATACAATATGCTTATAACAAAGCAGAAAGACTTCTGTCTGAATAAAAATGTCATAGGGTATGTTTGGGTTTTCCTGACAGGTAAAAGCTTCTATATGTCTGCATTTCACTTAACACAGGACAAGCTTATAGAAAGAAAAACATACCAGATTAGCCATTACTATGGTGTCTTGCATAAGAAGGTCAGTCTTCGTCCCCAGAGTGAACTGCAAACCTCGTGGGGGCTGTCCAGTCGTGATATCAAAGCAGTGCCCTTCAAGCAGCAGGTACTCCAGTTCATATTCTGCTGTTACAAATCCATTTAGCTGGCAAAACAGTAAGATACAATGAACATCAAAGAAAACACATACAAATATTTATACATGTATGTTTATTTATTAAATGTTTAGGCATCATTTTGATTAATTTACTGAACATGACTGAATATTTGAATTTCGAGTACTGCTGCTTAAATACGCTACATGTAAAACAGCAAAACATGGAAGACAAATACATAAAGTTACCATTATGCTTCATGAATCAAGAAAACACCTTAACGCCATCAGTATGCTTCAGGCCATATTAAGTCATAGTAGTCATGTGCTCTCTGTGCGTTTACAGCCAGAAATATATAACCTGGCAAGACGCAATGGCCAAGCCTCATCTGTCAATGACAGACCATGATCTGGGAGACTTGCTACAATCTAATCATCAGACTTGTCATCAGACCATTTGTGGGATGAGCTATGATGGCTCCTAGAGCTCCACGAGAAGAATAGGACGGACTTTTACAGTACTGTACAACCTGGTACAAAGCAATCATCGTAAATGTTGAGCTTTAATTGCTTACTATGGTGTCCACACACGCTTATAGACTTTGAGTTGTTTAATCATGTTGATGACAAATGATAACCAACATAATTATGTTACCTAAGGTATATTTCTAAGGCTCTTTTCCAAAACACAGTCACAGGGGAACCGGAGCCTATCCCAGCAGGCAACAAGTGCAAGGCAGAATACACCCTGGAAAAGGCACGAGTCCATAGCAGGTCACACACACACAAATATGCACACATTGACACTGGGGCCTATTAGTCCTTAAACCTACCAGCTTTTCTTTGGATTGTGGGAAGAAATCAGAGAACCTGTAGGAAACCCATATAAACTCCATGCAAAGAGCACCCCAGTAACTGAACCCAGGGCCTCAGCTCTGTGAGAAAGCAATACTAACCACTGTGCCACTGCTGAGACAGTATGAATAAGAAATATTTATGCACTGAGTATCAGAAAAGGTACAGTCCAGGTCTGAACTTGTGAATTTACAGTAGTAAAAGTCTTGGCTTATCTTGGCTCATGTTGTTCCAGTTTGCAAAAGCTGTACATCCATAATTTGCTAAATTTAAACAAAAATATGACTGTATACTTATAAGCCAGTCTTCCAAGGCCTTGACACAATGTTGTTTTAATTTATTTATTTTTTTATCATACCTCCTGTAGGTGAATGTTATCCAGGTCATAGAAGCTTCGTACGGACTCCACCAGCCAGCTCTCAGGTGTTATCATGTTCAGGGTGAAAAGAGGAGATTCTGGCATCTCCACAAATTTGGCCACTGGGCCAGGAGACAGGGAGTTATTAGATAGAAAAGATACGTCAGGCTCCAGTACAAAACGGTAGAAGCTGGAAAATAAAGTGAGAGGAATTGTTAGATAATAGTGGGTCTATTGTGAAAGTCAGAAGCTAGTAGCTAGATACAGATGCAGCCATTCAAAATGCGCGGTAAAAACCTGCGGTACAGTAACCTACCCACAAGCCACCGCAGGGCACCGGAGGGCACCGCGGTAAGTGAT